CTCTCTCTCTCTCTCTCTCTCTCTCTCTCTTTCTTTCTCACTCTCTGTCTCTGTCTTTCTTTTCTCTTCTGAGTGGTATGTCTCGTAGAACTAGAAGGGGGGGAGAGTGAGAGGAATGAAAGGCTCTCTCTCTCTCTCTCTCTCTCTCTCTCTCTCTTCTTCTGCTGGGCATGAGGGGCGTATGCCTTCCGCGCGCCAAGTGCGCCCGAGTCGACGTTCCCCTGCCGTTTGCCCCAAGCGGACCCTACCTATAAGGCCAACTGAGGTTACCGCTATATTTCTTCTGTCACTCTCTCTATCTCTTCTTTTCTTTTATGGGCCGTATGTCTTGTACAAGTGGAAGACGAGAAGGAGGGTGAGCTATTAGATTTGCTGAAGCAGAGAGGGCGTGAAACAGGGCGAGGCATAGAGAGAAGCATAGACCGTGGAAGCTCTTGGCTTTCCCCTTCTGAAGTCCATATCAGTTTTCAATTTTGTTGAAGAGAAAGAGAAACAAAGAAGAGAGAACAGGAATTTACATGTTCTTCCTAACTTGTTCTTGTCCCTCCCTCTTCTCTCCCCCCTCACCCTGTCTCTCTTTATCTCTATCTCCTCACTATTCTTTTGAAGTGGTACGGGAATGTGGAATGAGATGAAGGCAGCGTCCCCTGGAGGGACCTGCCCCTCACAAGAAAAAGCCCGAGCATCAGCTTCCAACTAAACCCTGTTTCAACCACCCCCCACCCCCTTTCCCCTAGGTTTCGTATACTTTCTGCAGTAAGGATGTGATGCCCAATTGCTTTGACAAGTACCATATAAGACCTTATGTGCTTAATTGGAAAGCGAGCAATATCCGGTAACCTTGTTGGGAGATTTGTGGGAAACATTGAGAGTGAAAAGCAAGATGCTTGCGATCAATTCCTAGCAGCCTGTTTGAAGGTCCCACTAGGTGGTGAAATGATGTTTGCTCCAAGTATTCTCGTGTCCCCGGGACTTACAGTAAATCATTCGTCTTCTTTGCGTGTTTTTCTTTTCCTTCTTTCTTCCTTTCTTACCTCGATTTCGCCCATTCTCTGTCACTTTCTCTCAACAGCTCTCGCCCCTTCCCGCTGATGGTTCCATGCCCTACCCTTGCCTCCTTTCAAATGAATAGGCAAGAAGAGAGTAAGAGAGTAAGAGAGGAAGAGAGGAGAGGGAGACCCGTCCCCTACCCTTCCCTTTTTCGATACCCTTTTAAGAATAAGAAAGAGAAGAACAAGAGGAAAAAGAGAGAAGAGGAGGAAGGTAGGCAGAGGAAGAAGGACTTCCTCCCTTTCATTTGGCTTTGTCTTACATTTCGTTTTTGCCCTCTTCTGCCATCTCTTTTCTCAATGTCTTGCTGTCTCTCACTGTAAGGAAAGGAAGAGGCGAGAGGAGGAGGGGAGGGGAGGAGAGGCAATGGGTGCTGCTGGAAGCTCCTGCCCCAGGACATTCAACAAGCCTTGAAGGCCCCGACATGCGGGAGGCTCCCGGGAGGCCTGGAGGCTGAGACACAAAACGGGATGAGAAAAAGCCTCGCTCGTGGTTCTGTACACACCCGTAGCCCAATGTTGGCTTTTCCGTTTGCAGCGTCACCCCCGCAACATACCAGGGGTGGGGGAAAGTTCTAAACGCATGCCCCTCAGGGGCGGTCCCTTCGGGGATCATATGCTCGGAAGAAGAAGAGATGGAGAGAAACAACAAAGACGAGAAAGGAGGAGATGATGAGAGAGCGGGCCTCTTGCTTGCCCTGAGCTCTCTGTTCCTTGCAGTTCCCCTTTCTTATGCAAAAAGAAGAAGAGAAGAATATGGCAAGAGAAGGGAAAGCAAGAGAGAGTCGAGCGAAGGAGCAAAACAAACTTTCTTCTGCCCGCCGTCTTCCTCCATCTTCTCTTGTCCCTCTCGTTCTGTTCTTTCCTTATTCTTCGAAGAATGTTGTTGAGAGGAGGGGAGGAAGGGAAGAGGAGAGGGGGCGTGACAAACAAAGGAGCGGCAGAGTGAGGAGGAGTTTGCCCGTCGCCTCAACTCACCCGGAAGCGCCCAACGGGTCCGGAGGACCAAGATCTGTCCCTCTTTGTGAGGAAAGGAAGAGGCGAGGGGAGGGGAGGAGAGGCAATGTCTCATGGCGAGCTGGGAGGGAGGGTCTCTCTCTCTCTCTCTCTCTCTCTCTCTCTCTCTCTCTCTCTCTCTCTCTCTCTCTGTCTGTCTCTCTTTCTCTTCTTCTTCCGCTGGGCTTGAAACTTTCCCTCTCTCTCTTCTTTCTATCAGTTCTTTGTATTGTTCTCACCTTTCCGGGATCTGTTTCTATTTTTCTGCGTTCCTTCTTCGCCTTAGCTCTTCACCAGAAAGGAAAGAATATGAAAGAAGGAGAGTGGCAGAGAGGTGAGAGGAAGGACCGAAGGCGAGTGAATAGGAGAACTCTTCCTCCGAATCTCGCGGCTACCAGTCCTCTTCTCCTTTTTCTTCCAACGCAGCTCGTCTTGGTTTATCACTTATGAAACGTGAGAGAAGAGCGAGGAATGAACAGAGGAGGAGGACAAGGCCCTGCTGCTTTTTCATCCCCTCCCCCCTCCCTCTCTCTCTGTCTCTCTCTCTCTCTCTCTCTCTCTCTCTCTCTCTCTCTCCCTATTCTCTTTTCCCTTTTCTCTTTCTCTTTTACTTGCTCCCTTTCTTTCTGTCTTTCTTTCCCTGGCTCTTGTTCTCCTTCTACCGTTCTCGGATTCGCTTCTTTTTCTCTTGTCTTTTCCCTTACTCCCTTGTCTGCTTCCAGAAGTAGAGAGGGAGGGAGGGAGGGAGGGAGAGAGGGAGAGAGAGAGAGGGATGAAGAGAGCAACGAAGACAAGAAAAGAAAAGATGATGAGAGCGAGGCCTCTTGCTTGCCCTGAGCTCTCCGCTCCTTTCATTCCTTTCTTACGCAGAGAACAGGGAGAAAAGAAGATGAAGAAGGCAAGGGAAGAAAAAGCGAGAGAGCCGGGCGAAGGAGGAGTTCACCCTTCCTCTCCCCACCGTCTTCCTCCGTCTTGTCTCTTCCTTTCTGTTCTCTGTTATTCCTCACTCTTTGCAGAAATGGAAAGGAGGGGAGGAAGGAAAGAGGAGAGGGGAGGGATGATAGCGCAAGAGATTGCAAAGCAAAGGAGGATGAATGAGAGCTGAAAGGAAGGACAGAGGGTGATTGAAGAGGAGAACTCCTCCTCCGAATCTCGCGGCTACCAATCCTCTTCTCCTTTGTCTTCCCACGCAAGCTCGTTTTGGGTTTTCACCAATGAGACAGGAGGGAAGAACAAGGATGAACAGAGGCGGAGGACAAGGCCCTGCTGCAATCTTCATCTCCTCCTCTTTTCATCCCACCCTCCCCTCTCTCTTTTTTTGTTTTTTTTTCTCTCTCTCTCTCTCTCTCTTACTTTCTCTAACTTTCTCTCTTTCTTTCTCTTTTTCTTTCGGTCTTTCTTTCTTGCCCTTGTTCTCCTTCTGCCATTATCGGATTCGCTCTCTCTTTCTCTTGTCTTTTCCCTTATTCCCTTCTTCCTTGTGCATCGTCCTTCTGACTGAGAAAGGGAAGAGGGAGAAAAGGGAGGGGAAGAGAAGGGAGAGGAAGAGTGGGAGAAAGATAAACGTCAAGTCAAAGGTAAGAAGCGGGAAAGAGAAACGGAAAAGGGATGTTGCAGAAGTAGAGAGGGAGGAAGAGAGATAGAGAGAGAGAGAGAGTGACAGAGGGAGAGAGAGAGAGAGAGAGAGAGAGAGATGAAGCGAGCAATGAAGACGAGGAAGCAAAGATGATGAGAGCGAGGGCCTCTTGCTTTCTCTGAGATCTCCGTTCGGTTCATTCCTTTCTCATGAAGAGAACAGGGAGAAGAGAAGAGGAAGAACGGCAAAGGAAGAGAAAGCGAGGGAGCCGAGCGCAGGAGGAGTTCACCATTCCGCCGTCTTCCTCCATCTTATCTCTTCCTTTCTGTTCTATGCTGTTCCTTACTCTTTGCAGAAATGGAAAAGAGGGGAGGAAACAATATAGGAGAGGGGAGGGATGAGAGAGCAAGAGATGGCAGAGAGAGCAGAGCGAGAGAGAGAGAGAGAGAGAGAGAGAGAGAGAGAGAGAGAGGGAGGACAAGAGATACATCGCAAGAGGGAAGGAAAGGAGAGAGAGAACCACATCGAGAGGAAGTGGCATGTTCCCTTTCCCTTTCGATCGTGCTGGTCAAAGATGAAGGCAAAAAGAATAGAGAAGAAGGGTCAAACAAAGGAAGGCAGAGAGGGAAAGCCACGACTATGAAGAATTCGACATGTCCATCTCCACGTATATTCCTTTGTCTTCACACTTCCTTTCTTTGTGTCTTCACGGAACACGCTAGAGAAACAAGGACGAAAGAGAAATGACTGACCTATTCTTGATGGTTCCGGTCTGGGCGCCGAGATGTTTATCATATGGTACGTGGGCTACCGTAAATCCTAAACCCCAAGCCCTTTTGCAAAGAGTTGCTTGAAACTTGAAACTTGGAACAACAAACATTAAATCATACTCTATATCTGATACTTCCAAAGTCATTGTTTAAATAAGAAACGAAAGGGATCGCCAAATAATACGTAAAGGTCCATGCCACTTAGGGGTTTAGGGGTTTAGGGGTTTAGGGGTTCTGGTGTCGGTGCTGGGCTTCCCACTTCGCTTCTGTGGGGGGATTCCCGAAATTTGGGGGGGGGGGGGGTGCCTTATTGGGGTCCTTATTACTATTACTATTATTATTATGGTTGTTACTATTATACGGGGAGCCCTGCTATTTGGGTGTCTATATTAGGGGTCCCTTTTCTTCGTAAACCCCCCAATGTTCGGTTGCGGCTCAAATTTTTTGTGCTCAGCCGCTTTGTTCTCTGCATCGGTACTGAGAGCACGCACACCGCTCAAATTCAGAGCAAGCTGAGAAATGCTCTGTCCCTAAACCCTTAGCCCGAAACCCTAAACCCTAAACCCTAAACCACTGCACACATCCGCCTTTCCCTTAAAAACATCGAAGGTGGGCTTCCGCTACAACGGCCCTGAGCCAACAACTTTCGGAGATTGGGCGCACAAGGGACGTGTAGCTCGGTGGGCAAGAGCCAGCAAGCAGCTGCAGCTATGCATGTGATGCTGTTGATTCTCTTGATTGCGATGACCGCTGTATGGCTTGTTGCTCTATGTGTTCATTGTTTGTTGGCTTGGTGCGTGCATTGGGCGTGATGTTTCGATTTTGCTTTGCAACCAAGTGTGGTTTCTGCAACCGCTTTCTTCTTTCTGCGCTTTTTGAGTCTAGGCTGTCCATTGTACGTAGCTGGAACTGCATTATTGTAACAGTGTCTTTACGCCTTTCAACAACAGATTCGGCTTATTGCATCTGCACTTGCCTTCCCCAGTTTCTAATCGCTGCTGTGGCTTGGCTTAGATTCGGGGGGGAGGGGCGTTGAAGAAGGGATGGGGTGGGGAGGGCAGGAAGAAAACATGAGGCCACCACAAAAGTACATATCCAGCCACTACAGGGCTGATACGGCCTAAAGGGCTGAGGGGTCACCCATCGAGATCCGACCGAAAAGCAGTATCCCAGGTCACGGACTTCTGACGTAGCCTGCAGTGGCGGAGAAGCCTTTTGATGCAACCGCGAGAAACATAGGTCCTCTGCAAGCTCACTGAAGAAATGCTTCGTTTGCCACGAGAGCTTTTCGACATCGTCAGGCAATTGCCTGGTCACCTAGCTGTGCACAATGCACAGCAAGTTTCACCTGCAACGAGCAGATCGAGTGTTTGCCGTCAATCTTCTCCTTGAAAAGAAGTTTGGGAGCAGAGGCGAAGATTGATCGACAAACGTCCAGACCACGAGTTTTCAGTGCACAGCGCATTCCGTTTGCCGAAAAGGAGCCAAGAACTGCACCAGGTGGTTGCCTTGTTAGGGTTTAGGGTTTGGGGTTTAGGGTTGAGGGTGTCCATGTGCATGTTTCTGTGGTAGTCATGTGGCGCAACCAGCACATTCTACAATTGTACAATGGAAGCCTTGCGTTTGCTACCCTGGCTACCACCACAAGAAACCGAGCAGACCAACTTCTGCCGGAAAAGGATGAACCGGTGAGACATGGTGCTCGCACTTCACTTTGCGATTGTTCCCGCTGGATCAGGAAGCCCTAAACCCTAAACCCTAAACCCTAAACCCTAAACCCTAAACCCTAAGCCCTAAGCCCTAAGCCCTAAGCCCTAAGCCCCAAATCCTTTCTGGGCTCATCTTGGCTCCGATTTCCGAAAGCCAAGAGCGACGTGTGTTTCTCTTCGCGCCCAGCGTTGTCCTGCTCACCATGACCAGGCTCGGTGTCCCTTGAGATGATCTTGTTTAGGGTTTAGGGTTTAGGTTTAGGGTTTAGGGTTTAGGGTTTAGGGAGGTTTCATGTCGAATTTCTGCCAAGGTACCTACACCTTTGCCTCAATGCTTGCCGGCATACATACTGCTCTAGGGCCTCTACTGGTCGAAGACTGAGATTCTAGGGTATTTTGCTAGTATTTGCTTAAGAACCCCCCCAAACAATAAAAAAACATCGTCCCTATAAAGGTAGTACAAGGATCATGATTTTCGATTCTTTAGGGGTTCTTAAGCAAGTAGTAGATTTAGGGTCAGCACAACAAGTGGCCAACACTAGACATCTTCTCGGGATGTATAACGAGTCATCCACTGTGGCTTTCAGCTTTCTGTCCGCTTTTCCGCAATCCGCGCAGCCGGGATGCCTGCGTGAGGGTGTTATCGTTGGCAGATCGCGGGCACCGGGATAGCGCGGAACCCTGAGTTAAGAAGACAAAAGCGGGTGGTGTGAATCTAGGCCACTTTGGGGAGAAACTTGGTGGCTTGCTTGAGGGTGTGGCCCTAAATCCCTAAACCCCCCCCACCCCCCCCGAACTTCCCGAACATCAGTCCTCGCCTCTCAAAATCGCAGGCTCTTGTTCCTCCTCTTGACATCTGCCTTCGCCCAGAACCTGGAGCCGAGCAACAGGCAGGGGATGCTTGGGGCTTAGGGTCATGGGTTGCCTTTCCTGCCTCAGTCAGGGGCTGCGATGTCTTTGTGTGTCTGTCGCACGTCATCTGAAGAACCACCTCAGGTGGTTATTTCTCTGTAGAGCAATGCAGCCCCTCGGAAACAGCTCCTCAAAAAATGAGACCTCAAGGTACATCGTGCGCAGCTCCAGTCAGTAGTAAGAATTTCCCCTGGATGCCCATGTAGCTGCAGCCAAGTTTAGTTTTGCTGCAGGTAAGCCTTCTCTTCCAAGCTGTTTCGCGAATGATACTGCAGGACCAGTCCGGTTCGACTCGTTTCCGATCTGGAGGCGTGTGCCCAGACTTGCCGAGCGCTTTCAGCTTGCTGCCATGCTTCAACGTGAAGCCCGAAGGCGATTTGATGTTAAATTTGAAATCTCTACAGAAGTGAAGTGCGCTGTTACTACAGCAGCGGCACGGTCTAACCGGCTCAGCACAACACCATGTGACATTGCCAGGGACAGATTTTGAATTTCACCAGCGAAGAGAAGCGGGGCGGAAGCGATCCGTCCGCGTCGTGGCACGGCTGCATGAGGGAGACGATTTCAATTCTTGCACCTGCTGCCCTACTGACCTATCCTGCCGCATAGAGCCACTCCCAGAACTCCTGAGAGCCACTGTACCATCGTCCCAACCAGCTCACCTTGTTTGGTTGTGCTTGCAGAGCTGCTTCAGTTGCTAGTTTCACGGTGCTCGCCGCCATGCACAGTGGAGCACATTTAGGGTACGTGATGTTTGACTTTATATTGTAGATGTCCACACGCATTTTATCAATCTATCTTGAACTCATGCTCAACGCGCATGCAGAAGTTCTCGTCAACTTTCACGGATTGGCCTTGGCTCCAGAAGCAGTCCTGGTGAGGCTCCCTAAGCCCTAAACCCTAAACCCTGAACCCTAAACCCTAAACCCTAAACCCTAGACCCGAACCTTAACCACCAAACCCTAAACCCTAAACCCCCCAGGCTCTAAAGATGCCCAGTGGTTCTCCAAGCATCGACCCGCCAAGGGTTTGTGGACCTTCTTTCTGTTTTGACAAGCAGACGGCGAACTGCTTCCAGAAGATGCCAGCGAACGTCTGCCGCACCTGCCGGGTTTAGGGTTTAGGGTTGGGGGTTTTGGGGTTTTGGGGTACGAGGGAAGGCTTTCATGGCAAACCCTCTGCATCACGGCCCTTTGCCGAGACACGTCCGCCACAAACTCAGCAGCTGAAGTGAACAGCTCCTCACAGGACCTGACCTACACCCTATCACTCCTTTGAACCCTAAACTCTGGACCCTAAACTGCTGCCAGGCATGAAAGCTATCTACATGTGCGTCAAGTACATCCTCGCAGGCCAAAGGGGAAGCAAAGCCTGCAGCTTGAAGCCCAGCAGCAGCCTCAAATCCCGCCGAAGGCCCTTGCAGGCCCCCAAAACCCAAACCCTAAGCCGCAATCCTCTCAGCCCCGGCGCTTGTTTCTAGACTTCGTATACAAGATCTCGTGTCACTTTCCGCTTCTCTACAGCCCGTAAGCCCAAGCCCCAAAATCCCTTCGCCTCTCATGCTCATACTCTGCAACGTCGCAGGCGACATGGAGCCCGAGGAGTTTTGCGGTAAGGAGAGAGCGAATGGCAATTCCGATGCCATCGAGGCGATTCCCCCAAGAAGTTGGCTCTGCATATTCTTTATGAGGTTGCTTAAAGTGATATTATGTGTAGGGGTATGGGCGGAGAGTCGGGGTTTAAGGTTTTGGGTTTAGAAGGTTTATAGGGATTGGCCGATCAACGACCCGAAGCCCTAACTTTTGAGGGCGGCTATGACCTAGGCGACTTGGATTTCGGCACACACCCCGAATCATTTCAGCACCATCCTCTCTCTAGCCTTAGATGAGACCCTAGGCCGAAAGCTCGAGCCCCAAACCCTAACCCCGAAACTTGAAAACTGACCTAAACCCTAAGCCCTAAGCCCTAAAGCCCGAAAGCCCTAAAGCCCTAAAGCCCAAAAGCCCTAAAGCCCTAAACCCTAAGCCCGAAACCCGAAACCCTCTACCCTAAACCCTAAACCCTAAACCCTGCCTGTGCTGTATGCTGCGAGCAGGCCCTGGCTGCGCCTAAAACCGGGCGTGAGGAGAAGAACGACAGACACGCGCAGCTCGGAGTGCAACTTGGGGGGTGGGGGGTAGTATAGAGCGGGGTAGTAGGGGAACCCACGTGCCTTCGCAGCTCGGCGTTCTTGGGAGAGCCCGGCGCCGCCCCCAAAAAACTGAGTTTACCTACAGATTTAAGTTGATTTAAGTAGCCCTAAACCCTAAAACCCTAAACCCTAAAGCCCTAACACCCTAAACCCTAAAACCCTAAAACCCTAAGACCCTAAAACCCTAAAACCCTAAGACCCTAAAACCCTAAAACCCCTAAAACCCTAAACCCTACTGAGTCGGACTCCTTAATTCCCAAAGCCCATGAGCTGTTTGGCATGCCCGGGAGGGTCAAGAGATTTTTCGGAGACACTTGGGCCTCTGGGCTGGGGGTCTTGAGCTTGAGAACAGATCCCGACCAGAACCCCCCAACTGATGGGTTTAGGGTTTATAGAGTTTAGGGTTTAGGGTTTGGGGTTTAGGGTTTCAGGTATCCTCCCGCGAGACCCGCCAAGCTTAGGGATTCATGGGTTTAGGGATTTAGGGTTTAGGGTTTAGGGTTTGCCGACTGGCAAGGTCGTCTCCGGAGAGGCTCGGGGCAGAGCCCACTGACTTGTGGCCCAGTGCCCCTTGCCATGCACAGTGCAGTCATGGGTTTAGGTCGGGATGTTCCCTCTTATACCTCTTTACTACAGTCCTTAATAGGGATTATAGTATCCCCGCTGTTCTACTCCCTATTAAGGAGCTGTTAGTATCAGGAGGGAACATCCCAAGGTTTAGGGTTTCTTGTTCTCGCAGGAAATGGCATGATGTCCGGCTTTGACGCTTGCAGTGGGACCGTGTCATAGGCTGATCCGCGAATTGGTTACCCCCGAAAGGCCAAGAGGGTTTAGGGTTTAGGCTTTGGGGTTTAGGGGTTAGGGTTTAGGGTTCAGGGTTTAGGGTTTAGGGTTTAGGGTTGAGGGCATCATTGGGAGGGGAGGTGCGGGGGGGTGAGGGTTTGAAGGGTTTCCCTCTCAACGCGCACTACTTGGGTTTAGAGCTCCAAGCTTACGTAGAGCTCGCTTTTTTTGCTCTCACTAAACCCTAAACCCTAAACCCTAAACCCTAAACCCTAAACCCTAAACCCTAAGCCCTAAACCCTAAACCATAAACCCTAAATTCTAGGATCACCTCGTTCGGCCCAGGCTCTGTGGGGAGCTTTTCTTATTTCGTTCCTGCTGCTGATCGTGATTCGGCACTTCATTCATGAACCGAAGAAGGCCCGGAAGAGTTTTGGGTTTAAATTTAGGACTTCGGATTTAGGGTTTAGGGTTTCGGGTTTAGGGTTTAGGGTTTAGGGTTGTTAGGCAAGCATCCGCAGGAAGTTGTAGAGCTTCACCGCTGCTGTCTCGTGTCATGTGGTCTTTTCGGGTTTAGGGTTTAGGGTTCAAGGTTAACGCGTGCAACGCGATCCTTGGTGTTGAACTCCTCGGCTATTCTGGAGGGCTTGTGTGCATGCGACCGACGTTCACAGAATCCAGCCTGCTTACTCAAGCGTGAAGGTCCAAAAAGATTGCAGGACCTGCAATCCGAGAAAGAGTGTCACCAGTTCATTTTAGCTACGTGGAGTTGGGATGTAGTAAGGCCTTGTTGCTTGGCACAGCCGCAGCCCAAGCAGTAGTAACTGCAGTATGTATAGTACAACGGACATGTAGAGTATGTAAAATATATGTACATCTGCACATTGTATGATGTGATATGGTGTGATAAAATGTTTCCATTAAATGCTGACAAAGACATCTTCGTGTCCTTGCAGGAGATCACTCCGCTCCGGATGCCCCTCTTGATCTGTGACGCAGTGTGAGGACTTCATTGTCACGGCTTGCACTTGCAAGGTTACCGGGAACCCATGATGTGTCGTAATGACGCCGGAGCCAGCTTGTGACAGCTACAATAACCATGGAAGAAGCCTTTGCTAACCCCCTCGGGTTAGCACTGATGGTGGCTAATCTCACATGCTGCTCGCATCTTATGTTGCAGTCAAAGGCGGACAGCAAGCAGGTTCGAATTAATAGGGTTCGTTTGCTTTGCTGCACCCCACCAATTTAAAGGTGGAGCAGCCTTCTCAAGAAGACACTCAAGAGCGTGCCCGTATCTCGAATGCACAACTGGCACTAGGCCCACAAAGCCTTAGGCCTGCACAGCCATGGCATACTCTGAGCCTGAGCTGGTTGGTTGTGAAGGGAACGGACACGCAAGAAACTCGTCAGTTTCACCTTGCCAAGCAGCACAACTGTGCTGCATAAAAGGCAACTCGACGCATATTGTTTGCCCGCATAAAACGCCGTCAACCGGCTGCGCCCACAGGGTCGAATAATCATGATAGTCATCATAATAATCATAGTAGTAACGATTATTATTAGTAATAATAGTAGTAACGATTATTATTATTCTTCTTGTCAAGGCTCTAAAAAAGAATCGCAAGTACGGTATGGCAGCTCTCCATAGCTCTCGGGGACTGCTGCTCACAAGGATACCTCGGAGTTTCCGTCTCCAACGCTCCCTTTTGTGGACTCGTACACAAAGCCACAGTGACCCATTTCACATCAGACGCATGTATCATGCCTTTGCAGACATCCGAGTTTCAACTCGACCCCACATAAGGAAGGGCACGAAAGTGTGTAAAATCCCGCCCTCATCACATGCTTTCGGCTGGCACTTTGTCTGCCGAAAAGGCCATCGCGAATCTGTTAAAAGTCAGATGGCCGTGCTCGGCACATCGCCCCAGACGCCTTTTCCTCCAGTCACCACTTCACACCTACGCCTCTCGAAGCCACGCTGTGTTGTGCTGATAGGGTGCTTCTGGGTTTGGTGTTTAGGTTTTAGGGAGGGTTTAGGGTTTAGGGTTCAGTATTTCGGTTTTGGGGTTTGGGGTGGTTCAGGTTTTAGAAGACTAGGGTTCAAGCTGTGTATTCATGGCTCAGGGTCCCGGGACCACTCCATGGCTGGAACATGTGTGGCCCAAGATTCGAGGGTTGCCTACGTCCAGAAGCCGGAGGTCCTTCCCAAGGCTTGGGCAGGGTCCAGGATGCAGGGAGGAGGGGCTTTGGCGGGGTCAACAGCAAGTTGAGCTCTACTGACCCAAGCATTCCCGAACTCGTAGAAGCTTCTGTTGTAGGATGCAAGCTCAAAGCCGGCTGAACGGAAGAACGGAACAAGAGCTAGTTAGAAAGCTGGCTTCGAGCCCGAAGTCTACAGAACAGTGTGCAGTCAGGAACGGCACACGTGAAGATGCCGGGAAAGATGAGGCAGGTCTGTTCGGGCAGCATTTCGGGGCGATTTTGATCCAAGGAGCTGCATATTGCGAGCCCTAAACCTTCGACCCTAAACCCTCAACTCGTATTTTTGTGGAGATACGAGGGACCGCAAGCAAAGTTCAGGACATCGTGCCTCATGTTGCCCACGCCATCCCACTATATCAACGCACATCGGAGGAGCATCCTACTAGAAAGCAAAGAAATGTGTAAGCATCCCTGAGCCCTAGGTTTAGGGTTTAGGGTTTAGGGTTTAGGGTTTAGGGTCTAGGGTAAAAACCCTGGACCCCACAATTTGCAGAAGCATCTGGACTTTGAGTGCTCGGGGCCAGTAGGGCTTGTAGGCTCCATGTTGGGTGATGGGATCTTTAAATGTCAGCCACTAAGTCTCGAACCGCAACAGCGTCCACACATATATATATATATACAGATGCATATACATATACATATACATATATATATATATATATGTATACATATGTACCTGTCATGATAATGATCGCTTAGGTTCTCTTCTTTGTGTATCACAGTTTCCTGCTTATGAACATGTTGTATCGTAGATGGTATGAAAGTACATACACATTATATACATATACATATATATATATGTAGATATACTATGTGTATGTATATTCAGATGGCCAAGATCTCAGAGGGAAAGATGCATGGACCTAGAGACGAGACGAGTACCAGAGGACCAGAGCATGAGGAGTCTATAAGTGCAGTCGTTGAGCCATAATGTTAGAGGTGACATCCATGCAACCATAGCACACCGACCTTCAACGAAGTTCCGCAATATCCAATCCGCAACGTCATGGAAGCTTCGCGGCCGCTAGGCCAGACTTTCTCATCCAGAAGCGGATTCAGAAGGAGTTTGGTGACTCTGAATGGAAGGGTGTGCCGATTGGGAGGCAGGTTTTGGCGTGGTCTCGGATGCTTTGTCGGGCAAGGCCATCCCTCAGCATTTCCAGAATCTGATGCGAGAGAACCCCTCATAGTTGGCAAGCTGCAGGACAACCAGTTCGCTGTCGCAGCTGATTATGCGTCCAAGATGGCCGCAATCTCGCAGGTCACGCACTGGTTTGAGGCCGCTGGGACTTTTAAGACGGAGCTGCGCATAAGTCTGCTTGTTAGCTCCGAGTCTTAACGGTCTTAATTGGCTTTGTGCTGCTGCGGGGGGCAGCTGTGTCCCTGTACACAGCCCACGGAATCACCCAAGCACTGACCTGCAAGCTGAATGAGTTGTATAGCAGCCCTGGGATTTCATGCGTGGAAAGGGCAAACAGAAGTTCGATTTTGCGGAGACGGAGAAGCGCAGTTCTGAGTTCATCAAGCAGGCGGGCTTGAGTCGCGTGCTTTTGGGCGACAAGGGAGCTTTGCTTTCTTTGCCTGTAACTCAGCAATCCTCTGAATGGGCATCCCTAGACCCTAGACCCTAAACCCCAAACCCTAAACCCTAAACCCTAAGCGTGACAGGAGATGAACGCCTGCAGTGAGGAGCTGAAGATTAGACGACGACGCTCAGCGGTGAAGACTTCCGCTTCCTGCGTTTGCTGGTTGTTTGGGTTTTGGGTTTAGGGCTTAGGGTTTAGGGTTTAGGGTTTAGGGTTTCTGTTTACTGACTACGAATTTAGTGTGTTTCCATGGTCCTGCCATACTTGATTGATCTTTTTGGCCCTCTGATTAGGAGGCTTGGAAAAGGTAGCATTAGGTGGGTCCCGAGCTCAGGAACTCGGCTGAGAAACCTGTACGAGGCAGAAGTCAGGATCTTAGTGTCCCAATAGCCGTGGCGAAACTGGTCCATCATTGTGTGGGACAGGACAGCGCAAGATTCTTTGAGATGTGTCGTGCGCGACAGAAGCTGAAGAATAGGAGCAGAAAGTATCGACAATTTAGGCTCAGTTAAAGATGGCACAGCTTCGACAGTACAATATGAATCCGTATGATCTAAATGTGTTTCATGCGTGTATTCAAATTTTTCCTGGAATCAGCTGCTGGCAATGCCCTTGCAAACTTGCTAAGGCCAAGGCCTACGAAGCTGAATTAGCTTCGTTGGGTTTGGCTGTCCAGCGCCACCTGTACTGAGCTGCGGATGCCGGCAACTCAATGAACAAGTCCTAGAGGAAGGTTTAGGGTTTAGGGTTTGGGGTTTAGGGTTTAGGGTTTAGGGTTTAGGGTTTAAGGTTCTCTTTGTGCCGGTGTTTGGATGCATCTGCTTTTGCCATTTGCAACTCAAGCTAAGTTCATATTCTGATCGCAGGAAGGTTCATGGTAGGCCTGCAGACCGGTCACCCTGTTGCGACCCTAAAGCCTAAACCTTAAACCCTAAACCCTAAACCCTAAACCCTAAGAGCCAAATCTGCTGCAAGGTCTCCAACTTCGCGCTCGCGACGTGTGATGTTTCACCTGGGCTGCGCAATCTTCTCAGAAGATGCTGTCTGCCCTGCTCGATGCACGGACTGGAGTTGCGCCTGGGACCCGTAAGACTTAGCAGCGCAGTATGTCAGGACAGACCATCTCTGCTTGGTTATGGTGGTAAGAGGAGTCCCAGGCATGCGTTTGGACGATAACCTCGATCCATTGAAAAAAAGAGACTAAGCTTGCTGTGGTTGGACCATCGCACTTTATTCAGCCTCACAGAATGAACAATGAAAGTCTGTGCCGTGCTGTCCATGTGGGCAGAGATCAAAACCCATACCACGAGGTCGTAGCTAGAGTCCCTCATGCAATAAATGAAGCCTCGGCAAGGCCCTGCCTGCAGTGATGTCAATGTTATTCCTCGCCGGAATGAACCAAAACAAATCCTAAACCCTAAACCCTAAACCCTAAACCCTACACCCTAAACCCTAAACCCTAAGCCTTGAACTTCCAGAACCCGCAGCGGATGGCTCAAACTGCAAAAGAGGGTACAAGAAACAAGGGGTGCGGCTTTAGACCGGGTGAGGGCCTTGTTGGGAAGCCTGTGCCCTTGGGCGCTGTAGGGTTCATTTGAAGGGGGCGCTGTAGGGTTCATTTGAGGGTCCATAAAGGTGTGTTTACAGGGTTTATGAAAATGTGTGTGTATATATATATTTTTTATAGATATATATATATATAGATATGTATAATGTAGGGAGAGTCTTGGGATTTAGAGAAGGTTCATGTATGGGACGCATGTAGGGTTCCTATGGCTAGACTCAGGTTTAGGTACACGGTCAAGGGCTTTGGGGTCCTTGGTGTGAAGTTGCCCTTTTTGAACTTGGTTTAGGGTTCAGGATTGAAGTGGTTGGCCTTCAGGCCTTTTCACTTTGAAGGTGCTTTGGTGTCGGAGTGTGGGATACTGGAACAGTGTTGGAAGTGGAGATTGGGCACGCGTGGACGGAAAGGGCAGGCTTTTGGGGTTAGACTATTTAGACTCCGGCAAAGCCACTGAGGAAAAACATCCAGGCTCACAGCCGGCAGGGTCAAAGCGTGCAGACGAGTATGCTTCACGCATCTCACAGGATGCCGCGACACTTTGCAAGCGTGTTTAGGGTGCAACTGGCGCGTAAGTAGGGTTTAGCCTTGAGGGAGTTTCTTTCCTAAATTTCCGCAAAGCGGAGAGGGAGCTCACAAAGCCTAACCCCCGCAGCCCCTGATCCCGAAATTCCAGCGTGACATTTGGGGTTGTACGAAAAGAGGGGACCCTCCAATATAGATCCCAAGTAATAAGATCCCCTTCTAATAATAAGGACCCCAAGAAGTTTCCCCTAAGTTCGGACACCCCCAAGTCCTGCAAGCCTTGAGAAGCTGAAGGTGGCGACCCATGGTCGATGTACCCCGACTAGCGAGTCTAGATGCCAGGCCCTCAGTGTCAGGTGCTTGAACGCGCCACGGCATGGAGATGCCATGCATCTACCCTCTTGGTTCAAGATAGGTTGGATGTAAAATCATGTACATAGCCAAGAATAGCATGTTCGCAGCGGCTTGCTCATATCCCATCGCCGCCCTTGCAGTCCTTATGTGGAAGTTTCCGAAAATTGGGGGTCGGGGGGTATTCCGATGATAAGGATTGCTGTATTTGGGTAAGGGCTTTCTCTTGGGGGCCATGCCCACGTGCTTTGGTGGAGAGTGCGAGGCCCAGAGAGAGGTTTTTCTTGGTGCAGCGTTCAGGTTTTGTTTGTAGGTGTGGAGTCCAGATGCCTCATGAGTTTTTTGGAACCATTGTGTCGGCTTTGGGCTCGAGGAAGGCAACGCCACTACACGTCATGCTGAAATTTGTTCCCAAACCACCCTAAACCCTAAAACCTAAGCCCTGGTATGTGGAACAGACGGGTGCCCCATCTCAGGCCCTGGTCGCAGTCAAAGATGGCAGAGTCATCCAGAAGGCGAGCGGCTTGGGGAGGGGGCGCAAGAGTTTTGAGACGGTTTCAGGGTACAGGGCTAGGGTTAGGGTTTAGGGTGTAGGTTTGTTTGGAGCTCTGGGGGGGGGGGGTGGGGAAATCTGGGCGGCCATCGCGGATCCGGAGCCTCGCTACGCCGGGTGCGGTGGCAAATTCGCTCAGCTTCTTCTGAGAGCTCCCGCAGCTCCCAAGCAAACCTCTCTCCCGACGTTTACAATTTTCACGTGTCAAAAAAGCTGAGCCTTCACAGCAGCTGGGTACAAGTCCGGCAGCTTCAAAGACCCGATGCAGCAGAAGGGAATGGAGTCTCCCGCAGCAGGAAATGCAAAAGAAGAAGAACAATGATAAGCAAACTGAGGGTAGGGGGAGTAGTAAAAGTTATGGCAGGTTGTTGGGAAACGAACTAAGCAATCATAGCAATGCAGAAGGAACACGAGTCGTAATGGTAAAAGTTTCAGTACTAGTAAGGCCTAATCCAGAATGACAATGATCATAGCGATACTTGCAACAATAATTGCATCAATATGAGTAACAGCAACAAATGCCTGAACATCAAGAATCCTGAATGTTACGTAACAAGAGAACTAGCTTTCATGAATAGCAGATGTCGTGACTTTTGTTGTTGTCATTTTCATGTCCCTTTTTCTCGGTATTGTTACTGTCACTATGATTCTGACGGTGATGATTGTGATCATGATTGCGAGACAGTTTCTGACGATGACCATGACAATGCTCATGGAAAGGCGCACAGACTTCTTGAGCAAAACGTGTTTGCACGCAGAAGTCTGTGATCTCCAACTAGCGGAACTGGGACCGGAGCACATGTGCCGTCAGCATCATCCGCAGCAGCATCGCGATTAGCCTCGGCAGTAAAATGAACAATAATGTCTGTTTGAGATACATGAATATTGCTAGGATGCACTGCGATAAACTGCGGGAGGCCCAGGCGCTGGCAGCCCCTGGCGCCAGCGCCCCGCGCAGCGGCCGAGACCACGGCTCGCGCAGCGCACGCAGCGCTGCGCCGTGGGTGGGGCTGTCAGGCGGGGGTTCACCAGGATGCGTTTGGGGCTCGCAATGTTGACGGGTTTAGGGAAGCATGGGCTTAGGGTGTAGGAGGGGCGACTACAAATTGCACCCATAATCCCTGAATCAAAAACCTTCGTAGGCTCGTTCTGGGGATTCTAATCAAGTCCTGGGCCAAGTTTCGCAGCGCTTCTTGCTCTTTGTTGGGGCATCGGCTTTTCGTAAGCCCGAGGTATTATTGGCTTTGAACCCTAAACCCTAAGCCCTAAGACCCAAAACCCTAAACCCTAAACCCGAAACCCTAAACCCTAAACCTGGTTGGGGGAGGAGTCGACGAGAGAACCCGAGCCTTTGGCGAAGCAAAGGATCCAAAACATCCCTCAACCTGCCTTGCACACCGCCGCGCAACGCCATGGCATGGCACATCATGTCAAGAAGATTTTAGGAGTCTTATTGCCTCTGTATATATATATATATAAATATGCATATATATATATGTATATTGTATGTATATATATATATATGTATTATCAACATACCGTAAATGAAGCTCTGATAATCAGCCCTCCCTGAAAAGGCCTCTGCGGCGCAGTGGCGGCCGGTCGCCAGCGTCGCCGGCTCCGGGCGCTGCCCTTCGGCATCTCTGCCACCCGGTTCGAAGACAGTTCAGAATAATATTAAAGACATGCATGCATATATATATATATATGTATACATATATATGTATATATATATATATACATACGTTTTTTTTTTAATGTTTGTTTATGTATATTTTCATACTATATCATTTCTCTCAGAATGTGCCTACCTACCTACATACATACATACATACATACATACATATAAATATATATATATATATATATATATATCGCAGATAGATGTTCAGCTTCAAGGGTAGAAAGTGGCTTGTGTTAGTGTTTCTGAGCTTCAGAGCATGTCCTCAAACTCAGTTTTTAAACTTTGAAAGATAGGGTGCCGAGGAGTGGAGGCGAATGACAAAGTGCAGCATACATTCGGTAGAGACAGCATGTCCTGTCCATCAGACCATCCGTTTGTCTAAGTATCCATTTGTCTAAGTATCCATCTGTCTAAGCATCCATCTGCCTATCCGTCTCCATCCTTTGCATGTAAGTACATACTATAAAATATAGCAAATGTATATATGCACCGGTTCTCGAAGTGGGGGTCGCGGGGGGCAATGCACGGGGGGCAATGCTCTGCTGAGAGCTGAGGTGGTGGGCACGGGCTCTGCAGCTCCTGACACTGTCGTGCCCTGGCTCGGGGTTTAAGGTTTAGGGTTTTGGGTTTAGAGTTTAGGGTTTAGGGTTTAGGGTTTAGGGTATAGCATCCCAAGTCCAAGCATTCACTAGGCCAGCAATAGTGTTCGAGCCCAACGCCCTCAGGGCCTCAAGCCTTTCTGCGCAATCCCTTAACCGTAAACAAACACTGAAAATAAAACAGTCACCCGAAAACAAAACTGTGTATTATACAGGATGACACAACAAATTTACTAAATTGCGTCGGGCTGGCCTGTGGACTACCTCTTGCAAGATTTGTTTGGGGCAACGTTTCAGAATGAAATTCCATAAGGCTTTTCGTAGAACTGGCCGAGCTTAGCTTTCTGGATTGTCCTGGCTCTGGCTCTTTGAGATTCCTGGAGCCCAACGCCCTCAGGGTCTCAAACCTGACTGCGTATGCCCTTAACCCTCAGCACAAACCCTTTAACAAAAAAAACAACTGCCCGGAAAAAGGCTTGTGATACTAGCGGGCCACCCCAACAAAATGATGTCGCAGAGTAAGTTCTCGAAACTTGTGATTGCGGACCCTGCCTAAACTAAAGCCAGCGCAACGTTAACATGTTGCCATAGAAACCTATACCCTAAACCCCGAACCTAAACCCTAGGCCCTGAACCCTAGGCCCCAAGGCCTTGAACCCTCAACCCTCTAGACCTTGCACCCTAAACCCCACGCCCAGAACCGATTGACCGAAATTGGACCAACACAGGTCGGTGCCCAGAGAGCGAAATTTGAACAGCACCGGTGGCCGATGTAGCGAACGTTGAGTAACACCGGTGGCCGATGCAGCGAATTTGCACAGGGCTTAAATGCGCATATACATAGTATATATATAAATATGAAAGAGAGGGTTTAGGGCTTAGGGTTTTCGAGTTGCCCATCGTGCGGGTCCGCAAGGGCTAGCTTGTTCGCCAGCTCCCACTCCTTTGGTTTTGTGAGTGCAACAGCAATGAACAGCAGCTACTGCATGGAGGGCGCAGGGACCCTAGGGTTTAGGGTTTCGGGTTTAGGGTTGCTTACAAGGCTGCCCATCGCCGCTCTTAGATCGTGTGCCAGAACCCATTTCGACGATCAGCTGAATGAACGTTGTGGTCGTAGTGATGATGATGATGATGATGATGATGATGATGATTCTTATTATCGTATGCTTGTTGTGCTAGTGAGATTGTTGTGAACCTTGTCATTGTCGATAACATTGTTTGTTATCGTTATTCGTCTCCACTTTGTTTCTACTGCTATTCCTATTTGTTGATGTGTTTTTTCAGCTTTCGTTGTTGTGATGATGATGGTGGGTCGCATCATGCTGGCCCCTAGATTATCTGGGATGACAAAGCCTGAGGTCTCCAATGACGATCTAGCGGAGATCGTGGAGACCAGCGACGAATGGATCTCACAGCGCACAGGGATCAGGCGCTTCTGACAGTCGGCCCAGCATCTTTGTGTTAAGGGTTCAAGGTTTTAGGGGGATTCGTCGTATCCAGTGCATGACAGAGCTTGCAGAACCCTGAAGAAGCGAACGTTTGAGTCCTGCCTTTTCGTCGATTTGCGATGCTGCAAAACCGTGCTCTGCGACGAAGTGCCACCAGGAGAAGACATGTCCTCGCTCCCGACGAGTCGCTAGCGTGCCCTGTCTTTTGATGATGACCATGGTCATAGCACCGTCTTTCAGCACATGCCTATGCGAAGGTATCCTTCCAGGCGTGAAGCCGCAATTTGACAATGGAACATCAAAGTCATCTAAGTCGGGCAGGGCACCCTGCTGCCTACAGAGTGCGCCGGGCGTAGAACGTACACTGCAACATACACCCTGGCTGCAGTGCATGGTGGTTACTCAACCTGCACTGGCAAGCCCCAGCCTTCGATGTCGGGGTTTAGGGCAACATGGCTGAGGCCAGGCATCCAGCTGCATCCATCCCGCCCTACTAAGGCGTAAGAGCGTTCCCAGGAGAATTCCCAAAAGCCGTCTATCACAGGGTTTAGGGTTTAGGGTTTAAGGGTTGGGGTCCCATCCTTAGGCTTCTGTGAAAGAATGTCCTGCACTCAAGGTCGCTGTCTGCCAAAGCTGCAACCAGAGCTCTGGAAGCTGCAAAGATCCGTGGCAGCAGATGCCCCTGACTCTCTCTCTCCCTCTCTCTCTCTCTCGCTAGTTCTCTTTCTCTCCCTCTCTCTCTCTTTCTCGTGCTCTTTCTCTTTCTTTGTTTCTTTCTCTTTGACACACCTACAACAGCAGGGAATCTCGCTAAACACACTAGTCTCGTGAACTGGCAGTGGCTCAGGGACTGCCATACTGGCTTTACGAATCCGGCGAACGCTGCATAACCCCCCTTGGTATCATCCCAAAAGCTTTTTGTGATGCAGGAATGTAGGAAGGCATGTGGGGGAAGCGTTGCACCCCGTCGCGCATGCCTTCGGGGAGTATGTCTACATCACTAGACACAGCAACGTCCGGAGCAACGCGTAAGGGTGTAGGAGGAATGAATCTTGCTTCTGTCCAGGCCACATCGGACTGAAACGTCGCGAGCGGTAGCGCAACACATTGACAGTACTCGCACAACATTAGAGTCAGCCCGAGCTTAGGGAGCTTGGTTACAGGACAACGACCCCGAATACCATAAAGATCATGAAGCCAACGCTGCTGCAAAAGCGTACCTACACAGGTGCAGCTCTTGCCTTACAGAACTGACACGTCTGTAGATCCCTTGGGGGGCTCTCAGAAGCACGGTCGCAGCTTTCAGCTTGATGTCAACACAGTTGTTCTTCAGAACTTCGTGTGCCCCTTCAGCGGCTGGCGTCACATGTACTTGATGGCCACAACTCGTTTCAACTGCGAACATAGGCTTACAATCCCACCCCACCACCCCAAGCAGGGTGAAACCCCGGCAGCTGGAAATTGGAGGATGTCCGCTGAAGATATCGAGCTGGTGATCCACGCTACCTCCACACCGGACGATCTCTTCGGAACCGGCCCCAAGGTCGCGCACTGAGCCAGATTATTCGTTTTTTTTTTTTTTTCTTCAGGGCGGGGGGAATTCAAGTAACAATGTATAAGGAACAAGATGTTCATTCGCAGAATGAACTTACATGATGATGTTCTGAATGTCCCTCAACCAGGAAATTGCAATTCGAAGCGACATTCGCATGGCTGTTGTGCATGGTTGTTGTGGATCAGTTGAGGTGTTCATATGTGTTCATGGGGGTTCAGATGCAATCTCTCGCTCTGGTTCTGAAAAGTGAATGCGTGGCAAGTTCACACTAAAGGCCGTGAGCAATTACAAAAACATGATGTTGCAATAAGAAACATGGTATAGGAATATAGGGCTTCTAGACAAAAACATTCTGCACAATCATTGTATTTGAAAAACCATATAATGGTATAGCAACATAGTGAAATAATGCCTTGCGCAGGTGGCGTCGATGCTTGGCGCAGACAAGGCCGTAGCCTTCGATTTGACGGCAGCCTGTTCAGGCAGGTTGGCAGGGCAGGGCAGGATGCTACGTACTAGATTATTCGACTAGACTGTTGCGCATTATTATTGCTATTATTGCGCATTGATTTTTCTAGAATAAAAAGGTTATGCTACTATGTTATAACTGTACTGTTATACCCTTATTGTGTTTCATCAATCTGACCACTTTCCTGGATATCCTTGTGGGGGGGGGGGGGGGGCGACTTTGCACATAGGCAGCCCTTTTGGCCTACACCCCAAACCCTAAACCCGAAACGCGAAACCCTTTTGGCTGCAGCTCTTTTGGCTGCAGGCTTCGTCTTCGCCTTAACAACCGCAGCGCAGTATGTGCGCCGCGGCCTCGGCTTCGCCCGCAGGAGTTGCTGTCAATCTGGCGGAGCATGCGATCTGTTTGTTTAGGGTTTAGGGTTCAGGGTTTCGGGTTTAGGGTTTAGGGGTCCTGCAGTGGAGTGGCAGCAGGAAGCCGGAAGCTGGAGCAGAAGTGCCAAGGTCGAGTTTGTTACCTGCGAGTAAAGAAGGCCAAGAAAGCAGCGGCCAGAGAAGCTCATAGACACTCTGTAAATCAGCCCCCGCAACGCGAGCTCTTTTTCCTCACCCTATGCGATCTCAATCCCCAAATCCCCAACCACGGTGTGCCGAGGCTCGGGTGCTTACAAATCCGCAGTTGTCATTGGTGCGGATTGCGCCCAGCCTCAGAGATCTTCAGAGGTGAGGGATGAGGTTTATTCGGGATCTTTCGAGTCGAGGTTGTTGAGGTGTGGAACATAATAGCCATGGCTGGTCTTGGAATCGTGCTCGAGAACCTGCGAGAACCTGGAGCTCGCAAGGCTTATCTCGCTGGGTCGACTGGTCCGACCGCAACACCTGCGTCCTCTTTGGCGACGGTGCTGGCGCAGTTGTGATCACCGCGACAGACGTGGAAAAGGATGCCGTGGCCCTAGCTGAGGGTAGGACTTCTCACTGGATGCATTCGGCTTCGGCGATCAGAGAGACAGAGACAGGGACAGGGACAGAGACAGAGACAGAGCGACAGAGAGAGAGAGAGAGGATAAACAGATTGTCTGGGATGCGGGATGGAAACATGGGAGGCCGGAGGCGTTGCAGATGTGCTCCTCAACGTTTCCCGCAAGCTTCGGTTTTAAGTTTGTTGTTACTGAAGCAGTTGGACTTATGTGATGGCCCCCCTCATTCTGCGAATCTCTTAGCACATGCCTTTGTGTGTTGCTGAGGCATTGATTGGTTTTCATATGGGCAGCGATGGCAACGGACACCGCTTCTTGTGATAGTCATGTGAATTGTTATGGTGCTCTGGTAGAATTGGCGATCTGTCGGGGACCTGATCAAGCTGTTTAATATTTGATGCTTCCAAGACTGGTGCTTCGATCTTCGATGTAGCTTATGGGACCTGATAAGAAGCCAGGCTCCTAATCCAGGTCACACGGCGTCCAGCATCACCGTTTGTCTTGGTATGTGTGGGTTGCTTATATTGCTTGCGGCGAGGCATGGCGTGCGTGGATATAACATGCCTCAGCTACAGCCTGGAACAGTTGCAGTCTTGAGGCGTCTGGCAGCTTGATGAGAGTTCGTACAGAGTTGCTTCCGTTTGTTTAACATGGTCTAACGACGGTCTGAGTTTCAGCAGGCCCCCACGCAGCCAACGCGCAAGCTTCAAATGCCGCTCCTGGGCCATCCCATGCTAAGCCTCGCTTAACCGGAGCGAACTTGCAACCACGAAGCCAACAAGATCCCCAAAGGCCACCACGGACGACGCGAGCCGAAACCAAGACCAATCTCCTTCGCTACCACAAACACCTTTAAACCCTAAACCCTAAACCCTAAACCCTGAACCCTGAACCCTGAACCCTGAAACCCTAAACTGGCCCTAAACCCTAAACCCTTCACCAGGATCTTGCCACCTCGGCTTGTTGGCCGAGACCGATGGCGTGTCCTTAGGAAGCGGCCCGGTGCCGAGAGCTTGCTTGCGGGAGCCGAGTGGCGTTTTTAGGGTTTTTAGGGTTTATAGGGTTTATAGGGTTTATAGGGTTTATAGGGTTTATAGGGTTTATAGGGTTTATAGGGTTTATAGGGTTTATAGGGTTTATAGGGTTTAGAGGGTTTAGAGGGTTTAGAGGGTTTAGAGGGTTTAGAGGGTTTATAGGGTTTATAGGGTTTGTAGGGTTTATAGGGTTTAGGGTTTAGGGGTATTGGGGTTGCGCCTAAGAGGGGTTTGATGCGGTGGTCTCGTGGCCAAGCTGTAACAAGGCCATGCGGCCCTGATTGACAGTTGCCAAGAGGCCTCATGTTGCTTGGAGCTTATGCGAGCACAGACTCTGAATCCTAAGTCAGCCCAATTCCTGTAGCTTTCGGAGGCGATTCCCGAGGCTGGCCTCAGTTCCCTTAGAACAAATTTGTTTCTGGAGATGCTTCCCACTCAGGCAAGGAAGGCGGCACCGGAACATACCAGAAAGTTGGCATGAATGGAGCCTGGGATGTCAATTTGGCAACTTCTCCAGGATGTGTTCCCTTTGGGGGGGGGGTTTGCTATTACATACATTAAGGGTACCCAAAAAAGGGGCCCATCATGTAGAGAGCTGACCATGGCTCTCCCCCAATGGGGGTCACTCCTTGGTACGAGAGAGGGCTTCAGAGGTCGTGGGGGGTCTGGGGATTTCAGTGCCGTGCTTTTAGGGCAGCATCAGCTTGATAGTGACCACTTTTCAGAGCCACAAGAGGCATTTCTAAAACCCTAGACCCCGAACCCTAAACCCTAAACCCTTGAAGCTTCCTATCGTTGGCCCTGAGCCTGGCAAGATCGACACCCGACAGATCTCAAGGCCCTACCTACACTGACCCCAATCCAGAAGCAGGGTTTGGGACGGGGGAGGGGTTTAGGTTTTAGAGTTTTGGGGTTTTAGGACTTTTGAGTTTTGGGAGATTTTAGGGGTTTTTAGGGGTTTTAGGGTTTTAGGAGTTTAGGTTTTAGGGTTTCAGGGTTTAGGGTTTCAGGGTTTAGGGTTTTGGGGTTTCGGGGTGTGGGGTTTCAGGGGTTTAGGAGTTTAGCGGCCCCCAAGCCTTAGAGAGTCGGTCTGAAAGAGCCCCCGCCTTAAGCTTAAACTCCCTAAACCCTAAACCCTAAACCCTAAACCCTAAACCCTTAAACTTTCGGTTCGCAGGCCAACAGGAGTCCTGCGGACATAACAGCAAGGGACTAAAGGAGGGACCCTTCTAAGGGACCGTAGGGGTTCTTCAGGAGGTTCTTTAGGGGTTGCTTAAGGTATGTAGGGGCTATAAGGTGTATATATATATATATAGGGGTAATCTACGTAGGGGAATAAGAGAACAGCTCGATCTGCAGCCTGCCTGTGGTTTCGGGTTCAGGGTCTAGGGCTTTCGGCTTTAGGGTTTACGGTTTGGGGCGTATATGAGTTTCGCAAGCAGCACCTATAAACCTTGCCCATAAGATGCCTATGGGCGGGAAGCTGCAACCTAAAGCCCTGAGCAGCTCAGCTCCACGCCCTCGAAGCAATAGACTATAGCAACAAGCCCTCAAGAGTGCAACAAACTCAACAGCCCTAATGTCCCTACAGTACGCACCCTAAACGCCTGTAGAACCCTGAAAGCCCTATAACCCCAAAAGCCCTACAACTTAAATCCTAAACCCTAAATCCTGAACCCTAAGCCCTAAATCCTAAACCCTAAACCCTAAACCCTAAACCCCCAAATTCCCAACCCTTGGCTCCTTCTGAGGCAAAGAAGTTTTTCGCTTCGCGACCAGCAGGGCTCCAGAGGCGCTAGGAGGGGGGTTTAGGGTTTAGGGTTTAGGATTTAGGGTTCAGGGTTTAGGGTTTAGGATTTAGGTTTTGGGGTTTAGGGTTTTAAGGTTTGGGGTGACGCTTCTGTTCCAGTCAGAGCCGTAGCCACAGTTGTAGCCGTAGTCGTAGTCATAGTCGTAGAAAGTTGTCATAGCAGACAGCAGTAGTAGCCATAAACGTAATGATCGTAGTTATTGTCTGCTTACTATGCAAAGGCAATGGTGCGATTAACGGATCACCTCAACTTCCACCATAGAATGAGCACTCCAGGTTTCTGGCAGTCAGGTTGAAAGTAAACCCTTAAAGGTATATATCAGGTATATCAGGGTCCAAGGTGATTTGCCCGCATTAGGTGCCCAGACACAAACCCCGTGGAAGCAAAACCTTGCAGGATAGTGCGGGCCACCCGGAGTTGCGATCTAGATCTCGAAGAGCCATAGACAGCTCTGCGCCAGACACTTTCCCGACTCATGGAAAAGCACAACATCAGTGGCGAAGAGGCGCACGTGGCTGAACTCAAGATGCAATTCTAAGCTTTAAATCCCACGACTCACACCCGTTGGTAGCAACTAGCTGCAATGTCAAGCAACCCACCCCACCCCTCCAAATACTATATATATGTATATGTATATATATATATATATATTCTATGTTCATGTATGTGTATATGTATATAGGGCTATGGGTCTGAACCCCGACGTAGAGACAGCGGTAAGTTGATCTTAGGGACATGCCTTTGCGAAGGGAGGGACATGCAAATCAAATCAGCAATTTGGGACTGCTCCTGAGTGACCCTAAACCCTAAACCCTAAACCCTAAACCCTAAACCCTAAACCCTAAACCCTAAACCCTAAACCCTATACCCTATACCCTATAAACCCTAAACCCCAAACCCCAAACCGCTTCTGTGAAGGTCGACTGGCTGCTCCTGCACCAGGCGACGAGATGTTCAGAGCTGTCTTGTTCAAACCATAACCCTGCTCGAAGTTTCTGCTAGCATCCAGTCAGTCCGGCCATCAACGAGATACTTAGTAGCTGAGTGAGCACACTTTATACCTATAAGGATACTAGAATCCCCTATAGAACTGAAAGTGTACACTTTGGGGGACTATGAACTCGGTGCTCCCAAGTTGCAGGCAAATCGCCGGATCATGGATTCGGCAGCGCGCAGGCTGAAGTTGCCCAAGGACTTCCCCTTTCGCGGGTTTTGCGACGGTTTTTTTTTTTTTTTTTTGGGGGGGGGGGGGGGGGGGCGGTCCTGTAGGGTTTAGAGTTTAGGGTTTATAGGGTTTATGGGGCCCTCATGAAATTTTTCGCACAGCTGAAGCCCAAGCCAACAAAGCAAACATGCGAAACTCTGCGCACGTGCCCGTGGTCCAACGCATACTTCCTACGAGCCCTGAAGCCTAAATCGTAGACAGCCACAGCTCGAACCCTAAGCCAGTTCCTGACCGTGGGATAAGACTCGGGTGGGACACCGCCGTGCACTGTTTGTGTTCCCTGTTTATCGAAAAAGGAACGAGCGAGTGCTTGCGAAGCCCAACAGCCCTTGCTTCCGAGTTAGAAGGACTTGTGAGGATCTGAACCTCAAAGCCCCCCAAATCTGGAGCTTGACAAAAGGAGAAGATCCTCTGTAACTTGGATGAGTACGGCAACACCTCGGCTGCCTCCATCCCGCTTGCCCTGGACGAGGACGGGAATCGGCGGGATTGGGGGCCCACTTGGGGCTTGCGCTTGGGGATGGGCAGGCCCCTGACGCCCTGAAGCCCTGCAAGCCCCCTGGGAGGAAGAGTATACTGGTAATGGGCTAAGAGTACCCTACCTAGAGTCGTGTTTCTCCGTTCTACTTGCAGTTCGTTCAACAGATCTCGGAAATCAGTGTTCAAAGTGTCGAAATCTCGGCAAGTGCCTGCGTCTGATGCTATGCAGGCCGCGTTTATACGAGGGTACAGGTTTAGGGGGAAGTGTGAGGTTTCAGAATGGAACAAGCAGCAACTCATAACCCCTCTATGTATGTATTTATGTGTATATATATATACATATAAGTACTTTCTGTGTATATCTGCCTTTATTCATTTTATATACATGTAGCCATCTATCTGTATATACATATATATGTATATACGTATATGTATACAGAAAGTATGCACCCGGAATTGTCTTGGCCTGGATGTGCCCGCTCGAAACAACCCAAAACCCTAAACTCCTAATACCCGAAACCCTAAGACCCTAAACTCCTAAGACCCTAATACCCGAATGCCCTAAACCCTAAACCCTAAACCCTAAACCCTAAACCCTAAACCCTAAACCCTAAACCCTAAACCCTAAACCCTAAACCCTAAACCCTAAACCCTAAACCCTAGCCCTAAACCCTAGACCCTAAACCCTAATACCCGAATGCCCTAATACCCGAATACCCTAATACCCTAATACCCGAAACTCTAAGACCCGAAACCCGAAACCCGAGTACCCGAAACCCTAAACCCTACTAAACCCCAGTACCCTAAACCCTAAACCCTACTACCCTAGTACCCCAATACCCTAAACCCACAGCCCCACGAGCCGCCCCATGTCAGGCAGTGAAGGAAGGCAAGGTTCAGCCAGGACATCCTTTAGGGTTTAGGGTTTGGGGTTTAGGGTTTAGGGCTTAGGGTTTAGGGTTTCGGGTTTAGGGTTTCGGGTATTAGGGTTTAGGGTTTAGGGTTTAGGTTGGGATGTTCCCCCTTATACGAACAGTCCTTAATAGGGATGATCGTACCCCCTATAATCATCTCGATTCAGGACTGTTAGTATAAGCTCCCAAGGTTTAGGGTTTAGGGGTTTGGGGGGGTCTTGCTGGGGCTACGGAGTTTATGGTCTAAGGCTGCAGGGCTTCAGGACTTGTGTTCTCGAACCTGAATTTGGTCCGCTGATTGGCATGTGGTGACTTTGCATCCGAAATCTGGAGTCTCTATCCTCCATCACCTCTCATCTTTGATCCGTCACTAGCTTTCGCAAATTTCCGCAAGCTCTTGAGGACAGCTGGTGGCTTGCTGTGGCTTTGGTGCCGGGCTGACTTGGGGAGGCCGGCGGCTGCTTCGCGCTGCTTTCGCTGAAGTTCGCCAGGATCTAGCTAGCATCTGCCGACCTGCCTTTTAGGGCCTGGAAGACATGAATGTACATTGTGCATGGTTTGACTGTGTTGAGTTTTTCTGGAGAAGCCCGTGATGAGGCAGAACAGTGTGGTTGCGTGTCGCCGCGCCTCACACTCTTCATCAAGCTTCGCTTGCCATTAACACGGCCAGCCATGCGTTAAAGCTTAGACTCCAAGGAGGCACCTCACCCATTGGACCCATCTGCAGTCAACCTTGCAAGCCTCACAAGCCTGACGAGCCCCCTTGCTGCCCCTAGCGCAGCGGCGCGCATATCGGATGGCGCAAACCGGTGAAGGGCTTAGCGTCGGAGCTGCTAGATGCCCAGTGCCCAGCGCCGACTTCGATGTTTATATCTTTCTAGTTGCAACGCAGCGTTTTCACCCTATAGGGTCCCGAAAGCCCAAAGACCCCGAGCCCTAAGCCATGAAAAGACGAAGACAAGTCTCCAGCGCCAAGGCTCTCCCTGGGCTTTGCCCGGTCTGTTAGGTGCTGCCGCGCTCGTGGTGGCACTTTTGCCAGACCGCCTGGCCGCCAAGGGGGCAGAGGGCTCTCTTCTTTGTTGGAAGTCTGGGGCCTTTGATATTTTCGACTGGGGTCACCTGGGCTGCCTTGCTTTTGGGCAGAGTTGGGTCGTGAGATGTGCGCGCTCGCAAGCGCGCGCATGCGTGTGTGTAGAACAGTCAGCCTTAAACGACTCTGTGCACATTGCGCCACACTCTGACCTTGTAGATCAAGGGATAAGCAATCGAGTGTTTTGCAAAGCCTTGACCGCTTTGGCACTGGGCTCGAAGCTGTAAGTGAACATCCCACTCCAGCGGCCCGTTGCGCGCCTCCCTAACCTCCTCGAAACATGAGCCTCGCGTTTGCGGTGGGCCAGCCGACACTCACTCAGAGGACCAGCCGTCTGCGCAGGGACACGCAGGATTACATCTTAGCTGTGCCATTGAAATTGTCAGTCTATGCACATTATATATATATATATATATATATATTATTTACATCTCTGCATCTTGTGTATACGTTGTATGTTTTCCATATACATTATACTATTTCGTATTAGAATTACATACTATACATACGTACATACATACGTACACAAACAACCCAACAAACAGACAGACATACATGCATACATGCACAGATGTATAGGCCAGCCCGCTCCAAAGTGCATGGTCGCAGTACAGGACGGGGCCGCTCGATGCCAGAACCACAGGTCCGGCGCAGCGGACTGAGAGATTGACCGACGCTTCAGGACTGGGTTTCGTGTTGAGGGCTTTGGGTAGAGAGGGGGCGGGGGTCACGTTGAGTCTAGAATGATCAGTTACCTTTTTGGTACCTCGTGCACCTCCCAACAATGCACGAGACGTCAGAGAATTGTCAAGTCCTTAATGCCAAACTTCTCCTCTTAAGCCCTACGCCCCCAGCCCCAAACCCAAAGCCCCAGAACCTTCACCGATGAGTTTGGGCATCTTTCCTCCGCAGGACGGGGATGGCAGTCCCTGGGAGCTGCGGTGGCCCTTGCCGCTGCGGCTGGTTCGAAGGTTCGTCCTGCAGCCCCAAGACCCTCAAACAACCCCCAAAATCCCCAACCCCAATACATCCTAACTTACTCTAACCCTAGAAATATGATGCTAAATATTAGGGGTGGCTTGTTGATCTGCGAACCTTCAAAGTTTGGACACTATGAGGATCTGCAGGAGCCTCGTGCAGGGTTTGGGGTCTAAGGTTTAGGGGTATAGGCTTGGGTGTTTAGGGTGTATAGGAACAGTAATTAGCTGCAGGCTGGAGACTGTGAAGAACGGTAGCAATCAGCGCTTGTTTTGAGTTTCTGGGTTCGATTAAGAGAGTCGTTTCTCAAAGGTGCCGACAGCGAAGGAGCCGAATTCCGTCCAGCTTTTAGGTTTTAGGGTTTAGGACTTAGGGTTTAGGGTTTAGGGTTGAGGGCTTAGGGTTGGTTTCAGGGGTGCTGGCTGATATCTGCAGTGATAGGACAGCCGGGACAGCTGTGCTTCATAAAGGGTCACCGAAAGCGTTGGTCTGCCCTAGTGGTCTGACCCTATACGCCCGTTCAACCCTGCAACCCCTACAAACCCTAAAAGCCTAAACCCTAAACCCTAAACCCTGTACCCTAAACCCTAAAAACCCTGTAAGCCCGAATGGGTTCGCGTGACCTTGGGAGGTTGCTCGACGATCTCGCGGCACGAGTCGGATAACTCTCTTCGCCGACCGGCGGGTGGTGGTGACAGGCCACTGCGCACATGGCACAGGGCACTTTTGGGTTTAGGGTTTAGGGTTCAGGGTTGTAGATCCCTCAGCCCTGAACCAGAAGTCCTAAAACCCTATGAACCCCAGAGTTCCTTTTTTGTCTGGCTTGGTCATGGAGGTCTTAGGCCCTTATATAGGCGTGCCCTGGAAGTTGGCCAGTCACTTGCCATGTCTTACCATGCGATTCTCATGTCGAGAGTGAGAAAGCAGTGCAAAAGCAAGGGTTACGGGCTCTCTCTAGCAGTGACAGGGCTGATAGGGCTTGCACATGAGCTTCATGAGAACTTGACGACTGAAGACAATGCGGCACGTCGATCCAGGCATGGGTATCACGAGCTGCCTTGGGAACAGCTTAGACGAGGTGGCCGAGTCGCTTCACGAGGGAAAGTCCGGGATCACCTTCTCCGAGGAGTATGAGAATCTAGGCAGGGCCCTCTGTGGGATATTCCTACATTTTCCCTTATTTTGGGGGTTCTCATCTAGTCCTCATATGACTCATATCTCCAAGATTTTTCACAGGGTTTTCTGGGTCCAGCCGAGGAAGTATGGCATCAAGAGCCAGGTCCGTGGCGTGCCGGAGTTGACGACGGAAGAGATCAAGAAGCTGATCCCGAGAAAAGCCCTGCGATTCATGGGCCGCAACGCGCAGCTCCTGGGCTCCTGTTGCGGTTTAGGGTTTCGGGTTTAGGGTTTACCATAACCCTAAACCCTAAACCCTAAACTTCTAAACCCTAAACCCTAAACCCTAAACCCTAAACCCTAAACCCTAAACCCTAAACCCTAAACCCTAAACCCTAAACCCTACCCTAAACCCTAAACCCTAAACTTCTAAACCCTAAACCCTAAACCCTAAACCCTATAACCCTATAACCCTATAACCCTATAACCCTATAACCCTATAACCCTATAACCCTATAACCCTATAAACCCTAAACCCTAAACCCTAAACCCTAAGCCCTAAACCCTAACTAAACCCTAAACTTAAGTTACCATAATTATCGGGGTCAGATAGCAAATGACAGTATGTTGGATGTTGTCATGGGTGGTAACTTCAGTTAAAGTCCCTAAGAATCCCAGGTATGCATACATCGCCCTGCAGCGTGCCATCGACGATGCAGGGCTGAAGCCAGAGGACTATGAAAACAATGAGCGCTGTGCCAGCATCCTAGGCCAGGGTGGCACCTCCATCGTGGATGTCACGGAGAGTGTCGGCTTCGTGGAAGACCAAGTGAAGCGCTGGCCCAGCAAGGTGGGGCCCTACCGCGTTACTCGCACCATGGGCTCCACAGTTTCCGCGGTCCTCTCCTCCAGCTTCAAGTTGCAGGGCCCATCCTTCTCCATCTCCTCCGCATGCTCTACCGGGGCCCACTGCATCGGCGTGGCGATGGAGCAGATCCAGTTGAACAAGGCTGACATGGCAATGGCTGGTGCAGGCTGGGACTCATCTCTGGCACACCCCGCCCCCCCAATCCCCCCCCCCCGCCCTCCACAAGAAGCATGTCTAACAACATGCCCTTCTCGTATAGCAACAGTAATCATCTGCCCCTGCCATGCCCATCCTAGTGACCCCCATAAAAGCCTTAACCCTACAAAACCACACCACCAAAAAGCATAGAAGCCCCTTTTAAAGGGACCCCCCACAAAGTGTACCCCTATTTTCGGAAACCCCCAGGTGAGAATGAATGTTGGGAGTTCACGGCGATGTTCGACTGCATGGGGGCGCTGTCGACCAAGCGAAACTCCGATCCGACGACGGCCTCGAGAGCCTTTGACAAAGATCGCCCCTTGGCAATGCTGTTATATATATATATATACTTATACCCATACAATACATATACATATATATATATACATATGTATACATACACTCAACAGCCCATCCCCCCCCCAAAAAAAAAAATAATAATAACTAAAACATATATATATATCCAAACCCTAAGCCTAAAAACACTCCTCTGAGTAATCAGGCGATGGCTTCGTCATTGCCGGAGGCGGTGGCATGCTGGTCCTTGAGGTTGGCTTCTAAGTGCGTGGGGTTGGACGTGTTTGTAGGGTCTCGCGTTTCTTTTTGTTGGGCGGTGTTTTGGGATTGAAGGGCTTGAGGGCTTCAAGTCATGCGCAAGGTCCAAGGTTGTGCGGGCTCTGCATAGGGATCATAGGGTATAGGGTATATGACCCCAATTTTAGGGTTCATTTGGTTTTTCAGGGTTTGCGGTCGACTCGAACTCCCCCCGCATGCAGGAGCTGGAGCATGCAAAGGCTCGCGGTGCGAAGATCTATGCGGAGCTGACTGGCTACGGGGCCAACTCCGACGGCCTCTCGGAGTTGTCAGGAAGGAGATAAGTTGGGACGTTCTCCCTTATACTATTACTAGAATCCCTATGAGGGACTGCTAGTATAAGGGGGGGAACATTTCAAGATAGAAGGCGGTTGATAAGGCGCGTGCAGAAACGTCCGCGCTGTGGTGCAGAAGTTGCCAGCAACTGTGTCGCAGTGAATTCCGACTCAGGCTACGATGTGGTGGCCCCGTCAGGTGTCGGTGGTGAGCGATGCATGAAGATCGCCATGTCCATGGCCGATGACATTGCCGGTGAGAAAGAAGTCGGTTACGTGAACACGCACGGCACGTCTACCCCGGTCGGTGACTTGGTAGCCCAGGGGTACCTTTTTTTTGGGTATGGTTCCCTTGTAAAGTAACCAACCCCAAAAAGGGTGCCCTTATCATAAAATGGTTACTGGGCTGACCCTAAACCCTAAACCCTAAACCCTAAACCCTAAACCCACAAAGGTGATGTACAGGAGCTGGGTGCCGTGAATCGCGTCTTTACCGAGAAAGGATATCAGCCCTTCGTCGGCTCCACGAAGTCCATGTGCCTTGGGCTGCGGTTGGCGACCTGAATTCGGTGGTTTTGGAGTTTAGGGGGTGTAGGGTTTAGGGTTTGGGGTTTAGGGTTCATAGGGTTGTTGGGTTTTTTCGGATACGCTTGAAATCCTCGAAAGCAGGTCCGGCCATGCCCTTGGGGCAGCAGGGGTGCATGAGGCGATCTACTCGATCCTGATGATGAACCGGGAGTTTTTGGCGGAGTCCATCAACATCGAGGAGCCCGAAAACTTCTGCAAAAATGGGCTTGCTGGGGGGTGAGCAAACCCCCGCCCCCCCCCCCCCCCCCAAAAAAAAAAAAAAAAGAAGGCCACGACCATAAGCTATCCAATTCCGAGGACCTGGTTGATGAGGCAGAGGGCATGAAGATCCTCACGGAGCGCCACGAGGGCGGCGTTGCCCGAGTGGCGTCCAACTCCTTCGGCTTCGGCGGCACAAACGCCTGCCTCGTCTTCGACAAGTATGAGGGATGAGAGGGAGGAGCAGACTAGAATGTGAATCAGTTTTGGCAGTGCAGCTGCTATCCACTCCGTGGGGAAGCCACCAGGATTTCAAGTGGCCCTCCCACGATGGCAGCCGATGCTGTCCCCACTTGGCTTAAAAAAGGCTTCCCAGCTGCATATTTCTTGCATGAGGCAAAGTCTCACGCGCGGCACAAGTCCTTCCCAGCTGCATTGTCGGGAACTAGTTTTAGGGTTTAGGGTTTAGGGTTTTACGGGTGGGTGACAGGAGTTCCCACATCGAGCTTCTATGGCAAAGTGCCACGGTCATAGCAGCGATATCACGATAACGGCGTATCGGCTCATCCTCGACAAGCAGCTGATGCCCCAAACGCGTTAAACCTTCCAGGTTTTCCAACTCAATGGCCCGCGCGGGCCTCCTTTGTAGGATGTTTTTTTACGGAATTCTCCCCACAGTGAAATGAAAGGACTCTGGACTCTGCTGCTCTTGCGAGGGAAAAGCCGCGTTTGTTACTTCTGCACGCTGAGTACATCTGAAGCCTAAGACCTTTGGATGTTCCTGCTTATACGAGCAGTCCTTAATAGGGATTATAGCAGTGGGTGGGTGGGGGTACTATAATCCCTGTTGGGACTCTTAGTATAAGGAGGAACATCCCAATATAAATAAGACCAAAGAAGGCATCTTGCCCACCTCCCAGTAGGCCCAATATGTATGGCTTTCGGTTGGAGGCGTCCCCGAAAATGGGATCGATCGCCTGTGAAGCTTGGGGGGGCATGCAGCTTCAGATAATAAGCATCAGCATGAAGCTCCCCAGTCAGTCTATGCTTTGTATGGTAGAAAGGAGAGGCTGTGCACTGTCCTTGCAGTCGCTGGCTGAAGCCTTCAGAGACCCGGTGACAACGAAGAACTCAAGCCACTATCCCTCGGACCTTTCGAAAGCCCTCCTCGGCATACATACCAGATCCCTGCAAACCCCATATGCCACAAGCCTCTGCAATCTGAATATCATGTCAACCTTAGCTTTTCTGAGGCGCCCCGGCGGTTTTCCTGGCGCTCGCCGCGATCCTTGTGTCGCCTGGAGCCGCGGAAATCTTCGGTGCATCCCCCAGACTGCTACAAGAACCTCTAAGTTCGGGTTTAGGGTTTAGGGTTTAGGGTTTATAGGGTTTAGGGTTTAGGGTTTAGGGTTTAGGGTTTAGGGTTTAGGGTTTAGGGTCCTTTTATTAGGTTTTATGACCCAGACTGCTACAAGTATGTCCTTATATCATGAGGGTACTTTGAGGGGGTCCCGAGCTTTCAACAGCACATTTCAGACAGACCTCCCATGTCCCTGGAGCACATGCGAACCCACCCTGGGGGTTAAGGGTTGAAGGGTTTAGGTTTCGCAACTCCCATCTTCTTGCAGGTGATGATGCGCTGATGCACAACTAAGAGCTAGACACCACCGCCACCTCGTGCGCCTGAGGTTCTTTCAACAGCTCAGGCCGAGAAAGCCGGGCTGTTGCAGAGCTACTCTTTTCCGGTACACGTTTGAGGGCTTGGGTTTGTTGGGTTCTTCTTCTCAGCTGCCCAAGACCAACCTAAACCCTACACCCTAAACCTGAAACCCTAAACCCTAAACCCTAAACCCACAAACGGCTCACCATGCTCATCCTTTTTGAGCGCACACTCCCGGTCTCAGATTACAGCCTTGGTTCTTGGCTTAGACGTCCCGACTTCTATGCATGAGCGTTTCGGGTTCAGTGTCGAAGCCTTGGGGCTTTGCAAGGCTTCATTCAGGCTTTGCGGTGCAGTTCACTTGCGCCACAATTTGTGCACTTATCTCACCCCCACTGTCAGCACAGCAGCTGCCATTTCCTCCACAAGTACCCCCAGTCACCAGTCGAAATGCCAATACAAATCGCAGCCACTACTGCTGCTGAGAACTGGCAACCCTAAGCCCTAAACCCTAAACCCTAAACCCTAAACCCTGACTCCCTCTAGGAGTCCTGCGAGGCCTCACTGGCATCCTCGAGGCCGTCAAGCAGCAGGTCGTGTCGCTGCTTGTGGCCGCCGGGGGCTCGGAGGCTACCGGAGCTGATCGCGGCTTTGGCGAAGGAGCAATTGAAGGGTTTAGGGTTTAGGGTTTAGGGTTCAGGGTTCAGGGTTTAGGGTTTATTAAGCTGCCGAGAAGTTGTGTTGGAGGAGGTTGTGCCATCTTGTCTGGTAGCGTTTTCTGAGTGGCTGAGAAGGCGGTTTTGTTGCCCGGCTTTTGGTTGAAGTGCCCTGCACTTGTATTCTTGCAGCTCGACAAGCCTAGCCTGCACACCCTGAAGCCAGGAAAGCCTAAGATGGAAAACTGCATGCAAAGAAGCCAGCAAGAAGGATGGGCTTGTAAGACCGGAGTGGGTGCCCGACATATTCGGGTAGCCGTGAAATCAAGACTCGTGCTTCGCCGGTAGGAGCATCTGATGCGAACCTTGATGTCCCCTACAAGTTGGCACAGGAATCATGGACACTTACCAACGCCGACTCCTTCCCCAAACCCTACAATCCCTGAACTCTAAGCCCCGCAAGCCCTGCATTCAAAACCCCGAGGGGCTCCCAAGTTGAGTACCCACCGAAGCTCAGCGTGCTCTGCCCGTTGAGGTGCTCGACCCCTCCTTGAAAGCCTCACTGCCCCCAGCACTGATCTCCACGTTCAAGGACGCGCGCTGGGTTTCCAACTATAATGCTAAATAGCTAAATGCATTTAGTAGTTATACTAAGTTACTGTCAACAGACTAGGAATATGTTATGTTAGTCTCAAGTCACATAGCATCGGACAAGAGGTTAAAAATGCTGGCAGTTCAAGACAAGAGAAGCAGTGCATCTGTTGATGGAAGCGGCTTCTTCCATGCGGAGCACTGGTATCTAGGTGTAACTCACAGTAAATTGGCACACCGCAAGCATGCATGAAGCATGCGGGTCAGTGGAGGAGCACGGGCACGCCATGCGGCAACATACAGCTACCCCCGTTTACCCTGCACGTCAAAATACCTTCGTGTTAGCGCATTGTTTGGGGAATGTTTTTGGCTGTTGTCAAGCGTTATTGTGCTGTCGTGGTTGCTTTCTCCAGGACCCTAAACCCGAAACCCTAAACCCCAAACCCTAAACCCTAAACCCCAAACCCCAAAACCCCCAAGCAGTACACTCTGGGTGGCCAGGACGAGAAGATGGCGAAGAGCATCGTCGTCATGATGGAAGCATGGCGCAGATTCCGTTGATTCGGCCCCCATCAATAAGCATTATTCTGACCTTTCGTTGTAGTAGTGATAAATGGTGAAAATCGCAACTACATACATAGCTACAGACACATCTTGTATGTTTATAAATGTTTGTGGGCCCGCTATGACGTCTGCAGGTCAGATGCAAGCCCTGCTAAGTCTAGATTCGTTCTCCGAACTCGCCACAACCTTGTAAGCGATACATTGCATGGGTCTTGTTGACATGGTGGGCATGTGAGGAATCCGGCTAAGAGTTTAAGGTTTCAGGCTCAGGGGAACAAGCCGCACCTAGAACAACAGATTCCCGTCCGGAGAAGTGAGAACCCAGGACCTACCACCGAGCATCTTTTTGTCACCCCGACCCCCAAGTCGGGGATTGTACTCACAAGCTCTGTCACGATGAGAAATACGAGACAATGTATCAGTTCCATTCTTTTTCAGCAGCTTTCTTCTTGGAGGGAGCTCCGTAGTGCTCGAGGCCAAGAGGCGGTCAGAACCCATGGCTTTGCCCCTAAACCCGAAACCCTTATAATATATTTCTCTAATTAAAAAGAAAAGAGAAAAATATGCTGAATTAATATCTGATGTATAATGTAAACCTAAGAAGATTCCTGTAATAATTTGTAATAAAATAGTAATTCCTAATAAAAACCAATATTCCAAAAATAATTTATGATCAAAGGACAAGGATATGATTGTAAATGAGATTTCATTAGTAATGCAAAATATGCTGCATTCACTTTGTTCCTGTACTTCGTTCATGCCTTATTCATTATATTCATGCCTCGCGGGCTCGTTATAATATAATAAATAATGCACTCTCTACGTAGTTTTAATACTATTATTACCCTTAACCCTAAACCCTAAACCCCAGTTCCCAGACGCCACTTGCGTGGCGCTGTCACCGAGGACCACATGATGGCAGATCCCGAGTTCGTGGAGGTGCTTGACTCGGCCCACAGTAGCTTAAACCAATTATAGCTGTACTGACAACTGTACTTGTAACCCATATTCGGGCACTTCATTAAGGGGCTTATAAGTGGGTTATAAGTACAGTGATAATTGGTTAATAATGAGTACCATGAAACTCCGAGTAGGAACAAGCCATGGAAAAGTCGTGAAGGTTTGCGTGCGACATGGCGAGCGGCTATAGCTCCGAAGCAGACGCAAGCTCAGTGTCCTCCGCGGTGAGGTCCTAAAGAACTTCATCAACACGTCGATGACGAATGAGGATCTCTTACTTGCGAGTGGTTGGCAATTTGGGCAATATTTGGGATGGGAGAATGAGATGCAGGGATATCATGGCAACAAGCTGGCATTCAGCACGTCCTCCGGCCACGCATCTCACACAAACCCATGCTTGACCGTTGTTCGTGAGGGTGTTGCCATGATCTTATGTTGCCGGTGCAACACTGCATTTGACTCAGAGTTCAGCCTACACTGGGGGCTTGACATCGGTCCAAGCTCCCAGCCGGTGACACGAGGCGCTGCTGGGCAGTTTGAAGAAGGTGATGCAGGAGGCGCAGGGGCTGAGCCAGGTTTATCTTCCTGAAATCGAGTGCGTCACCCGGGAGGCGCTGGCCGACAGCCATCTCTACAAGTCGGCCATGCACGGTGCACCGTGCCCTGTTTTGGGTTTTCGGGGCTGCTTCTCATATGCTATTGCATGACAATGTGTGTGTGTGTGTGCCTCTGTGTGTGCAAGGCCCAAACCAAAGAGGGGCTGCAGCTGCAGGATTCTGTGCCTCCGGTGTGTTCACGAGTTCTCGAATGTTTGCCGAGTCATCATAGGTAGTTATTTCTTTTTTAGTATTAACTGATGATGCCTGCCATTGCAAGCGCTAGGGTGACATCCCAGAAAAAGAGGGCAAATGCAGCTCACGCGATTAGCCTTCAAGGTTCTTTGTAGCTGCTGGGCCTTTCCTAAGTCTCTGAAGCCAGGGGTCGCGAGCAGCTTGAATCCACTTCACAGCGATACTCTCACTGCTATGAAGGCCGGGCTCTTGAGTTTTCATATACGCTGATGAGGGTGGAGCCACAGCCCTCTAAGTGCGATTGATCTCCTTCGGTCAAGCCGAAAATGGTTTCCCGGTTTCCTTTAGAAGCTTGCTCGGTGCGGTTGACAGATCAGCATTCCTCTTGCTTTGTCAAATTCCCTGGCAGAACACGCTCTTGGGCCGCAGCGAAAAGGAGGTGGAAGAAGAGGAGAAGCATGAGTCTCTGTAGTTGACAGCGCGCTAGGAGATGAATCTGCGAAATGAGGTTTGCGAAATGCACGTTGCCTCGCAAGAAGGTTACGGCATGTTGCGGCATGTAGTGGCATGTACAAGGACTGAGCTCCAGTTACTGTTTCCTGAACCCGTCGTGTGGTTGTGAGTGCCGGCCAATTGCAAGATTGCTCCGCAAGAACAGGGAATTGGCATATCAAAACGAGATGATTTTGTTTTGTGTTGACTGCTTAGGCTTGGACATTTGGGGCGTCCTTGTGCTTCAACCACCTTCAAGGGTTAGGGTGAATGATTTCTGGGGTTTCGATGACATCTAGCACGTGTTCGTTGCATCGTGCTTAGTCGGACTGTAGCCGGGGCAGCTAGCTCCTGATTCATGACAGCCGTTTTGTATGATGGAAGACAAGTTTTGACAAGTCAACGGGAAGTTTGTAGCATCCCCGACTTCTGGACCTCCAAAACAGCACGAGAAAAGATTCTCCTCCCGAAGTGTCGCGCGTTGGGTCAGTGCTCCGCTTTAGGCACGAACCCTTGTTGCCACACACGGGGGGTTTCCGAAAATCGGGGTACCTTCGTGTTCCTAAGCATAAGGATTAGTAGCATGTTGGGGAATATTGAGGGGTGCCCCCTAGATTTTGGAAACGCCCGACATCAGTACATTTCAGAGATGCCCACAGTGCAGATGCCAGCTGCTTGGTGCCTTAAAGCAGGGTGGGGGAGGGAATGTACAGCACTACTACAGGGGGTATGTACGGAGATTGCGATTTCAGACATTTGGTAGGGCATTGCTGTGTAGGTGCTCATCTACTATCAAGGTCACCCGAGGTAGGCTGGCAGATGCCAATTCTTGACGGAGATGTCATGTGTGCTTCTCTCTGAAAGTACTCAACCAGTCGAACCTCTTGGCAGTCCTACGGTCCTAAGGTCCAACGTTTAAAGCCGATGCCAAGATCTGGAGCAGGATCGATTTCGCCTCTGCGGAACAAGAAAGACCTCATGAGCGCCGTCTTCTATGCAAAGTATCCATGGACTCTGCGTAAAGCCTCCACCCACGGAGCCACCATACAAGTGACCTTTGACCTTTCCCGCCCTGGCATGCGATCTGGTGGCTTTGTCAAATGTGGGGAATGCGCCATCACCTGTGAGCCGTAAACTCCGTAAACCATGCAAAACCAGCTTTTGGTGAGGCATGTTGCTGCGGATGTGACATGCCCGCAGGGGCCAGAGGTGCGGCAAGATGCAGAAACTGTTATTCTGAATTATTCTGTTATTATGTTACGATGTTAGTATGTTAGTATGGTCTTATTATGTTTGTGCTATTATGCGGTTATGTTATGATGCTACTATTATTATGTTATGCTGGGATTATGTTACTATGTTACTATGTCATTATGTTATGGTGCTGTTTATTCTTCTCTTAGTATATTCAGTACATTATAAGTCTACATTTATATTTTTTACGATCCATTGCCGGCAGATCTCTGGGATTTCGGCCTTTGAAAGGGGTTTGCGAGCTCATCAAAGGCTGGGGCATGGTGCAATTGACCCAAGTTGTTCGGTTCTTCCGGCAAAAGATGCCTCTTCGAAGGATGTTAGGGTTTAGGGTTTAGGGTTAGGGTTTAGGGTTTAGGGTTTAGGGTTTAGGGTTTAGGGTTTAGGGTTTAGGGTTTAGGGTTTAGAAGTTTAGGGTTTAGGATTTCGGGCTCTGCACTGGTCCTGCCAGGAAGGGGAGTCTGATTAAGAAGCACGACTAGGCTGAGTCTGCGTTGGGCCCCTCCCTATGGCAGTGGGTGTTAACATGATGGCCGCAAATGGCTGCATGAGTCGCAGAAGATGATGCTCCCGAGTCCCACTGGATGTAGTATTGAGAGACAGTGATGCAGTAACACCGGCCGCCCGACGATCAAGCACCAAGCTATCCTAAACCTAAGCCCGAAAGTCCTCGTGCTCGCCGCCCCCCCCCCCTCCCCCCGCCGGTCCATCCAGACCAGTGCCATGTTGCAGCCATGAGCTTCTGCCTGGGCCCTAGTAACCTTCGAACATGCGCATGACATCACATGAGCATCAAGAGTTATTCGGTTCAAGGCCGTGTTTCGTAACGACTTTCAGCCCGCAATTTCCACATCGAATCTTTTAGAGATGCGACTTGGACTGCCCCTCCCCCCCGCTCCCCCCGCTCCCTTGATTATGCTGCATTTGCCCAGCATGGACGTTCAGAAGTTCAGCAGCAAGGGCTGGGGTTTCTATTACAAGGATTACGAAAGTCGCGGAGGAGATGTGAGGCACACACACACACAGACACATGCACACACACACACACACACACACACCCGAGGTCTTCATAATGTCTGGTTCCATGTGGCCATTTGGTTCCTCTTATGCCTTGAAGTGAAGTGAGTGTCGCATGTAATATCCCACCCAAAGAGCCCTGAAGCCCTAAGGACCCTAAACCGTAAGAACCCTAAACCCTAAAACGCGAAGACCCCTAAGAACCCTAAGAACCCTAAGAACCCTAAGAACCCTAAGAAGCCTAAGAACGCCAAGGAGCTGCGCAGCCTTTGTGATCTGACGCGCCCGAGAAGCCTTCCGCCGCGGGAATGAACGGGAACCTCCCAAGCTCAGAGCTCATGTCCCTCGTAAACCCTAAAATGATGCCCGAAGCCCGGCAAACTTGAAATCGTTTCCGCCCATATATGGAACACCACCCCAAAGCATAAACAAGATGTAAGCATACACATATGTATATATATATATACATATATTTATTTATTTATTTGTTTATTGATTTGTTTCTATGTACTTTAAATACTTTAGAAAAATCATAACTTGCCAATGAAAAGCCCTCCCCCTCGATTGATTCAATCTCTCCGGCAGGGGGCCGACAAATGTCATTTCTGAGGGTTTGGGTTTAAAGTGGCTGTTGTCTTGTTTGGGAGTGCCTGTTTTCACAAGGACTGGGCCTCTCCTGGGACTCTTCTAAGCCTCTTCTGGAATTGTCTAGGGTTTTTTCCATTGCGAGTTCGGGGACTTGGTTGTTTTGTCGCGAGTGAGTTTTTTCAAGACAAGCTGGATCCAGATCCGGGCGGGGGGGGGGGGGCCCGGAGAGCCGCATGTTGGCTAGGGGCTGACTAGGTTGGCTTTTGGGTCGTTTTTTATTTTCCTTATTTGGTTTTACAGGGGGCTCTGTATATAACTTCTTTGAAAAGGGTTTCAAGGTAAACCCAGCGGATCATTGGTCAGTTGGTTTTTTAAGCCCCAACATCCAACGCCGTGGGAGTCCCGTGCAAGCCTGCGCTGCCTACATGCACCAGCAAGGCCCCGGGCCAATGAGCTCCAGGGGTTTAGGGTTTAGGGTTTAGGGTTGGGAAAGCAGCCCTACGTCCTACACCCGATTTCCTGACTCTAAAGCCTATAATGCTGTAGAGGACGCTGACAATTTTCTACCTCAGTGGGCTGAAGAATGCCCCCCAAAGAAAGCAACGAGGGATCCTCCATGGCTCAAGAACCTGGGGCCACGGCCGGCCACCAACTGTTCTCAAAAGTTTCCATCGTGCTGCCGTGAATCACGCCGAGCTTGTGAGCTGGGCAGCTTACTGGTTCTTGGTACCTTATGGGGTTTATACAGAGGGGTTATAAGGTTCTGAATCCCGCTTTCCCTATGAAGAGCCAGCAAGGTAGGGTTTAGGGTTTAGGGTTCAGGGTTTAGGGTTCAGGGTTCAGGGTTCAGGGTTTAGGTGTACCCGTTTGTCTGCAGCTTTTTGCAGGGATCCTTTGCTGATTTTGAGAACTTTACACCTGCTACGCCCCCTGCCGAGATGCCTTGGGCAGGTTCATCTCTTGCGAGTTGTTGCGGGCTGGTTTAAGTTAAGAGTGCCTCGCGCTTGCAACCTTTGGGTTATATCTAGGGAATCGATGACCCGCAAAACTGACTTTGGTTGCTTGGTAGCGCTGGTTCGACACTTGCCGCTCCCAGCCGCGCTGAGGGATCAGGTTTGTTGGGCGGTGGAGTTGTTTCGGGTATTAGGCAAGGTGGTGATTCATTGATTTAACCTTCTGGCTCCCGCGAGCCGTTTCTTGCAATGGTTTCAGTTTTCCGCAACGCTTGGTCGTTGGACTTTGCGAGCTTGTCTAGGAAGCATGACTCTAAGGACGGCCCGAGGGCCCAGCACGCCAGCAAACTCCAACAATCAAGCAGGTGCCGTCGCATGAGCGCAAGCGCGCGCTGGCGTCGCGTGAAAGTAGTGTGAAGTTGGTGTTGTGGGCAGGTAGGCTTTAGGACTGTCGGCTCCGAGTCGTGTGTCTGCGTGCCTTGCCGTGGCTGGTGCCTCTGCCGCTGCCACAGTTGGCGTCGCAGGTGTCTGCCCTTAGCCCTACTGGCTCAAGAGACGCCCAAACTACCCCAAGCTGTAGAATTTTCAGAGATGTTTGGGGCTCATTCCCCCCCCTCCCCCCCGTGGGCCATCTTTCATGCCAAGCTTGTTACACATGAGCGTCCCTCTTCAGGGTCTTTCGAAAAAGACGTTCATACAGCAGGCTCGGCCTCTCCGAACATCCTCGGACCTTGAGCCAGACACGAAGCTCACAGGCGTCCCAGTCAGGTCCTCTAACCCAGGACAGCGGCACACAACGCACAGACGGATCTTCAAAAAAACATATGGAGATGGACTTGGCGCTGAGCCTGTCCGAGTTGACCAGTGCCGCCGGAGCCTCAGAACGCTCTTCCACCTGCGACGATTATCATTTCTTCGGGTGGTTTCAGGGCCTTGGAGAGTTGGAAAGGGCTTTGGAGGCTTGGAGGCTGGAGCTCTTGTCAGGGGCGACGTGCCACCTGTCCGGCTGAATCTCCAGACTGTGCATCTCCAGCTTTCCAGGTGGCTTTGCTTGCCGAGCGCGCAGCGCTGGATGGCTCCAGGACCGGGCTGCTTTGTGGGTTGAATTCGACGACTCTTCAAGAGGGAAGAACTTGAGGTCACCGAGTCAGACAAAGACTCTCACCGACTCACCAAGGGGCGCATCTTAGTGGTTGTCGTGGCTTTGTCGACGGACGGTTGACCAAGTTGTAAAGGTGTGTCCCTGTCGCAGCTGTTGCATACCGGCAGGTAGCTTTGAAAGCAACTCACATAACGACTCACATATATACTCAGTTCCCCAAGCAACGGTCCTTTTGCGGTTCCTGAAATCATAGTACAGCCCCATGCCCATGCAATCAGAGTGCTCAACGAGTGTAGGGATCCAAACCCGTGCTTGTAGACCTGACTGGCCATGTCATGAAGCACGAACAAGGCAACGCTGCAACCTCCCCGTCAAACAAGTCAGGGAAGCCACCAATCTCACGTTCTTCTTCGTCTGTGGCGCTTACGTGTCATACTATGCGTCCGTAGCCTTTCAGGTGGCCGGTAGAATCCGGTAGAACCGGATTAGTGAAGCTTCTTGGTATACAAGTCCCCGGGGGCTCCGCCAGGAAAGACCTGAGAAGCTTGGAGACTCCAACTTCGGCGCGGCGGGCTGAGAATGCGGTGGGTGACATCTATAGTCATATAGTCGTGCCTAACATCTTGAGGTTTTGATCACAAAAAAACCCCCTGAGTTCCACTTCTGATGGAGTTCACGAAGCCCATCACATCTACGCCAAGGACCCCCGAAGCCCAGTGGCCGAGACCCCGAGATCTTCCAAGAGTACTTCAAGGATCCGAGCTGCAGGCAAAAACACTCTTTGCACTCTGCTGAGTTGAGCTTCGATGGTGCTGCTGATGCCGTTTAGGATTCATGGGTTTTGGGACCCCAAAACCCTAAACCCGAAACCCGAAACCCGAAACCCTAAACCCTAAACCCTAAACCCTAAACCCTAAACCCTAAACCCTAAACCCTAAACCCTAAACCCTAAACCCTAAACCCTAAACCCTACCTTCGAGCATCTTTTAGGCGTGGCGCGTCGGGGGTAGATCTTTTCATCTTTTGGGCAGGCTGGGCTGGCAGCCGCAGCCTCTAAGGGAGAAGTGTTGTCTAGAAACCCCAACCCCTAAACGCTAAACCCTAAACCGCTAAGCCCTAACCCTAAACCCTAATTCAAACTTACACCCTAAACCCCAAACAAATTCCAGCTCAGTCAGAGAGACACAGAGAGAGAGACAGCGAGACAGAGAGACAGAGAGACAGAGAGACAGAGAGACAGAGAGGCAGAGAGGCAGAGAGGCAGAGAGGCAGAGAGGCAGAGAGGCAGAGAGGCAGAGAGGCAGAGAGAGAGAGAGAGAGAGGCAGAGAGGCAGAGAGAGAGAGACAGCTCACACCCTAAAGCGTGCAGAAGAAGAAGAAAAAGAAGAAGAAGAATAATAATAATAAGAAGAAGAAGAATAAGAAGAAGAATAAGAAGAAAAAGAGAGCTGGAGAGTGGTTTTTGGAGGCCACAGTGGAATCCCAGCTGCGAAGCTTCGGAAGCTTTGTGGAGACAGAGATCGACAACGGGACCTTCACTGGGGCTTCATCGGTTGGGGTCTGGGAGTTTGGGCGTTCGCGGCATTTGTCAGAATGAGGGTACTGTGTTCTTTTTACGATATGTCTCTGTTGTCATAATGAGGGTACTGTGTTCCTTTACTATATGTCCCAATGTGCAACGACTTCATGTAAGATCCTAAACACGACGCCAGTTGCCTTTTCGGGGTTAGACTTGGGGGCAGGGGGGGCAAGCTGCTGCTTCAACTCAGGGATCCGAATCACATCAGATGCGCCCTGCAAGAGCAACATCCCAAACTCAGGAGAATCCTGCAGGTGTGCTTGTTTTGCGTAAACAATAAACTGTTTGAAGACCCTAACTTCCAGGCCCAAGATCTTGTTTTGGTGCTGCAGGAAGGCTGCTGCGTCCGAGTTCTTCACAGGTGGGACTTCCCAACCCCTGCCGAAGCTGAGTTGGGTGCTGAAGAGGGGCTTAAGGGGTTTCCGAGTCTATTTCGACTAGAGAGGTACAGACATAATAGATGCCAGTAAATAATGACATGTATGTATGTATACATAGTTTGTATATATACATATATAATTCATACACATATACATACATACATACATACATACATACATACATACATACATACATACATACACATACATACACATACATACACATACATACACATACATACACATACATACACATACATACACATACATACACATACATACACATACATACATACATACATACATGCATCTCAAGCTCAGAGCACCAGATTCGCCCAGCACCACACTGGCTGGTGTTCGGAATCCCGTGAGGGAAGCGAAGCCACGCATAGAGGTCTGCAACACCATAACATAGCTAACTAAACTAGGTGGGCTTTGGACCTGGAGAGCGTTCGGACGGTAGCGGGGCATTGCAAATCATTGTCCAGCGATGGGTCTGAATTATCGAGGGGGTGTTACCTAAGCTTACCCGAAACCCCCCAGAGTTTAGGTCCTAAACCCTGGGGGGTTTCGGGTTCGGAGGGCAGTAGGGCTCATTGTTCCTGTCCCCTTGGCCCATGACAGCATCCGGCGCCATGCTTGGCTTGCAGGTCTTTTGCATGGCATACATGGCTTACATCAAGCCCCCCCCCCCCCCTCGATGCAGTACCCGAAGCCTCCCGAAAAGCATGCAACCCTTTGTGACATGAAGTAGGAACGGCTTCCGTGGTGCCCTATGCCGGGATGCGCCATGTGGCTGGCCCTCCCATGGAGAAATTTTCGCCAGGCCCTTCGCCGGTCAATGAACACCAAGACGAAGGCAAAAACACCCTGAACCGCAAAAACACACCTCGGTCCCAGCCCCTGAGCCCTATCCTAGGTCTTACTCAGAGGGTCTACATCCGCAAGGGTTCCCCCTAATCCGATCCCCTGAGCCCCAAGGTCTGGCTCGGTCTGGCAGTCCATGCGCTGGCCGCTGCCGTGGCTTGGCCAGGGGTGTACTTGGACCCCTCTTCATGTAAACTTCCCTAGGGGTCCATGTATATCAGAGCACTTAAGGGGCTTATAAGTGGGTTATAAGTACAGCTATAATTGGTGACTAAGTACCATGAACCTCAAAGTAAGGGTCCGTGTACCTGATTTTATATACGTGGGCCCCAAAGTCCTTCTATAGGACGTACTTTAAGGCCCAAGTATTCCCTCTTCAGGTACATGGACCCTTAGGGCTTAGCACTAAGAAAGACACTACAATGGGAGGTCGCGTCCCTGGGAGCCCAGAATGATCATCTACGGGGTTCAGAGTTTCTGGGCTATGCTTCGGGGTTCAACGTCGATTGGGGGAGTACTTGCGGTGGATCCGCAAGGCTTCTTGGGGTTCGGAGCCTAAACCCTAGACCCTAAGCCCTAAATCCTAAACTCGAAACCTTAAACCCTAAATCCTAAACCCTAAACCCTAGCCAAAACCCTAAACCCTAACCCGAAACCCTCTTCCTTGAATCTGGAGGTCGCTGCTGGATCTGAGCAGGCTCGTGGCCCGAAGACAAATGGGCGAATGGGTAGTTCTCTACCCTAAACATACCCCCCTGCTCCAACAGGGACCCGAATTTTTTCAGGGTAGTTACATGGACTGACTGAAGCAAGGACCCCCTTAAGAAATGAAAAATAGAAAGCAAATTCACGAAGCCAGCCTTCAGGTCATGGGGCACTTCGGTGTAAAGCATGCAAGGCCCCTCCAGGATCCTCCAGGAGTAGCCTCCATCCCGCTGCGCAGGGGTGCCAAGACACGCCCGGGTGGTCAAATGGCTACACCGCCTGCCACTGGCCAGCGAGTTTTCGAGACAGCTCAAGACACGTCAAGACAGATCAAAGTTGTGAGAGCCTTCATGATGGAAGCACCCAGTCCCTCAGGCAACAACTACTTGCCCGTGGACCCAGACTGCCACAAAGATGGCGTCCATTGCCACTTCTACAAGGCGCTGTGCGCAGGTTCACAGGTAATATAGGGGTCGGAATAATTACAAATAGTATTCAACTTCTAAATTACTAGAATAACCCCCCCAAAACCCTATTCGAATCATTAAGGCCCCTATATCACCGGAGTTATGCCTGACAGCTGAAGATGACAGGCTGAGCTCCGCTTCTTTCCCCTTAAAACCAAAAAGGGCACCCTTTTTATTCCAGATAGTGTCTTGTGCTTCCTGACCTTTCTCGAAAAGTAGCGGTTTCCGAATAAGACTTACTTCGGCTTTTGCGAGAGAGGCCCATCCGGACTTCTGCGCGAAGGGAATGAACGACCCATGGATGTGTCGTCCTCAGTTTGGAAGTCTCTGTCGAGGGGATTCGGCTTGTTTCGAGTGAAGCCTCGAATCTGATGCACGCTATCTTGGAGCGAGTACCTTGTCGCACGCTGGGCCCACCCTTCTGCGGTTCTTGCGTGTAGACGTAGTTCATGTCGAGCGCCCCCTAGATTAACAGAACTTCGCCTCGAATTTTCCCGTGATTCCTCGCGAGAGAGTATATAAGTATGTAAGTGTATATATTTATTATATTATATTATATTATCTTAAATTATCGTATATTATATTATATTATATTATATAAGTTAAAATGACGGCACGTGGCCCCCTGGGTGCCACAAAAAAGCCTCCCGGAGGAACTGCTGCACCTGCGGTGGCGGTTCCACCTTCAATGGGGTGAGACCCACCACGCCGGGCGACTCAGAGTTTGATGGAATCCCCCCTGAGCCAACACCACCGACTTCATGCACCTAAACACATTTCACCACAATTCGGCCCCCAAAAACCAAGCCGGACGACTCCAGGACAACCCTCGCCCCTGTCGAGCTCCCGGGGCTCAGCTGGCTGCCGGAGCCTCGAGGGTGGCATGTGGCAGCGCGTTTTTACAGGGGGGGGATTTCCCTCTTTTGGGCCACGAGGGATCGGTCGCGCACCCCCCGGGCCCCCGACAAGTTGCGCACGGAGTGGAGCCGTAAGTTCCAGAGGGAGCTTCCGGGGCAGTGGTTGTCAATGGCTGACGTCGCTCATGTTTGAGCAACTACTAGAGAGCAGTTTCACATGATAGTGCACCAGGTGCTCTCGCATTTGTGGCTTGCATGAGTGGTGCATGATCAGGGTGCGCTGAGATTTGCAAGCTGTCCAAATCAGGCTAGGATCCCTTGCTGTACTGGAGTTTTCCCTTTCATGTGCCCTCGGCGGATGTTTTCCGATTGTGAGTACTGTGAGGGTGGCTTCCGCAATATGACCCCGCAATCGGCAAGAAGCAGCAAGGCCCGGCATTAGCACCGTGGAGAAGCAGCTGAGCCACTGGGCACACAGGATTCTGGGCTTCCCGAAGTTGCGCCTCCTAAGTCGTTGCTTCATGACACATAACTATAGGACCTGGAGTAGGCCCTTGTTTCCTTTTTTAAGGGCAGGGGTTCCCTTGTAATCCCCTCAAGACCAAGAAGGGTACCCTCTTTAATTATTCCTAGGTTGCTCCTGGGTCTAGCTAAGGACCACAAGGCTCAAGGTGAATTCACAAAGCCGTGCACAGCCATCTTTGTCGGCAACCCCAAACAACGATACCTGTTCGGCAGGCTGACTTGTGGAATGTTGTTTGCACAACCAGCGTTGCGTGCAGAATCTTCTTCTTGCAGCGTGTATGAGACGGAGGCAGCAATGCAAGTCTGCACGGACGGGTTTGTGAAGCGAGTTGTTACCTGTGATCGGGTCGACCATTGCCCCAACATGCACTTGAACTTTCCATCTCTAGGACCCTCACAGAATCAGCAGACTTGCAGGCAAAATGCAAGTGGAGATGAAGGAGCAGATGAAGCCCTTCGAGAAGGGCCTGCACGAGGCGAGCAAACATACTCCTCCACTCCTGCAAGGGCTTAGGGTTTAGGGTTTAGGGGGTAGATCCAGATGATTGCAATCGGCATGCTCGTGTTCTAGGACGTGCAGTGCCCAACTTGTTTTCAGGTGTTGGTTCCCCGTGATGCCAAGGAAACTCTAATGAGGCATGTTTCCTTATACTGTTGGGGAACCCCTGGAGCTTAACGGGAGTTTGGGTTAAGCCCTAAACCCTAAAACCCTAAAACCCCAAAACCCTTTCAAACCCCAAGGTTTGAAGGGGAGAGCAGAGCTGCCCGTCGAGCTGCAAGTCGCGGGGCCTTTCCTAAAATTAGTATACAAATCCCTATAGAGTTTAGGGTTTAGGGTTTAGGGTTTAGGGTACCCTCATAAGTAGTTTCTGTGAGGTCTACCAGGGCCTCAATTCCCCCGACTTCGACGCACCGCCGGAGCTCGAGGGCAACTCCCTGGTTCAGGTGCGCAAGGAGATGTTTGTATGATTTCTTATAGCCATGTAGGGTTTAGGGTTCAGGGTTTAGGGTTTAGGGTTTAATGTATAAGAGTAGCAAACATGAACATAGTCATAGTGTCTACATGCTATGTGTCGCGAACTTGGACTTTCGACGTGTAAGTCGGAATCATGTGCCTCTGGGTCTGGGTTACACGCTGTTTTCAAGCGCCTGAACAATAGACATTTGTAGCCAGTTCATGTCCTCAGTTGATGGACAACCCACACTTCGGCTAGAACCTCACTCAATGAAGAAAAAATCGCAGGGTATGCCTTGCTTTGGGTAGTGCATTGGCATAGGTGTGGCCATCAATGGTGGATGTAGAGCTACACTGAAGCTGCCCGCCTGCCAGGTGAACTGGGCGGTTTTTCTGATCATCGTCGTGGTAGCAGGTGGCACTGCGGTCGGCTGGTTCTGTGATCTTGCTGGCAGCTCAGTCAGGTTAGCGAGGGGCTTCAACTGTCGCCAAGAGTGTTGCTAAGCCATGGAGAGCTTGGCAGACTAGCTTGACAGTAGCAAGTAGTGCATTGGTGCGTGAGCAGATTCTTGCCACTAGAAATTTCCTGGCGTTCTTGTGCCACCGTAAACCCGGTTTGAATTTGCAGAGGTGAGCTGCTAGAGAATGTGGGAGAGGTCAACTCATTCGCCGACTGCGGTACACTGCAGTAGGTCTTCTCAGCTCTCGCCGCGGGCTCTTCTCTGCTAGACTTGCTCGACATAGCATGGCCTGGTGCAGAGCGAAATTTCGGGTCTGGTCTCTGAATGAATTCCGATGCCATGTCGATTGTTGTGAAGGTTGTGTTGATGAGTGGGAGCTTTGTGGACATCGATGTGGCAGTTGCTTGCTCGATAGACGAGCTGCGGGTTGAAGCGCAACGAAGACTCGGAGTCAGACGTGGGAAGCTGCTGATGTCGGGTCGGAGGCTGGATGGGGCGACAATAGTTGCTGAAGCAGGGTTGAAGAGTGGGGACGTCTTGGCCTTACACAGAGATCCACTGAGTTTGGCCTCGACAGTTTATGCCTTCGCAGCAGTTCTCGCTGATGGATCAGTCGTAGCGTGGGGTGACACCGCGCACGGTGGCAACAGCGCGCCCGTGCGAGCACGCCTGAAGAACGTGCAGCAGGTTCAGGCTACTGGCTCGGCTTTTGCGGCGATCTTGGCTGACGGATCTGTAGTCACATGGGGCAATCCTGCATGCGGTGGTGACTCAAGCGCCGTCCAGGAGCAGCTCAAGAATGTACAGCGAATTGAAGCTGGCTTTCATGCCTTTGTTGCAATATTAAAGACTGGATCTGTTGTGACTTGGGGTGAACCTGCTTTTGGCGGTGATAGTACGGACGAACAGCAGAAGCTGCACAATGTTCAGCAAGTCTCATGCACCGGCTATGCTTTCGCTGCCATTCTGGAAAATGGATCGGTTGTGACATGGGGTCACCCTTCCCACGGGGGCGACAGCAGTGCGGTGCAGCACCTGCTGAAGAATGTGCAACAGATCAAAGGTACTCTGTCATCTTTTGCTGCCGTCCTGGCTGATGGATCTGTCATCCAATGGCCCCCTTCGGCGTGTGGGGCCACGGCCGTCCCGGCGCCAGTGACGAACGTGCAGACACTTGAGGCCGGTTTCCACAGCTTTGCTGCGATCCTGGCTGATGGAAAGCTGGTGACCTGGCACCATGACCCCTGGGCTGAGCTTGGCATCACTGTCCTCCCATTTCAGGATGTACGACAGGTTCAGGCTTCGGATACTGCCTTTGCAGCTCTGTTGGCCGATGGAACCGTCGTGTCCTGGGGAGATGCCGATTGCGGCGGTAACTGCGAGGCTGTCCAAGGCCACCTGAAACATGTGCAAAGTCTCACGTCGTCTGGCGGAGCTTTCGCAGCACTCATTGAGGATGGAACGGTCGTAACATGGGGCGACCCGAGTCGCGGAGGAAACTGCAGCTCTGTCCAAGAGCAGCTGAGAAACGTGCGCTGTATCGATGCCAACGGTTATGCTTTTGCTGCGACCGTTCAGAACGGGCCCATTGAATCCGTGGTGACTTGGGGCAATGCGTTCTATGGTGGCGACAGCACTTGTGTCCAGGCCCAGTTGAGATCATGAGAGCCCAAATGTGGTGCAAATCGGCGCAAACGTGGAGCCAAGGCATTCAGCATGTGTCCAGCGCTGCACACGTGCAAGGCCAAAGGTATGGCAGAGCTTTCCCCATGGTCAGCGATGGCGACGCCCAGCCATCGTACGCAATCTGATCTTCCCTAGACGCAAACTTCGGGCTTTCGGCGATCATGTGCTATCAAATGTCCTCCAGCTGGCAAGTTGCAATCTGCAGATGTGGGAGCAGAGCGAGCGCGCCAAGTGGCCCAACGATGGTGCTGAACCTGCTAGTCATGGCACCACAACGGATCAGCACGGGTCTCCTCTCTCCGCTACTGTCCTTGCGCAGGCTGCAAAAAGTGCTTGGCGACCGCCAACATTGCGTACTGAGCAGACCGTAGTAGTTGGCAACAAGCTGCTCCGCTCCAGCAACCGCTCAAAGGATGGAAACCCCCAAACCTCCAACCTTGAACCCTCAATCCTCCAATAAACCCTACACCCCCAAACCTCCAAGCTTAAACCCTCAATCCCCCAAAACCCTAAACCCTAAACCCTCACCCTCCCAAACCTCCAACCTCAAACCCTCAATCCCCCAAAGCCCTCACCGCGAAGCGTGGCTTAGGTCGGTCTGGGGCCCAAGCCGCCGAGCCTGGGCCAAGGCACTGAGCTTTGGGTGGATTTCGGGATCTTGGGGTCTAGGGTTTAGGGTTTAGGGTTTGGGGTTTAGGGTTCAGGGTTTGGGGTTTAGGTTTTCGGGTTTAGTTCGGGCTTGATCGAAAATTCTGGATCCTTCTGGCCGCACGACTTTGTAAAGAATGGGTCATAGTCGAAGATGAACCTGTAGTTTCCACTCCAAGCCATGGCAGAGGCATGAACGACCAAGCACTTGGCCTGGGCTTTTGTGCTATGGGGTTTAGGGTTTAGGGGTTAGGGTTTAGGGTTTAGGGTTTAGGGTTACACTGGTTGTCAGGGTGTAGGGGGGCTCGTCTATATGGATTCATATTGCCTGAGGGTGTGCAAAAGGGGACCCCATTTGCAGCAGCTCCCATCAACACTTCGTTCGCCGATTGTTATTATCATTGCTACAATTATTATTAATTTATTATTATATACACGGAGACTGCTTCGTCACTTGTGTAGACCGATTCCTCCCGAAAAGAGTCTTGTACTCGTAGAAAGACGTCAGCACAGAAGCGTGTCCAACACCCCAGCCACCTTAGTTGTGTCACGTGCGCTGCCATCTTGCAGAGTGTCGGCAGATTGTACAGCCCCAGATCTACACGTGAATGCAACAGGCTTCTTGCAAGTACCCAAACTCCTGAACTTAAGTAGCCTAAGCTCCCTCACAGGCTCCTATCACGCTGCCTCTTGCCTTCACTTGGTCTAGACGGGCTGCTGCACAGGGCACCAAGAAGCAGCGTACCTGGTGCAAGCTCTCTAAGCGATTTTGAGGGTAAGCTTTTGAAGAAGACAGGGAATGGCATTTGCCAGGTTGATGTGGGTCGGGTCTTGAGAGTCCGCGAGACCTAGAGATCGGCACTTCATGACTTCAGATCGACATAGCCGGCAGGATTATTGCTCTCACCTTCTCAGAATTGGGTTGATGCGTTTTCTTTGGCCTTAGGTGGACCATGGCGCTTGCATATGAGCATAGATGTGTTGGCTCAGGCAGCCCACCCCTTGACCTCCCCGCCTAAGCAAGGGGGGGCCACGGCTTGGATCTCGTGTATTCTTTTGGGGGTATCAGGGTGTCAGGGGCCCACTTGGGATGTTCCCCCTTATGCTGACCGTCCTTAATTGGGATTATCGTAGGGTTTCGGGTATCGGGTTTTGGGATTTAGGGTTTAGGGTTTAGGGCCAAAAAGTAGCCTGAGGCCAGCGGCGGTCGACCTCCTGTTTGGTCGACGATAATGCTCATCCTCAGCTATGCCGCGCGGCGGCAGTTTGACCTTCAAAGCAGGGCCTTTGGGCGTCGATGCGCTTGCCTAAAATTTGGAACAGCCCTGGAATCGAGGGTCTAGATGACTTAGGCTATAGGTCCTTTCAAAATGCTCAACAGTGGACCCACGAAGAAGGGGCACGAATCTGGAACAATCTCTCAATTAGGGCATTCTGGGGTGGGTCCTGTAGCCTCCTGACTTTTGTGGCGCTGAATCTCAGCCCTCACCCTAAACCCTAAACCCTATAAACCCTATAAACCCTATAAACCCTATAAACCCTATAAACCCTATAAACCCTATAAACCCTATAAACCCTATGAACCCTATGAACCCTAAACAGGGCCATCCTGGGAACCTATGAGTTGACTCCTGAGGTTCTCCTGGTGCCAGGCCTCACGCAGGTTCTCTTCAGCTTCAACATTGTGGTGAACGTACCTTGGCAGGGCTTCTCCAGGTTTTAGGGTTTAGGGTTTAGGGCCTAGGGTTTAGGGCTTAGGGTTTAGGGTTTCGGGTGGTTCAGTGATCCGGTCGTTTGGCTGTGGTAGCTAGTCTTCTGAACTGTCCCTGCAGCGTGCTTGCGCCATCCATGTTAAGGTCCTCGGCCATCGTATCAACGTGCAGCCGGACGCTGGATGATTCAGTTGGGGTTCTTGCTTTGTACGGGTTTGGCAGAGGTTTGGCCCTTTCCTTCCTGGAGGCGACTCCCAACTTTAAAGGCACAAAAGCACGAGAGCCCTATGCATGATTATGCATGCAGGAGCCAATCCCTGCTTTAGGTTCTTTGGTTGGATTGTCTTTGACTTGTATGACGTCTGTAAGGTGCGCCATGTCGGGATAAGGGCTAGGGAAGCTGCAAGCACCTATGAAGCCACTCGAGAAGCCCGGAATCCCAGGAGAAGGGCCACGTCGCCTGCACGGAAACTGTCACAGGGCTGGTGGACCTGCTGGAAAAGACAGGGTCGAGGACACTACTTTCCCCACTCTTGTGAGGAAAAGTCTTTACTTTCAACTTAACCGGAAGCACAGGGAAGCATATTCCGATTCTTTAGCTTCTTACCAGTGCCCCTGTTGCCCTTTCATGTCTAGAAGCTGTCGCAGGACTGGCGCCGTCCTCATCATCCTCTATGCAGTGGTGGTGCCTGTTGTCAAACTGCTTCTGCTTGCGGTCGGCGAGATCTTCAGGCACGTCATGTTTCCCAAAACCCTAAACCCTAAACTCTAAACCCTAAAACCTAAATCCGTGTTGTTAGTTACGACTTTATAGGATGCTTTTTTAGGGTATCACAGGGCAGGCTTTGCGGCTGAAGGAGCCGGACTGTATCATGACTTGCCAGCTGAAGCCGGGGCTGTTCCAGTGCTGACTTCCGAAAGATCCAGAGGACTTGGAAGAAGTGGCTCTTTATATTTTGCTTATCATGAATTGCTTTATACTTGTAAGAATATTTCATGATAATAATAATATTAGTAAGAATAGGAAGCCGAATAAGAAAACGATCTTATTATTAATCATTATAGTAATAATAATAATATTATAATTGCAATAATACTTATAAGAATAACAATCGACAGTCGACATGTGATGTTTTTTGTCCCAAGATTAAGCCTTACTTCAGAGTGCTGTGTTTTGAGGGTGGTGGCGATCTGACACTTTCCCTCGACTCCCCCGATTCAGGTTCTCTTCTTCCGAGTGTCTGGTGCTGGCCTGAGATGCTGGGGTTTAGGGTTCAGGGTTTAGGGTTTAGGGTTTAGGCAATAGGCATTCGGGTTGAGGGTTTAGGCTTCTGGGATCCGCAGATGCGACCAGGTTCGGAGGTTGTTGCTTTTTTGAACGAATCCGAAAATCCACGGAGGTAGCTCTTCATTGTCCCTGCCCCTAAACCCTAAACCCGAAGCCCCAAACCCCAAACCCTAAACCCTATAAATTTTAAACCCTAAACCCAAAACCCTGCACACAGAACGACATCGAACCCATGCAGTGCCTGCCCCTTGTCTGAACTTTACCATCCCCAGCGCGCAGGGAACCTCGACCCTGAAGATCACCACTGCCTCAACTCTTGGAAGCTGACACCCTAAACCCTAAACCCCAAACCCTAAACCCCAAACCCGAAACCCTAAACCCTAAACCCTGAAGGTCATCATCGCCCGAGTTTGCATCAACATCGTGCAATGCATCTCGAAGTGGGCTTGCCAAGCCCTCAGCATGAGGTTTAGGGTTTAGGGTTTGGGGTTTAGGGTTTAGGGTTTAGGGTTGCAGTGAGGATGCAGGATGCTGTTTCTGGAACGCGGAGGGATGTTGGTTCTGTGAAGCTTTGGCTCTACCTACACCTGCATGCTGAAACCTACCTCTACCTGTACCTGCATGCTGAAACCTACCTTATTCTCCTAACCTTTTCCAAGGTCCAGACATGTTTGCATATATCCTGCTGGTTCATCTGGTGCGGCTGCTTAACAGCGACCCACTGGTTCTGACAGCCGCGAAGCTAGATGTGGCTGGGCTGACTTGCGATCGCAGAGGTAGCCAAGACTTCTGCATGTTGGTTTGACCTTGTAATTGGCATCCGGAAGTTTTTTTTCTGTTGTTTTGGTAAGCTTGTAGACAACCGCACCAAAAGAGCTAGAGGCTTCTCCGACTCACATCTGTTCTCTTCCAGGTGGGCTTCTCCTGTTTCAGCGTCTTCTGCGTTTGCTCGACGATTTCGTGCCTCTCTCAGAGGGCGCAGGATGCTCCGACAGGAATTTGGCGGCAGTCTTCCTCAAGCTGAAAAAGCAGGTTATGGGGAGAGGTCTTGTGCTTTGGACTTGTGTTTGCAACATCTGTCGTAGATACCATCGCCATCCGCCTCACATGTGCAACACTGGGCCAAGCAAAAAGGTCTTTGGGCATCAGCTTGCCGCATCTGCCGGGGCGGACGCCAGCTGCCGGGACCGGCCTCCTTGCATGCTAAAAGTGGGTGCCTACCAAGCAAGTCTCAGTCTAGTCGGCGCTTCAGTTGCAGGGCGAGGGTATACCAGGGAGGCGCAGACGCCTCCTTGGGATACCCACGAAAGTTTTGCTCATGTTGTCCAATCACTGCAGCTGTCATTGAAACTCTTTTCGCGCAAAAAGAAAGGTCGCTCTCTTCCCGGCTCCCTTGGGGCACCTGCTACGCTCGGGGAGTGATGAAGACGCATGCGTCACGCTTTTCATCTTCAGCACAGACACCCCTGAAGAATTCGCCAAACGAAGAGTTACAGGCCACACCAAGCCAATGAGATTGCAGTCATATTAATAGACTAACATAATAGTAACAATAGTGAGAACAACAGAAATACCCTCACAACTTAGCATTCTTCAAAGTTAAGGGCTGCCTCGATACCGGCTGCAGAATTTGTTTTGGGGATGCTGGCCATGGAGTCAAGACATACAGGGAGGAGCAAAAATCATGGCCAACAGTATTCTCTTGTAATCCCTACATGAGTTATACTCCGTGACAACATCGCCAAGTAGGAGACGTCAGTGAAACGCCGGCGGATTGGCACGAAGCTCTCGCCTACCCACTGCCAGGAGCCCCCTGCTCGGAGCCAAAGTGGTGAAACTCCTTGCAGCAGGAATTGCAGCGATTTTCGCATCGCGGCTGTATCAGAGCAGTCGCCATCATAGGTAGCTCGAAAGTTGTTAGCTTAAGCAGCTAGATGCATCTGCCCAGGTGTAGACTTTGCTGTAATCTGCGGCCTCCTGCTTGCTGCAATGGTAAACTTGACCTGAGAACAGATGAGGATGCCATTCGTGGAGGGGGTTCGTGCAGATTCACATAGAATGCCTGCTGCAGCCCTCGTAAGGCCATATTTTTCATCGCGGGACTGTCGATCCCCTGCATGTCTCTCAGGACAGACAGCCCCCGGTCCGGTTGGGGGGAGGGGGGGGGCTGGCGGGGATGTGCCGGCACACAGCACTACGTCGTAGGATAGCCAATCCTTTTTTTAAGTCACCAGTCTGCTCCCAAAAAAACCACAGAAACCCACCTTGGCAAAAGGGCCCTCATATTGAGGCTCTGCTTTAGCTTAAAGTCCCTGAAACCACCGCGTCAGGATCGATGAGAGGCAGCTCTACCCCCCGAATGGCTCGGTGCCCTACTCCGCCAAGCCACTGGTGGAGGTGCCTTTCAAGCTCTAAAGAAACAGCACACACAACTCTGTAAGCCCTTCTAAGCCCCAATGAAACCCGACACGCCCCCCTAGGACCCCTAAAGTTCCTTCAAGTGCCTCTTTGGGCAGCCCTATGACACCCTAAAGTTCCTTCAAGCGCCTTTCTTTGGGCAGTCCCTGGCCATCCCGGATCTTTTGAAGTCCGACATCAGCATCCTCTCCTGCACCCAGTGGCTGGTTCAGGAGATTGGACATGGAGAGGCAAACAGACCCTCGGCTTCTTTTGTCATGGTTTTTTTTGGGGGGTTCTAGTAGGGTTCTAGGATCCCTGAAAGGAAAGCCCCGTAGCACCCTGGCAAGGCTTGTTCGCCCTGGTGATGTTCGGACTCTGCGTGATAGCAACTTGGCAGCGAGCTCCTCTGGCCAACCCTGGTCGTTGGACTTCCCACCCTAAACCCTAAACCCTAAACCCTAAACCCTAAACCCTAAACCCTAAACCCTAAACCCTAAACCCTAAACCCTAAACATGGATCCGGGCTTTCTCTTACACAGCCACGCAGATTTTCCCAGTTTTGGTGACAACTCGAGAGGCGAAGGGGGTGGCAGGGTCGGCCAGTCTGAGCCGGCAGCAAGGTGCCGTGATGAGTTCGCGTGTACTCCATGTCTTGAATTAGGGTTTAGGGTTTCGGGTTTAGGGTGATGCTGTCATGCACATCCAAGATCTGCCAAGATTGTGTCTACCCATCCTGTGTTTGAGCCTTTGCCTGGCCACCGTCGAAAGCCAAAACAAATGGGGGTTTCCGAAGTTAGGGATCCTTGTTTTTATGGGAATCGTACTATTTGGGGCTCTATATCTTGGGGTCCCCAATTTTCGGAAACCCCCAAATCAGGTAGAGACGAGGTCTAGAAGGGGTTGTGGGGCGTCCTTTTGCCAGCTCAGGCCTTGCCACTGGCAGACGTCCTCTGCCTCCTGCTTGCAGCCTTTCGCCTGGATCCACAAACCACGGTGCGACAGGGGAAGGGCAGAAAGTTGTGGAGTTAAGGAAGAGACTCGGGCAATCACAGGCTGGTTGTGTTGATGAGAATTATTGTAAATGTCATGTGCCATTTACACTTGTTGCACTCCACATCCGAAGTCACCTGCCGACACAACGCCTGGCATCTTGCTGGCGAATAGACACGAAACCCCACCCCACCGCCAAGTTCAACTTAGCCCAGGCAGTAGCTAGGGATGGGGAACCCCAGCACCTCCAACAACTCTAAACCCTAAACCCTAAACCCTATACCCTATACCCTAAACCCTAAACACTAAACCCTCAATGAGTATCGACCAACTCCGAAGCCGCCGCAGGCCGCCGAAGCCCCATCGTCCCAGCCATGTTGGTTCTACTCTTGGGCCATGGCCTGAGCCTGTTCATGAGATTAGAATATCTGAAGTCTTCATAATAGCAATCTTAACAAGAATATTAGTAGTCTTCATAATGTTAAGACTATTCATTCATACGATGCATACCTCTTTATCTGAATATTCACGTACTATTCATAATATTCATAATATTCATAATGCTCAGAAAAGGTAAATCCTAGTCATGTTCGCAACAACATCAAAACTAACCAAGTTCATAATACCAAAAACACGAAGGAATATCAATAAGGTTCCTAGATCAGCTCCAGGTTCTGCGGGTTTCTGTGGCTTAGCATACGGAAGCAGGGCGATCAGTACCTCGAGGGCACTGGCAGGGTGTCACCTGGTGCAGCAAGCGGGGTGGCCACGTTGTAAGGCTCGGGTGTAGCAGTTACTGTTTTCGAGCCATTTCCTGAATGGCCCGGGTTTTCAGGGATCTGTAGCATTGACAGGAGCTTTTTTAGGGCCCATGTCCTTGGAGCTAACTTCCGAGGAATGGCTGCAGACTTCAGCAGCCCGTTAAACCCCCTTGCACCCGAACGTAGACGTAGGAAGCTGGATTGCATGTAACTTTTGGAAGCTGGCAGCTGAAAGAGAGGACTGTCTTAACACTTGGCAGGCAAAAGTGCTCCGGAAGCTGGCAATGCTGGATGTGTCCATCATGGGGGTCTATGCCCGCACCCCAGTGGCATCTGCATGACACCTGACAGAAATCGTCTGTCTTCCGGTTGCCTACACAGCTACACGCCGGCTGAAGTGATGCTACAGCAACCTGCAAGGATGTTTCAGCATCCCAGCCAACATTCCATCATGTAGGAGAGTGGGTTTGCATCAGAGTCATGTGTGACAAGTGGCCAGATGTAAAGCGCCACGGTTTCGCATACCCATCTTAAAGAGGTGTGGAGGTGTGGAGAGTCAGTGGCCACGATGTCAGATGAGTTGTCATTCGAAACACCTCCAGCGGCTGCGGCTCTGTCGGGAGACCACATGGTTGCCTCAGATCTCCAGAGGGATGCACGTCTTTCCCATGGGGGTTAGGGCTTAGTGTTTATGATTTCTCTGTTGCAAAGAGGTGTTGAGGGCCTATTTAGCATTGCTGGATCCTTCAAGATGCAAACAGAATGGCTGAAATTTCAATCCGTGCGCAGGTCATCACCTTCTGCATGGGCATCTACAAGAAGCAGGGCATCGTCCTGTCCACGCATACCGGTGGCCCGGCATTGCATTCCACGAGGTGTGGTAACTTTGATGAATTTGAGGCTCGCGCCTCGCAATGGCCAGGTGCCCTACACCCCTAATCCGCAACTGGGAAGAGCCCAGATCAATCCAGCCCTGCCACCCAGGCGTCTTGATGCTCATCGTGGCAGAAGTGGCTCACACCCTGCTGTACTGGCTTGTGTCTGGCACTTTGTCTACATTTAGACAGTTTGAAGGATTTGTTTAGCATTTTGGTCGGTGTTCAATGGACTAAGACAAGCACGCGCTACGCGTAGACACAGCCTCCCTGGATTGCCTGCCTGCTCAGAGATTGCAGTTTTTCATCCCCCTATATAATCCCTTACAGGGGGAATTGTACAGGATACCCCAGGTCCCTCATTCCCCACTATAGGAACCAGCGGGGATTAGCATATCCAGGTTAGTGGCCAGTAACTGTCACACACTGTTGGTGTTTGAATGACAGGGTTTAGGGCTGAGGGCTGAGGCTTTTGGGATGCAGGTGCCGCCGAGCACGCAGAAGCCCTGGCGGAAGAGGAGCTGATCGCTACTCGGAACTTACTGACACAGTGCTCTCACAAAGTGACCAGTTAAGTGGGGGAGCGTGATCTATGCAACAACGTGAAGCAGACGCAGAGCCACTCCTACACTGTCAGCATCCTAGGTTAGAGCCATATGCCTCGTTGTTCTGTTTGACATTTGGTTGAACATATGCTGTAGTCTCGGATCAAGGGTCGTCAGAGCTCTTCGGCAACGTCCAGAGCGTGAGCAAGTAGAAATCTATTGCGTTCACTTACGTACAATTTAGTCGATGAGGTCCCCAGAGATGGCCAAGGTGAGAGTCATTTGGGATGTCCCCCGTTTTCCTAACAGTCCTTAACAGGGATTATCATCCCCCCTATTATAAGCCCTACCAAGGACTGTTCGATAAGGGGGAACGTCCCAAGTCCTCATCATCTTTTGGGAGCAGCAACCCCTTCACAACGACGAACTCTTGAGCCCAGAGCATCCTCCCAAGAGCCCTCCGCTCCAAAACCGAAAGTCCTCCTCTCAAAGACCAAACAGCCTCATAACTATCAATGATCAACCCTAGGGCTTAGGGTTTAGGGTTTAGGGTTTAGGGTTTAGAGCCCGAAAACCCCATACCCCCATAACCCCATAACCCCATAACCCCATAACCCCATAACCCCATAACCCCATAACCCCATAACCCCATAACCCCATAACCCCATAACCCCATAACCCCATAACCCCATAACCCCATAACCCCATAACCCCATAACCCTAAACCCTTATCCTTTTGCACTCAACTCTCGAGGCGTACCGCGCTGCAGCTCAAGAAGCCGGTGGTCTCGATGCGGATGGGCCGCAGGGACTGAGTTGCTGTGGCATCTCGAAGCTGCTCGGAGTGGGTTTAGGGTTTAGGGTTTAGGGTTTAGGGTCTAGGGTTTAGGGTTTAGGGTTTAGGGTTTAGGTCACTTCTCTAAAGTATGGTCGTTCTTTGGGTGCCCTGCATATTTGGGACGTTTTAGCATGGTCACGAGAAGTGACCAGGTGCCTTCAAATGGAGGGTGTAAGAGTCGGATGTGGTGGGGTGGGGCTTGGAGGGTCTGTCGTAAGGGTTTGTAGGGTGTCGGGCAGACGCTGAGGTGGTGGGGGGGAGGAAGCAAGCCCAACATGAGAGTGTGCACACTCACAAGCTTACGCCGATTTACGATTCCTGAGGTTCCTCCAGCTTCCGGTGGGACTGGGTCCGGCGAAGGGTCGCTCAGAGATAATTCCGTTAATGTGAAGCAACACTTAGTCAGCTTTTTAGGTGTGGAGGCGCCAAAGTGCGCACGTGAGATATGAGCATCTGCTGCTAAGCAGCAGGGCTAATTTGCTTTGGCCTGTACAGATGTAGTTGTCGATGGTGGTAAATAGCTGTTTCGCAGCATTCACAGCAATGCCGTGAGCAGCGTGCGTGCACGTCCAACTGAAAGTGATTGTCAGCCGCTGCTACCGTTCACATGCAAGTGCTGCACGGATTCACTTTAGCACGAGCAGCTCCAGAGTACCTACGGTGCTTTTGGCGGTGTAGAGATGCGCACCACTGCCGGCTACGGGCGGAAAGCTACAGCCAGTACACCCGAAAGGGCAGAACATGAGGCAGAGGTACGCTTCTAGCGTTTGGACCATCTTGAACCCGTGGCTCCCAAAGAACAGTCGGAGCCTTGTCTACTGTTGTCTAACCGTCTGCATATCTGCGAGTCCTTCTCTACAGCCACAAATAATGGTCCCTCAACAGTCCTAGCAAACCGCATAACCCCAGCCCGAGCCTAGGCTCCACAACCCAGACTTGTAGATACTCGAAGCCTCAACACCCAGCCTTCAACAAAAAACCCTAAACGCCCTTAAACATCCGAAATCCGAAGCTGTCCCATCGCCATGGCGCCACCCCGGGTGGTTCTGGCTGCCCTGTCCCCAGCTTTGGTGTAATCCCTTTCCCCCCCGCCCCTCCCCCCACCCCCCCCAAGATTACAGGACCCTAAATGAATCGGATTGCAGTCAGATTCCTGCAAGGTCGTTGCTATTGTTAATAAGAGGAAGCAAGGTATTAATTGCAATGCAGCATCGTAAGTTCATAAGATTCAGGAAATGAGAATTCAGTGAGTGTCGAGCCCGTTTACGTGACACATGGCGAGAGGCACGAACAGACACTGTCGGGATGTGGAAAAGCCCAACGGCTTTGAAACCTGCCCTCCGCTTGCAACATCCTTTCAGGATCTCCCACCTGCGGAGAAGGAGCGAATGCTGTCTTTCCTCGTAGCCAACAAGGCTACTGGTATTGGGTGGGGGCTGTAGCTCAGGTGCTGGGAACCTATAGGTTTGTGCTGTATTTCTGATCGTTGGCGATCAGTCGGTGGATGCTTGGTACCAGTACTTCCCAGCTCCGAAGATGTTGCTGTACTGTCAGGTTGAGTTCAAGCCTGACATCTCGGGCAAGTTCTCGGCTGTTGTGAAGGTGATCAGACCTGAGGAACCCATGGGTTGTGCAGCAAGTTCCATGTGCTTCTCTCCAATGCCAAACTGTCCAAACTTCGCCACTTCGGAATCGCGTGCGCGGTTCGGACATTTCGAAGCCTTCTACTCCCAATCAGCCCTGTGAGGCGCGTGAGGGTGCCAGTCCAGCCGCCTCCTCGCCGCCCAGAGGTGATAAAACTCCGGATGCTGGGCAGCAAGTTGCCTTGCCATTTAATGGGGGTTTACGATACTAGGGGTACCATATTGGTGTCCCTATTATAAGGGAATCCTGCTATTTGGGGGCCTCTATTAGGGGTCCTCTATGTTCGAAATCCGTCCTTTGTGCTCGTTTCATTCCCATGCTTCCTTGGGAGTTGCACCAGAGAGACTCCTTTCAGCTGCGAAGGATCAAATCAATATGGCAGGCTGCCTCGGCCTCAGCGTGCTGTAAGACCAGAGCTCCAGAGCCTTCAAAAAATTTAATGCATTTTCGGTGCATTCCGCTTTGCTGCTTATTGCTGTGGTTTTGCCCATACCTGTGAGCAAAGTGTACCTTTTGCTAATGTTCCTAGGGGTGCCCAGCGCGAGTAGCACTCCAAGCACTTCCGCGCGGACAGAGGAGAAAACCAACTGGCATCAAGTTTGCGTGAAGGTGTCGGGTTCGCGGAGCTGTTCAGAAGCTGTGCTGATGTTAAGCAATCGAGACTCTTGTGGGGGCCCATTAGGGTGGACAGGCAACAAACATGAGTTGAAAGTTGAAAGCGTAGGAGATTTCATTGATGCAGGAGACACCTGGCCCGGCGAAAGCCACCAATCTCACAGCCGTGCAGAGCGAGCTGAAGAAGCGGCCGCACACTCAGATGTGGAGGACTCCGCTAGTGCACTTGTGCAAGTACCGTTGTACACCGCAAAGGTTCCGATCTATGTGCATATCCCAGAAGGCAAGGTTGATAAGCTGATGGTTGTTCAGAGGGACTCCTGATTCGCACAACCCAAGCCAGGATCAGCTCCACTATGCTATACAGTTGCCCGTAGAACTCTACTTTCTCCACTCCCTGCTTCTCACATGAAATTCGCAAAGCCCCAAGTATCAAGGTCCCCCCCCCCCCCCCCCCCCAAAAAAAAAAAACGCTCCAAAGGCCGAAAACCCGAGATCTGTAGCAGCAAGGTACCGCACCTTCACCGGCCTCCTGCCAGCCTTGGGCCAGCATCCGAAGACCATGATGAAGGACGGCTTCCTTGAAACGTCGAAGCCGTCATGCCTGATTTGCCCGGAAACCGTGCATGAACCCTGACATTGGTGGTTCATCCTTGGCCCATGAGACTATACTTCCCCAAAATTCCTGATCCGATGCTTCTGGGGGTCTTTCGGAGCTCATCTGCACCTCACATGAGTTCGCAAATACTGGGCTCCCGACCTTGAAGGATTGCAGCCTTTTGTTTTGCACAAGGGGGCGTATCCCTGTGCTTTCGGCTGTGTGGCGAAGGCGGAGCTCCTAAACTTCATTGAGGAGGTCTACACTGCGCGGTACAACCAGGAGCGTCGCGGGTGACTTTAGACACAGTTTGGGTCTTCCTACTCCAGTGTGCAGACTCCCACGTTGTACCCAATGCCCAGCAATGTTGGAAGCAGAGATCGGTCCGACTCACCCTGCACAGGCTGCTTGGCACAGGAGTTTTCCGACACAGTTCCTATTATTGGCATTGCTCTGCCATGACCAGGACCTCCTCCAGATTCAGCAGCACGTCGAGGCAGAGGCCAGAGCAACGCAATGCTTCGGCATGCCGGCGCACTTGAAGCCATGTAGGGAAGCCTTGAGGGCACCGAACTCGGAACCGGGAATGCTCAAGTTGTGGAGGCCGTGGGAGTGCAGAAAAAGAAGAAGTCGGAGCCTCACAGCAAGGCAAGGTCCATCTACTAAGTCAGTGTCGAGCTTTGGGTCATTTTGAGACCAATGGGCCAAGGCTCAGGTCCTCTTTCTGCCATGTCTGCCACATGTGCAACTCGACGCGGCCCCCTTAGTTTGCAATCAGCTCCAAGGTTGCCGAGCGACTTGACCTCCTTCCCTCAGCGCGCCTGCCACCTTTCTGCTCTGTTTGCAGCACGCCTTGTTTGGGATGCTACTTACATGCGCCATCAGTTCGGTAGCCGCATGGCTGCCCAAAACATACACCAGCTTATCTTGGCCTTGAGCTGTTTGTGCCAGGTCTGTGGTGACTGTGGCGGGCAAGCGTTACGGCCTGCGGCGAATGGTGGGACAAGTGTGTTGGAGTGTAGCAAAGAGCGCCGGGGCCCTGGACGTGGTGGGATCGAATAGGAGCCTGTCCTAAACCCATGAAACTCGTTAGCTTGCGCCCCCTGCCTCCTTGTACTATCCAATCGTGACCATGACGAGCTCTGTGTTCTCTCGGGCAGGATGCCGGAAGTCAGGGAACCCAACCCAACCGGGGAAACTCTGCAGTAGACTCTCAAGCTAAGTCCAAGTGACTTCTCCAACATTCGCGGCAAGGTCGAACTGCACCGGTCGGAGCACGAGGGCATCGAGACCTTCGCGCGCTTCCTGGAGGAGCTCGGGGGAAACAGCGGGTGAGGCTTAGAGTGTATCGGTTTTTCTGTAAGCTGCCACTAGTAGTCATAAAAATAAAGAAAGGGCCTGCAGGGAACTTAGTCAACTCTACAAGATGCAGGCTCTGGCCGCGGCTCTTATTCTTGCACAACCCTCAACCCTTCAAGCCCCAAACCCTGAACCCTGAACCCTTTAAGCCCCCCAACGACCCTCAACCCTTAAAACCCCAAACCCCAAACCCCAAACCCTAAACCTCTTTTAAACCCCCAAACAATGTGGTCTGGAAGGAGTCCTATGACGCCGTGGACGCCCTCTTCTACTTGGAGATGCGCTGGGCCGCGCGGCAGGCCACTTGCTATCCTGGTTGCTGGTTGATTAGGGTTTGGGGTTTAGGGTTTAGGGTGCAGGGTTTAGGGTTTAGGGGATCCCTTTAGAAACCCCCTTGGGTAGTTTCCTAAGTTAGGGCCCCGTTTATTGGGATCCCTTTCTCAAGGGTGCCGCCTTATCATGGGTCCCCTCGGTAAGCCAAGAAAGCGCCTTTTGATACTCGGAAGGCCCTTGGGATTTCATTGTTTTATGGTCCCTTACTAGGTTTAAGAGGAGTATTGTGCAGGAAAATTGTTCCGTGGCCAACCTAAGGAGAGGGTGTTTCAGGGGCCATTTCCTTGGTTTGGGATGTGGCCTGGCCTGGTTTGATAGGGCTTGCAGGCTTCACAGGGTTCACAGGGCTTGTCACGCTCTCTTCAGATTAGGGGGTCGGTTGTTGGCTTTGGATGATCTAGGGTTTAGGGTTTAGTGTTTAGGGTTTGCTTGCTGCTTACTTGGCTTTTGGGAGGGTCGGGTCTGGGGAGAAAGCCAACCTTGAGCCGAACCCACAGCCTGAGCCGAATCATGGGGCTGAATTGTAGGTTCCTAAACCTGACGCCCCAAACTCGAAGACCCTGTAATCCCAGCTCCCAACAACACTTCAATCATCCAAGACATGAAGCCTGAAGACTGAAGCCTTACAAGGTGCTTAGAATCCCACAGGCCCTTATTCGACCCCTTGCAATCCTCTAAGCCCTTAGATGCCCTTATTGGGCCTTCGAAGCCCCCAAAAGCTCTGAATTCCACAATAAAGAACCGGCCTGGGCTCTCAGATGACTATCCCACGGGGCAGCTGGCTGAGAGCCTGGAAGAAGAACCAGGTCCACTGAATGAGAGAAAATGCCGTGATGATTTATGAGTATGGTTGTTGATGATATTGGTAAGTTAGTGTTCGAACATCTCAACTACACCTTTCGCAGGTACTCTGTTCGTTTCTTCGTGGGTCTTCGGTTTTTAGGGTAGTCTGGAGGGCCGGAAGTGCTTTTGGCGTCTTCGGGTCTGAGCGCGTGCGTGGCCAAAGTCCAAAGAAGTCTTAGGGGTGCCAATGGGGTCCAAATTGTCTGAGGGTTGAGAGGATTTTTTAAGGTCTTGCGCAATTTGCTGGGCTCAGGGTAGTGCTGCAAGGGCCCATAGAAGGATTTCCTGATGCTGAGGGTGCTTATGATACCAACATTAGAGCCTTTCTTGTCTCAAGCTTGAGCGACCCAGAAGTCAATAGTGGAAACTCTTTGCCTGTTTGCTTTGAGGTTCATAAGATACACCAACATTCCACACCACATCCGTGACTGGCAGGGATTCACACCTCAACACCACTTTCTGGCCGCAGCTGCCTCGGCAATTGTGATCGGGTTCACTTTAACCGGTCGAGCATTGCGCTCCCGAAGGGGCACCGCCCAGCGAATTTGACCGCTTGAGACAGGACGTTTTTGCGCTTACATGGAGTGTCTGATTCTGGATTTCAGGGCCCGGCCTCTGAGTTTGGGGGTTCGCAGTGCCGTTGTTGGCAGAAGTGAACTTACGATTCATGCGTAGCACCACGGCAACTGCAAACTGCTTTCCGAAATACACTGCATGTTGCTCATGTTGACTGGCCTTCAAGGTTCGCTCTTTCCTTTCCTACGTGGGTTTAGGGTTTGCTTCAGGTCTATGCTGTGGAACCACCTTAAATGATCCAGGTTGAGCGACCATGTGCCCAAAAACCCTAAACCCTAAACTTTCAGAAAGCGCCCCTTACCGATCAGGCTCACCCGCGCCCCACGGATGCCCAGGCCTGTCCTCAGTGTTGTTCCTTGGCTAGTCGCGCCTAGGAGACCTTTATGGTCCTGTTCCTTTTTTGTTTTTGTTGCCTGGTGGCTGAATCGATGGTGGGGGGGCTTCAGCAAACAGCTGGAACTTGATTGCAGGGCCGCATGGCTCTTTGCAGGCTCCAACGGGGGCAGGCCCCCTTAAAACAAGTTTTGGCCAGACCTGGAATGTGCTGGAACTCCGTACCACGCAGGCCCCATCCCATCATAATTTGAATTCTCACAAGCTGTTCAAGCAGGCCAAAACGGGGCAGATGCTTTGTAGATGTTGTCGAAACCCCAAAAATTTTTTCGAAACACCCAACATTATCCCGCCTTTTTGCTCTACTGCTGCGACTGTCAGGCATCAAAGACTTCAGTGCCAACCGGTGCACGACCGCAGCTGTCGCTGAAGAAGGCCAAGAGAACCCTAAGCCTAAGCGGGCGATGCTCTGACCTCTGGGGCAGCGGTTCTTCGGCAACTTCTGATCTTGACTCCTGTTCTCAAGAGCCTGCGCTGGTAGCTGGCTCACCCTCTTGCCTTTTCGGATGTGTAAGACATGCCACCCGCTAGGTACTTGTGCAGCATCTTGAGAGCTTGCGTTGCGATGCCCGAATCAGCTTCGAACGGGGAGGCCTTGGCAGCCGTACGCGAGGGAATCGACAAGGAGGCGCCCGACTCCCTCAAGGCCGCTTTCCGACTTCAAGCACGATAAAGCTCTGCCAAGACAGGGCCTTTCTCCTGCATGGAAAAAGCCTTACAGGCTCCCCACCCCACAACACACCCCATAACACTCCACAAAACAGATCCTTTGATGCAGAATCATACAAGGCCCTGTCTTGCCAAGCCTGGCCTATCTAGCCCAGTTGCTTTGCCCTGCTCATCTGCAGCCAGCTTGGAGGCCAGCATTTCTGCGCGACTCAAGCAGGAGTCAGGCCAGGCAGCAGGAGTGGAGTAGGGCTTACCATGGCTTACCCCAGTTTAGGCTGAGGGCGTCATGGATGAACCTGGAAAGCGGCCATGCCCCCTTGTGCCTGCGCGCCGCCATTTCGAAGGTGATGGCGCGGAGCAGATAGATTGGGATCGCTTCCTCTTCCTCTGCACACAGGAGTATCGCAAAGCCAGGCCCCCAGCCGGATTTGAAGTGACCAGAGGAGGCATGTGGTCAGATACTGAAAGTTATGGTCCCTTTTGGGGTTACTATAAACTGATGAACCCAGTTCAAGGAGGCTAAAGCTGTCCGAAGATGCCGGGGCCTTCCTTTTCAAAGCGGACGTTAAAACGACTAGCCGCGGGACCAGGCCACAAAGTACAGCAGCGTAGCAGTGGGATTGAGACGAGACAGAGAGAGAGGGGTGTCAATGCCGAGAAGTGCAAGCACACAGGCCAACCCATCCAGGATCCCGCGAGAAAGTGTACTTGTCGAGAGTGCAATCTCGACACAGCATTGCGCTTAAGCGAGAGCTGCGTATCGGACGCTGCCTAGCCTTTACTTCCAAGGCAGTTAGGAATCCGATACCTTGTGCACACACGGTTGGAAACAAAGAAGCCCACGAGATCTCTTGAGAACAAAGCTTTGTGCTCCAGCAAATCGACTGCACTCCCAGATGCCATAGCCCTTGTCTGCCTCTTCCGCTTACGACACCAAGAAGCAGCCAAGAAAGTCCTTAGCTGAATCGAAGCATAGGCTGGTAAATCAAGTTGAGGTGCAGCTTCTTCCGGAGCCCAGGGAGTTTGGGGTCGCGCTGGGCTTTGCAAAAACTCTCTCTAAACTCCGTTTTACCCTACACCCTAAACCCTGCTCAGATCTTAGAAGGGGCCAGGGATTGGATGGGTGTTGAGGTTTCTTGCTTCTCGGGAAATACTTGCAACTGAGGCTCGATGCATCGCGTTGCAACGGAAGCAACGACCGAGCCAGGCCACCTGCAGCGTTAGGGTTTAGGGTTTAGGATTTCGGGTTTAGGGTTTAGGGTCCGGGTTTAGGGTAGCTTAAAGCTCAGGCTTTTCAGGGTTGGTGAGCGCAGCTGCTCATGTTCTTCACGAGCCGGTGGAACATGAAGGTGTGCTGTCAAGATACGTGCAAAATGCCTCAAAGGATCACGAAAACGTGCTCTTGTTCGCTGCGGAGAGTAACTGAGGCAACGCCGTCCAATATCGGTTTATTCCATTATTACACAACAAGGGCAGAACATAGGCCGTCAGAACATAGGCCGTCGGGGTTCAAGATCGTTTGGCCGGATGCGTCGAGAGCTCCAGCACCTCCCGAGAAGTGATGTGGGGGTTTCTGAAATTAGGGTACCTTATTGGGTTCCTGATTATGAGGGAATCCTACTATTTGGGGGTCTATATGAGGGGTCCCCTATTTTCGTAAACTCCCATCTCTTACTTAGCTCTGAAAAGGCTAGGGAATCGAACTCGTTGAATGGTCTACTATTTTCGAGTGTGCAATAAGCGACCACCACCTCCACTGTCTATCATAGTTCAGGGTTCGCAGCCCACTGATGAACCAAGGGGACACCCCGAAGAATCTTAAAACGCAGAGAGATGTGCACTATATATATATATATGTATATGTACATATATTTATTTATTTGTTTATTTGTTTATTTATTTATTTGTTTGTTTGTTTATTTCTTTATACACATACTGGTATATATATATATATACACATACATACATACACATGTATACATACGCATATACACACTTTAGAAGAGACGCCGTAAAAAAGCACAAGCCCACCATGGCGCCTGCCAGGGGCTGCTCGCGAGCTTCTCCCAGCGGATCTCCAACACCTGGGGCATCAGCGGCCTGGCCTGAACCCTAAACCCTAAACCCTAAACCCTAAACCCTAAACCCTAAACCCTAGGTAACCCTAAACCCTAAACCCGAAGCCCTAAACCCTAAACCCTAAACCCTGAACCCTGAACCCTAAACCCTTGCCCCTAAACCCTAAGCCGAGCCTGGCTCTTCAGGGTGGCCTTTTGCATTTTGTTTCATTAATGGTCTAATGAGGTATCAGGTGTATGTTCATGCAACTGCGGTTGTTGCTTTATATATATATATATATGTGCATATACATATATATATATACATACATACATATATATATATTAATATAGTATATTCTTTTATCTTCTATTATATTATATTATAACACATTATACCACCCCACAAAAACAACAAGGAATGCGCGCTTTACGCCGCCGTTTGAGGACTTGCAGCACAGATGAAGGCAGAAGTACTGAAAACACTGGCAGGCGCAGTGAATTCGAGACGTCGCACAGAAAAGGTCAAAAGTGGTATGCGTGGAAAAGCGTGAACATGCATTGTTTTACACCTCGGGGTTTTAGGGCATCACGAGGATGAAGACAGAACATCCATATGCGAAAAGCACAAAGTAATCGCCTTGAGATCAAGGCAGCGTGCGAGTTCAATTTTGAGGCCGGCATACTTTTTTATAGATTAGATCTTGAATGAAAATTTAAAAAAATCTAAATAAATATGTGTAGTCTTACTGCCACTGATAAGGCAGGTCAGTGACTCACAACTACTCCAGAAGAGTGGTCCAGAACATGAACATGATTGGCTGAAACTCAAACAAGGCACCGTCGCTCACTGACTTTGTAGTTATGGAGTGCATCGCACCAGCCAGGCTCTTGCAGCAGATTCCTCAAGCGCGCGTGTTGTAGTTGAATCCAAGTAGTTGCGCTCCATTGCAGCAAAAAGAGGAAACCTCACCGTCCCCAAACGGACAAGCGCCGCTCTGTACAGAAACGTCGCAGGGACATCCATCTGCCGAGAAAAAGCAAGGCCTGGCGAGCGACGAAGTTGGGAGAACGCGGACAACGAAAGGACCAAATCAACAGGAACTGCTCCATCACTGACCTTCTCAAGGCCTCCAACAAGGACATCGTCGCAATGATTGTGTAGGACAAAATACTCCCCGATTGGACTGAGAAACTGTCCTCGATGCAAGGAAGCAACCTCTCCGAGCCCAACCTCCACAACTCCATGAAAATTTCCCACGCGAAGTGGACAAGCTGCCACACGGTTTTTCTGAGAAGTGAACATCTAACTTAAAGTTATGAACTATTTGGTGTACTTCGTTAGTAGTTCTGTGCGAATCCAAGGCCAAAGGCGCGCCAGCACTGGAATTCTAATTCAAGAATGTGACGTTCAAGCTACTAAGCTGCGGCGAGGTGCTGCTTAGCAAAGAGGACATGTTTGTTTTCTCCATATAAGAGATGTGCAGCTACATCACCTCACAAAATGATGTGGTGCATTGTAGCGTTCGCGTTTCTTGACATGCATATCACTGCGAATGACAAGTGTCAAGTTGCGACAGTATATGCTTTAGAGTGTCTCGTGGTATACGCTTGGCATACTCGTCTAGCTGCATACAATATCACTGCAACCTAAAACATGTTTCACATGACCGCTGTCGTATGCTGACGCGCTCAAACAAACAGATACCGATTACACTCGACCGGATTTTGCATGGCTCTGTCTAGTCTATGTGCAGTCGGCGGATTATAATCAGTCATGCTGGTGAGGCACCTGCTGATGTTGGTATCATATGTCCAAGTAGACCTGGCTCTACCACACAGCTAGAGGTTCTCATAGGGAGAAAACATAGCAAGACGTAGGCTTTTAGCATTTGCATATATATATATATATATACATATATCTACATATATATCTACCTGTATATATACATATATTTTTTATGTACACATTTTTTGATTTTTTGGGTTTGATGGTTTGAGGGCTCAAGGATTGTTGCGAGGGTGAGGCTTGAAAGGCAGATGCCTGATTCTGTCGAGGATTCTCATCCGTGATAGAAAAATATCCCCCGTAAACCCTAAACCCTAAACCCAAAGCCCTAATTAAGCCCTAAACCCTAAACCCTAAACCCTAAACCTAACCCTGCAAGCCTATCTCCAAGCATTTTTTGAGCCCCGAAGTCTGAACCACCACGGTGCCTGAAATCAAGCCCAAGGCACCCTGAACCTGTGAAGGCTTGCCGGAAGCCTTCAGCCACTTTGATGTGGACGGCAGGCCCGGGTCCAGAAGTGTGGAGACAAATTCGTGATATGTATGTAGGTAAAGGCATCAGGCTAGTCACGAGCGCGCTTTGTCTGACCCAACAGGTTGCGCAGGTAAGTTTCAACATGGTTGTCAGCTAGACAGCCGAAAAATTCGCGGTGTGCGTTCGCTCCTGCATCTGACCAGTGGGGTGGTCTCCTTCGAGAACTTTGCTCAAGTTGTGGCCGACGAGCTTGCTTCCGACTCAGTTCCGGATGGTGCATTGCGGCATGTGCGTTGTGTGTTACCTTTCCCGGCGGGGGGGGGGGGGTTGTCGTGAACCCTAAGCTCGAGAGAAAACGCATTGCATCCTGCACGTGACGTCATCCCCGTCAGCCACGGCTGCAGCAAACACAAGGAGCTGTAGGGTTGGAATGGGGATCTAGGGTTTGTAGCGTGTGTGGTCACCATCGAAGCCATCAACACAAAAGCTTCGCCCTGAAGCGCAACTCCCAGTACTCGCCCGAAGGACTGTGGCCCCAAGTCCTGTATCGCACAGCTCCCAAAGCCCTGAAGCGGAAATCCAAAAGCCGTTACCCCATGAGCCCCAAACTCCCAAGACTCCCCGGCTCCCAGGCCTACACTGGCGCCCCGAAAGAACTCTGGGACCTCCTGGATGTTCAGGGCAAAGGAAGCTTGGAGGCCGAGGCGCGTGGAGTGTCTCTGAGAGTGTGTGTGTGTGTGTTCTTTTTTTGGGGGGGTGGTGCTGGAGGTACAGTATAGTATGGTATGGTTTCGTATAGCATAAGTTTGCGTAGTTTTTGTATAGATAGTATCAGTACAGTATCAGTTGTGTAGTATCAGTATAGCATAGTGTAGCATCAGCATCAGTACCAGTACCAGTATCGATATCGGTATAGCATATTCTGGTACGGTATGGTATAGTCTAGTCTAGTCGAGTATAGTATAGCATAGCATAGCATAGTATAGTATAGTATAGTATAGTATAGTTGTGTATAGTTGTGTATAGTTGTGTATAGTATAGTATAGTGAGTGAGTGAGTGAGTAAGCGACTCGCTGCACGCAGTGGGACGTGCAGAAAGCCATGCCAAAGGCGCCGATCCCTCCCGGCTTCTCAGGGGGCTCCGCAAACGTCGGAGTTCACGCTGGCGAACGCCCCAGCCCAGGAAACGACGTTCCAAGGCCAGCAAATGGCCCGGTTACGCAAGAGCGCATGCTTGCAGACGCAAGAACAACAACTAGGCAGGCCCGCCACGAGCAAGCTGGTTTGAGGGCAAGGCAGCGTGCCATCCTCGCGGAAGTTCATGCGACAAGGGCTCTTCCCCTGACAGTCTCCCATCAAGGTACTATGCCAAACAAGCAACGTCGCCTCTGCATTGGGCGGTGCCCGGCCGTGTGCCAATGTTGGCGAGCACACTTCTCTGCAGATCCCTCTACAGACAGTGACACTAGGTGCATGACGCGACCCGTGTGGCACTTACTTTCCCAAGTCACTCAGTCACTACCTTTTCCTGGATAAGGGGGAATGGCAAACTCCATCCAACCCCCCACAAGCAGCTCACATGACAGTATACCCTCAGACTGAACAGTGAAGGCCAAAGCTGTGACCAACACCCGCTTCGGACGAGGGATAGTATAGTATTGTGTATCGCATAGTACCGTATAGTATCGTATAGTATCAGTATGGTATCAGTAAAGTGTCAGTATTGTATCAGTATCAGTATCAACGAAGTATCAGCATCATCAGTGTAGTATCAGTTTAGTCGCATCAGTACGGTAGTACCGATATAGTAGAATCAGTATAGCATAGTTTAGGGGTTTGGTGAGTTTTGAATTGGAGCGCTTCAAAGGTTTACTGCCTTGGGCTTTTCTTCTTGATGCCGTGGCATGCGTGGCTCCGTTGCATGCAGGAGTGGGCCCAGCTCGATGCATCTTCTGACCAGGCTGGGCGACGATGTTGGGTTTAGGGTTTAGGGTTTGCGGTTTAGGGTTTACGGTTTAGGGTTCAGGGTTTCAGCCTCCCCAATGGTATGGCGACATGAAGCACTTGCAACCTTGGTTTTCGGATCTCGTGGGTTTAGGGCGTCTTGGTCTCTTGGGTTTGGGGCATTTTGGAGTTGAATCACTTGCAACATGGTTTAGGGTCTTTTGGGTTTGGCGTTTTGGGGTTTATCGCGCCTTCGTCATAATGAGAAGTAACTGTAATCGCAAGGAAGTTTTTTTTTGCGCTGCGTGAGCTCTCTGCTTCTCTCTTTGAAGAGCTGTGACGAAGCCTTCCTCAAAGAGGGAAAGTGGACAGTGGTGCATCCAATTTGCAGCAGCACGTTGTCCTAGCATGTCCTATCTGAGCGACCGCTTCCTGAAGTCCTAGCGTGACGACATCGTGCTGTTAGGTGTATCGGGACCTACGAGTCTTTGCACAGCCGCGCTCGCTGCATGTTAGTCTTCTCTTAAGTACCAGGGCCAAGAACCCTAGCAACAACTGAGCACCGAACGTTGGACATCTGAACCCGTGCGCCCCAAAAACCCCTAACCCGTAACCCCTAAACCCATCCTAAACCCTAAACCCTTCACCCTAAACCCTAAACCCCAAACATCCCCTAAGTCTTTGCACTGCTTCGGCTTTGCAATGTCGGCAGGTGGAGGAAGGCGCGGAGACCGAGGCTGTCGATTGAGGGCCTTTTGTGGTTCCAATTCTTTTGGTTTTAGAGGCTTAGGGTTTAGGGGGGGGGGGGGGTTAAGGAGGTTTAAGAGATTTAAGGCTTAAGGAGGGTTAAGGGTGTTAGATTTTGGGGGGTTTTTCGGGGTGCCGAGTCTCTCATTTGGCCATGAAGCCTTCCATAACACCTATGAGCTCAACAGAACACCTCTGCAAGATCTGCAGGGGTTTAGGTTTAGGGTTCAGGGTTTAGGGTCTATAAGGGTTTAGGGGTTGAGGCCCCTCAACGTCCCCCCTTCCCCTTCAGACCCACTCCTTTTGGCTTTTGGGTTTTGCGGCTTAGTGCTTTCAAGGGGCTCAGCACCACAACGTGTGTGCAGATCATAGGCTACGATGATGATGTGCTTAAGCAAATTTTAGACATCTTAGACATGACATGCACTCCGCACGCCGGAAGTGACCGTTATACAACATCTTCACCATGGGTTTCAGCCCGTTCCGAATACAAACCCCACCCCCGAAGGCCCGCCAGTGAATCACTGGCTGGTTCTTCCTAGGTAATGAGGGAATGCGGTACCCTATATAGTCCCTAAAAGGGTATATATATATATTCTTATACTAAATCTTTAAAAAAACATAAAAATAAATATAAATATAAATATATAGATATAGATGGATATATATATATATATATAAAGGGGAGCGCGAATTCCCTCATTTCCTACGAAGAACCCCGGGGATCAGGAGTCCAGTCTTCCTCCTGGCTGGGATACCGACCTTGGCCCAGAGGAGAGCCAGGCAATCCTGAACGAAGCCCAGGAGGCCCCCAAAAGGGGTTCAGGGTTTAGGGTTTTTAGGGTTTTTAGGGTTTAGGGTTTATGGGGTATAGGGGTTAGGGGTTAGGGTTTAGGGTTTATAGGGTTTAGGGTTTAGGGTTTAGGGTTTAGGGTTTAGGGTTTAGGGTTTAGGGTTTAGGGTTTAGGGGTGCTTCGGGGAAGTTGGGGTCCTCTTGGGCGGCTTGCGGGCGGCCTTGCAGCGTTCTTGTGGGGTTCTTGAGGTGGGAGGGTGTAGGTTTTTGGGGTTAGGGGCTTTTTGGGGCCCTGTTCAGGTTAGTGGCCGGTTGTAGGGACGATTTCCTGCTAAACATGATGTCCTCCACAGCTGAAAGCTTACCATGAATCCATGCCACAAGTTCTCTATGACCCTATGAACTCTGCCTGCCCTGGGCCCCAAGCCCTCTCATCGCTGCACGGCAGCCCCGAGTGCAGAGCAGGTGTCGGCGCGGCTCGCGAACTCCCTCGCCGAGCGTGGGGCCGGCCCAGCCGACCCCAATGAGGTGGCTTGGGGTATAGGGTTTAGGGTTTAGGGTTTAGGGTTTAGGGTGCAGGGTTTAGGTTTCAGAGGGGCGGGGGGGTGGGGGGGTGGGGGGGAAGCTTTACAATGGATGGGTTTGGGATTTCTTTGCAAAAGGGGGGGGTTGAATTACTCGTGTTGGGGTTTCGGTCCGCTGCGGTCGAGCCGATGCTATGAACACTTCGTCCAAGAGCACCATTCATATCTGCCAGTGCTGCATCTGTGGATAGCATCAGGGATGCTGATCCGGGACTCTGGTTTTTTGTATGTCAAGCTTATTCAACTCTTCGCTGGACGCGCTAGTTCACCCAAGAGTACGCCTCTGGGGGCGGAAGAAGCTCCTGCCTTTTTATCCCCCAAGCTGTTCTCTGATGCAGGTCTTTGGCTGGGCTCTTCGGGTGGTTCTGAAACGCCATGGTCGACCTCTGTCGGATCCACAGCTCCCTTTGGGATATAGCAATATAGCAATATACTAATATGGTCATATACTAATATAGTCATATAGCAATATACGCATATAGTAATATACTAATATAGCAATAGAATAATATAGTTATACAGTAATATAGATCCACATGTGCACACGAAAGGAGAGACAGACCGCGGCTTCCTGAGGCCTGACGCGCAGCGCTCTCCCTCCACGCCAGGTGGGCACAGCCAGATTCGACGTCGAGGATCACGATCATGCGCATGAGGCATCTGTGTATTACATGAAATTACATGATACATTATATTTATTAATATGTTTATATATATATACATATGTGCAAGCTACAGATTTCTACAGAAGGATGGAAGTATGCCTTACAGTCTTTTGTATAATTCGAGAAGGCATCGTGCAGATCTGGTCAGGCCTTGGCAGGGGCATGGAGAAGCCGCGGGATGCGACTGGGATGCAGCCACCGTAGAGCCCTAGTCAGGGTTTAGGGTTTAGGGTTGTAGGGTGTAGGGTGTAGGGTTTAGGGTTTAGGGTCTAGGGCCTAGGGTTTAGGGTTTAGGGTTTAGGATTTGACGTTTGGGGTTTAGGGCTTCCCTAAACCGCAAAACCCCACACAACGGCCTCATCTGAGCCTACCACCGCTGAAGGCTTCCGCCTATGCCAGCCTGGAGGATCTGGGCCAGGCGTGGTCCGGGCCCCGCCCTCAGTGTCTTGTTGTTAGAACTATTTTTCCATCATCATTAATGTTGCTATCATTTTTTTAAGCTTAGCCATTTTCATTTTTATTCGTACTTGTGTTTCGATTTTGAATATGAGATCTCTCGCTCTGTGTGCTTGAGTTTGTTTTACTGTGATTGTTTTCTAGTATCGTCATCAGTATGCCCATTACGGATATGTCCTCATTTTTTGCTACTTATTGTTTCTTATTGGGACTACTACTAAGAATATTCTTCCGGAATTCTCACCATTGTTGTATATTCTTGTCGTTTTCATGAATGTCATTGTTGCCATTATTGCCATTATTGTCACGATTGTCACTATCAGCATTGTTATCATTATTCATGGCTATGCTTTCCTTATTCCTTGCCATTCTATCTATCTATCTATCTATAGATCTATCTATCTATCTATCTATCTATCTATATACAAACTTGATCGTTGTTAAACAATCGCATGTTGTGCATTTTTTGCTGCTTGCATCTCCTACTCGAGCCCCTTATTCAAAAACACGCCGCAAAGTTCCAAACCCGAAACGCTCGACCGAATCTTGGCCCTTCTCCTGGCAGGTTCCATGCCGACCGGCCAGCGCAGACGGTGGAAGCCGTTGAAGGCCGGCGTGGGAGTAGGCACATCTAGAGTAGTACAGGAACAACACCCCAAGAGATGCTTTAAAGAGTGAACATAAGAAGACTAAGAATGGCTCCCATGGCATCCCAGCACAAATGGTTGTTTCAACCAGGGACAAAGGCCAGTTTGATTGCATGCGGGTGGCGCTCCACACCCTCCTCTCCCAATCCTGCCAGCAACCCCAAAACCCTAATCAAGCCATAAACCCTCCAACCCCACTGAATCCTAAACCCAACAAAAGGGGGGTGACTGTAAACCCTATAGCCTATAGCCCTATATCCAAAAGTTTCCCACCGCACCGCAGCAGGGTTGGCGAGGCAAACGCTCACGACCATCCCGGCGGACCCTAAACCCTAAACCCCAAACCCCAAACCCCACCACCATGTCCTCGGATTCACATGCTTTCGCCGCTTTTGCACAAAGCTCCGCAGGAGACGAGGAGCAGAAGGACCTGGAGGTGGGTGAGTGGTCAGCATGAGCATGAGTTCCGCAATCCTCGAAGATTGGGCGGGGGTGGCAGAATGGAGCCGCTGTTTCGATTCGTAGTGCCGTAGCAGTTATATTTGCAAGTTTGGTGGTGTGGTAATGGTCGCATGAGGGGGAGAAGGAGTTTCATTCCTACTCGCAGGCCACTGTTCGGAAGCAGCTCTCCCAAGCTACCGAGGAGCTTGTTTGGGAGGCTCACTCTCTGCCCTGACAGTGGTCTGTACTTTAAGGGGTGTACCGATGCTCTCGCAGTCACGTTCCTCTAAATGCATACGCTGACGACACCCAGCCTTGTGACTTGTGAGCATAAAGAAGTAGAAAGACAAGGACTCATCATCTTGATTTGCAGCTCACTGATATGCCATGCAACCTTGCCCAGAAAACCTAGGACTTGTTCACGGCCATCCAAGCAGCCTTTCTAAGCACAGCACCGGCAGGCAATTGCGCAGGCGACTGGTGGCGGCCAGGACGAGGAGCTGGCAAGCGTAGCCGAGGCAGGGTGCAAGGTGGAGGTGTTTTTTTGCGCGCGTGCCTACTTATAGTCGTTGTTGTTGACACATACTACGGAACTTCACTGCCCGTAAGATGGCAATGCGTGCTGATCGGGGCACACGGGTACCTGACCCCTGCAGACAGCCATCTTTGTCCAGCCGGGTAACCGGGTCAACTCTGTTTAATTCAACCGTGCTTGTGGTTGTAGCACTCTTGAAGAGATGAACGCTTCAGGGGTCATGCGGCTTGCACGAGGTGCTTCTCAACGACTTCCTGCTCGTCACCGATGCTCTGATGGAAGCTCTGGTGCCGCGGCGTGTTTGGCAGCTTAGTGCCGTCCGGGGACAAGATAAGCTAGAAACATGTTTTTTCTAACGTTGGGAGAGCGCCTCTCACGAGGCAAAACAGTACCGGCTAGGGCTGCAAGACATCTCGATCTCTCGGCAGGTCTCAGGAAGCATCGAGAGCTGGCTGATGACTCTTGGCACCCTCCTTACACTCTATTTCGTGATTGAGCCAGCTGGAGGGAAGTTATTTCGTTTGTTCAGCGTGCTTGCTGATGGACGTTGTCTGCATTGACTCCGGCAGTGAGAGCCACGAGCCTGCTCCTTTTTGTAACCGTGCAAGTCGGCTTTACCCTCTGTTGGGTATATATATATATATATACGATATGGTTATATATATATAATTATATACATATACATATATAACCGTATCATGTTTATTTCACAGAATGCCGAATGAACCTTTGGTTCCCCTAACAAAGCTGGACAGGTCCCCGCTTGACCCCTGAAACGTGAAGAAAAGGCGTGGAGACCCCGGGAACCGAGAGCCAGCAACAGCAGTTCCAGGCTGGGAATCTGCACTTTACTTGGAGGCTCATGGTGCTTATTAACCAGTTATAACCGTATGTATAACCCACGTATAAGACCGTTAAGTGCCCAATATGGTTATAAGTACGGTTATAAGTACAGTTATAAGTAGTTAATAAGTACCATGAACTTGTTACCGCTGCTTCTTCTCTTCGGGAGAAGGGACATGGAGTGGGCTGAGAAGCTCTAAACTTATCATCGCCAGGCTCTGACAGATGAGCTGCAGACAGTGCTTACCACTGAGGGCGCAGAGAATAGCGAGGTGCAGTGCCACTCGGGTTGTGTGTTCGCTACTTTGTCTTCTTCTTGTTTTAACGTGTCTCCGTGGGAAGATCGATTGGGATCTAGTCTTTTGGGAGGGCGGGGGGGGTGTGTGTGGGTGTGGGCTAGAGTGAGAGCGTTGGCCCAAACGTTAATATAGGTGTGAAGGGGGGCCGGAGCTCGGATTTGAGGGAGGCTGAATGCGAGTTTCAAGGAGTGAGACAGTGCACCCTTGTAACTTGAGAGGGGACGAAAGATATTCATTTTTCCTTTCTGGAAATGCCCGTCGCTACGTGCTCTTCCCAGCTCCACACGATGCAAAAACTTTAACCACCACCTTCTTCCCCTTCAAAATCTACCATGTCGCTATACACCTTAATTCATAATTTAGCAGTCCCTATACACCTAAGTTTAGCAGTCCCGATACACCCTTAGTTTAGGAGCCCCTATAGACCCTTAGTTTAGGAGCCCAATGGGAGGAGTTTAGCAGTCCCGATACACCATTAGTTTAAGAGCCCAATGAGAGGCGTTTAGCAGTCCCTATTCACCTTTTGCTTATAGTAGCCCAATGGGAAGCTGACCAGGACTCCGTGGCCCACGTCTGCCGCCTCACCGTCGCCGCGCCAGAGCTCCAGGAGCTTTGCACGGCGCGGACGGCCGAGGTCTTGCAGGAGACGCGGCTTTAAGGGTTTAGGGTTTAGGGTTTGGGGTTACTGAGGAATGCCCCCAAAGTGTTCCGTGAGAAACTACTCTAGGGGGCTTGTAAGGGGCGTGCCGTAGAGTACCTTGCACCTGCATGCAGAGAAGGTGCAAAGAAGAGACTGCGTGCAGGGAAGGTGCAAGGCAGGGACAATTTAGTGACATCAGAAAGAATCTCCGAGAGCCTCGGGATGCCGACAAAAATGTGCAGCCCGCTCCTGCCGCTACTTGTGCGAGTGGCTCAGAATACAGCCCCTGGCTCTCCTCGCAAGGAGCAGGCTCCCCACCGGATGCTGACTCCGAGCAGGCATGCGGGCGTTGGTCGAGGGAGCCAGCAGCCCTAGGGTGGCACGGTTGTCTTCGGTGTTTAAAGCTTCAAGGACGGATTGGGATTGAGAAGGAAGCTGGTGAAACGGCATTGTTGGGGAGCTTGATTTCTTGCATGATGTTTTGGGAGAGCAGGTTTGTGGTGACTTGTCATGACTTGCCATGTTAATGGGTCAGAAGTGAATACACCGCTTCAAAATGTCCCCGCACCTAAGCAAATGCTCACGATTCCTGGGCCATTCGGGCAAGTTCTAGACATGCTACGCGCATGTACTCCTGATGCCAAAGCTTGTCTGCACATTACACAGTTGCTTTGGCGCTTTGTTGCAAGAATCCTCGTGGAGGACTTGGCCGGCTTATCAACTGCGTACTCTTGAATTGATCCCTAAACCCTATAAACCCTATAAACCCTATATACCCCTATATACCCCTATACAACCCTGTAAGCCGTGTATCACCCTAAACCCCAAAAGCCCCGGCCCTACCCCTCGCCCCTGGACCAGGCTGGAGGATGTCGAGCCAACCGAGGAAGCCCCGGCCTCCAGCTGCTTGGCCCTGCAGCGGTTTAGGGTTTAGGGTTTAGGGTTTAGGGTTTAGGGTTTAGGGTTTAGGGTTTAGGGTTTAGGGTTTAGGGTTTAGGGTTTAGGGTTTAGGGTTTAGGCTCTCCAACTTCTTCGGAACTCTTGGTAGCTACCAGTGGCTTTCTCGCGTGCCTGGCCAGTTCCACGAATCGCCCTGCGCAAAAAAACTGATGGTTGATTAAGTTTAGGGACCACTTAACTACCCTTAGACCCCCGAAACCCCAAACCCCAAACCCCAAACCCCAAACCCCAAACCCCAAACCCCAAACCCTAAACCCTAAACCCTAAACCCTAAACCTAAACCCTAAACCCTAAACCCTAAACCCTAAACCCTACCCTAACCCTAAACCCTAAACCCTAAACCCTAAACCCTAAACCCTAAACCCTAAACCCTAAACCCTAAACCCTAAACCCTAAACCCTAAACCCTAAACCCTAAACCCTAAACCCAACCCTAACGCCCCCCTATCGAAAGAACTGACCCTGCGACATGCACGCAGCATGCGCGATCTAAGGAGTCGACTTCTCGGACGACGCCCCAGAGACTCCCAACTTCGCAGAGGCTGCAGCCTCCCTGACTTTGGGGGTAGTTTGGGGTTTAGGGTTTAGGGTTTAGGGTTTCGGGTTTAGGGTTTTGGGTTAGTACTAGGGTTTAGGGTTTAGGGCTTAGTATCTTTGACGAGCACCTCGGAGAGGTCGGGCAGGATTGGGGTTTTCAGGTACCTTGGGCTTGTGATTTAGGATCGCCCTTTCTAAGATGGCCTATCGGGTCTCGCACCATCTGTGCAGGTTGAGGAGAACCTAGTTCTGGAAAACGAAGCGAGCCTTGCCTGCAAAGAGGTTTGCCTTCAGGGAGACATTGAGGAGCACGCGCTGCACGTGCTCCACGTGCACTTGAAGGTTTTACTTGTAGGACTCGGCGCGCACGTCGCCTCACATGTTGCGCAAGAGTCTGCGACAGAGAGCGTGCCGGAAATGTTTGCTTCACAGCAGGAGTGCCTTCTGAAGATTCCACACAGTATCAGCCTGTTCTGGAACGTGATGTTCACGGGGTGGTGAATTCCCCTCGTAAGCTCAGGCTCCCGGAGGCACAGCTGGAGGCACCGGGTGCTTTTCAGATTTTTCAGTGACTGCAGGTCTTTATGCATCATGGGATTCGTTTAGGGGCTGGCTTTGGCATTCTGTCAGGACACGGAGGGGGCGATCCCAGAGGCGGAGGCAGAGGCTCTTCCTGAAGCTGAAGGGCCACCACTGCCAGAGCAAGCTGAGGAGGCTCAGGGGGTCGAGGTTCAAAGTGACTCCTCGAACATTGTTCCCGCGCCATCCCCCGCCCTTTCAGCAAGGAGATCATATGTCCTAGAGGCCCCAAAGGCCCCCAAAGGCCCCCAAAAAGGACACCCAAAGCAGCCAGCCTGAAGCCCCGTGAGGCACAAGAGCTGGGCGCCCTGGAGGCTGATCCGGGCTCTTTGGAGGACTTGGAGGATGCCTTCTGAACCAGGAGAGCTCAAGGTGTTCTCACGTAGAGAATGTGTAGAAGGTACCTACAAGAAGATGTGAGAGGGTGAATGCTCGTAAACGTTCAAAGTGTGCTGGGTTTAGGGCCAAAGCCCGACCTGGTACTCCTTGAGGCATCGGAACGATGGGCCCCAAGGAAGTTGGTTTAATGTCCTTCCAGCCGGAAACGTGCGCGGAAGAAGCCCTGGATCAAGAAGGTTTGATACCTTTACGCCCAACCGGCTTCAGCGGATCTTCCCGAACTTTGTGCTCCGAGGCGCACAGATCATCCTTCTGGGTCCACGGCTTTGTCCATGACCATTGGCTGACTGATGACACAACTCTTCAGCAACAACCACCAGCATAGCAACAAAAGAACAATACTGTAGGACACGGTCGATCCGACCCCGTGGCTGTCTGTAAAACTATGGGACTCTGGGGTTACGATGTTAACTTATAGGAAGATTAGGCTGAGGTACTCGACTCGCCGCGCACGCGTGCATGGCTCGCCTAGTCGCGGCGCCGGTTTTGGGTCCAAGTCGCACTTTCACCAAGGCGCGGGCGTGGCTGCAGGATGTGTGGGGTGGCCGTTTCACAGTTGAAACCAGGGTTTCGGCATCGCCCTACGCGACAGGTCGCCTATAGGTCTGCTCCGTCTCGCGAAACGCATGTCGTGGGCGCACGTTCCTGCTTTGGGCTCTTCTTTGTTCCGGCAGCTACTTCAAGCCATATGGTACGGAGTAGCACTCTTGGAGTGGTCTTTTATTGCTCCTTGGAGTGGTTCCCCTGTTGCTCATTGTGGGGGTGCTCGGTGATCTTGCTCTCCAAGGGCTATCTTAAAGTGCTCTTAAGGAATTGCTGGCTTGAAGTGTTACGACACTGCTTGGAGTCTACACCACAACATACCATGCAGTGCTTTAACTTGTATAAACGCCGCCTGTAGTCTATGGTCGCTGTTGAAAAGTTCAGTCACATCAGTCACCGTTTGTCCCGGTTGCTGTCTGGGTACCGCAGGCTAAAACGGCCAGCTGCTCAAGCGTGCCAAGAAAAGGACGGCGTCCTTGTATATCCCTGTATCCGTAATGGCCCGCAACTCTACAACACTTTTGATCCAAAGCTGTATAGCCTTCAAGACTCAACCCGTCACACCATGTCACACCATCTGAGTCCTTTCGCCCATGTTGCAGGTATAAGCTCGTCTAGGAGCCCACATGCCCGCCGATGCTCTCTTCTCAACTCTGAGTCAGCACCCCGCGAAGGTACCAGCTTCGTCTACCACGCGCGAGCCGTCGCGTGCGCGTTTTGTGGGCGGCGTTACTTCCCAGCATCCCTGCGGCTCCATGAGGCTCGGCACAGTGTTCGCCTGAGTCTCAAGTTTCATTGAATTTTGGGTCATACACCTACACGGGATGAGCTTGCGTGTGGCTAGCAATTGTGCTGTACCAACCTCCTTGTTGTCTCCAGCTTTTGCAGCCACTCTTTTGAAGCTTCTGCGAAGTCCGTCCGAAAAATCGCAGCCCACCGCTGAGCCAGGAGAGGTGCGCTGCGCGCTGGAGCCAAAGCAGGTGCCAACAATTGGAGAAGGGCGCTTAAGGGGCTCACAGGGATGTTCAGGGTGAAGCATTATGTAGAGGTTAGCCGGTTCATGTGCCCAATTGACATTCCTGGATCAGCTTCAATATCGGCAGGACCGGATCACATCTGTGTCGGCCAAGTGGACACTGACAAAGAAACATGTTGATTTACTGAGGCCGACAAACACGCCAAACTACCCAACCACGCTCTCTAATGACGAGAGATGGAGCGAAGTGTGTTGAACACTTGAGTAGCCCCGAGTTTGTTCTACGACGCCGAAACCACGCAGACTTCTGCAAGCCGAGGCAAGCTCAGCTTCTAGACCCTTCACTGATTTGATTACAGGAACCTCAACATGACAGGTCACCGTCGGCGTGGCATGAGTGGCCCGACACGTCCAGCATGCCGCTCGGGGAGAGCCCCGGGCTGCGATCCATGAGCGCGCGGACGGAGAAACTCGGTTTAAATTAGGGTTTGGGGCTCAGGGTTTAGGGTTTGTAAGGGTTTAGGGCCTAGGGTTAGGGTTATAAGGGTTGAGGGTTTAGGGTGGCATTCAGTTTTGGTGGGTTCGAGGAAAATGAACAATGCAATGAGCCTCCTTGGGTACTGAGTTTTCTGAGCCGTACTGAAATGCTGCATTGTGCTGGGCCTTTCAGGACAGACGCCTCCACTTCCTACGTGCGCCCTACGGGCCCTGCAAGACTGGTCTGCGACTTCGGGGACTCGATGACTTCCGGCTCGAAAACCGACGAGGAGGCAGAGTTGGAGCAGCAGGACGAGTTCGCCGATGAGCCTTGCGAGCCTTGCGTGGCCAACAAGGCACCGAGGCCGCCATCTCACTGCGACGAGTCCACAGACACGCCTGCAGACATTGATCTGGGTGCACACAGCACAACTCACAGCACCTCATGCTCCGACACCTTGGCGTCGGACGACCTGCGAGCACCTCAAGTGCCTTGGCCCCAGAAGCTGCTTTTCGCCAAAAGCACAAGTGATACAAGTGGGCCAGCGGAGACGGCAGAGAGCATGACGGGCATGACAAAGTGGAGGTTTCCCGACGCGAAGGCCACGAAGGTCAGCACGGAGAAGGTGTTGCAGCACCGCAGCGCGTCGCAGCCTTGTCGTGGACGTCCTGAAGCCCGAAGACCACAGGGGCGTCCTGAACCCAAGAAGGCTGCACCTGCAAAGCCTGCGGCAAAGCCCGCCGCCAAGTTGAAGGCAGCAAGGCCAGCACAGCCGAAGCCAGCGGAGCTCCGATCGAGCAAAGCAAAGGTTCTCCAGGATGCTGCGACGCAGACGGCCACAAAGCCGACAAAGCGCGATGCTGCATCACAGAGGCCGGGCAAGGCCTCTGCAAAGCCGACCCGGAAATGCGGTTCAGCGAGCACAGGCGGTGGCACGGTTCCTCCCAAAACCGCTCGGCCCAAGACTCCTCGCAGCCGGGGTGTCGCTGGTGTCGGCGTTCGCAGCACAAGCGCAAAGCCAAGCGCGAAGCCAAGCGCAAATGCAAAGCCAAGCACAAAGCCCACACGGTGCACGCGGCCATGGAAGATGAACCGCTCCTTCTCGGCACCCACCATCTCCGCTACTCAGAAGTCCAAGGCCCCGAGGCGGTCTCGGTCTGCTGGGCCACAGCCACTCCATCGGCGCTGCGATCGCTGCGTGGCCTGTCTGATGGCTGAGCTTCGCTCCGTGTGGCCCATGGGGCCTCGAAGCAACAGCAGCGGCGGCTGCTGGTGCTGCGCACGAGCGAAGTCACCGAAGTCGAAGCCTAGACAAACAAGACCACCTTCCCGGAGCTGTAGTCGCTCCCGTCGCCACTCGGAGTGGAGAGAGCAGAAGGAGGCAGAGGAGGAGGAGGCGCAGGAGAAAGTGGAGGACAAGGCGGAGATGGAGGAGGAGCAAAGTTTGGAGCATCGCGAGTCAAGCGAGCCGAGCTCGTCTCAGGAGGCGGTCGCCCAGCTCAAGCAGGGCCAGGCAGCTTGCCTAGACGGAGCCGTGCAAACCGACAGCTGCCGCACAGTGTGCCCTTGGCGCCACGCTGAGCAGCGTCATGCAGAAAATTCAGAATTTGCAGGGTTTCTTGTACAGCAGATACCAGAGGTGGAAGGACTCTCCATGTCTGGCGACATGGACCGAAGCTTGCCATGCATCCCGCCATCCTGGATGTGTGTTCAGGAGATCGTGGAGATTGTGGGCATTAGGCAGTTTGCCTTTGGTGGCATCCTCCCAGAGAAGCAATCGCTGACCCAAGCCGAGAGCACCAACTCCCATCGACTGGTCGCCGCGCTGACACAGGCCCGAGCCGGTCACAGCATGTCTTAATCCACATTTTCAACCATACAGTGACCGAAAGTGGAGGCAAAGGGAAAGTTGCTGTTTGGAAGACGAGGCTTATTAGAAGGGTTAAGGGCCTATAGGGTTCAGAATTCCAACTTTTGCGATGCCGGCAGCCCTGGTCTTAGGTGCCGCAGCCAGTTGTGGAGGTGAAGGTCAAGCGCAAGCAAGAGCAAGCAATGAGCCGACGGAGTCAGGGCCCAAGCCTTTTCCACTTCCACATCCCGCTGCTTAACCCTATAGTATAGAAACCCGATAAACCCTAAACAAAACAAACCTGAAAGCCTATAAACCCTACAAACCCCCCATAAACCCCCATAAACCCTATAAACCCGATAAACCCCCTATACAACCCCTTAGAAACCCCTTGTAAACCCCTATAAACCCTACAAAACCCTAAACACCTAAGTCTTCCGACCCACTCAGGCCACCGAGACCCGGAGCAGCTCCGGGGTCTGAACTGATGGCATCTGACGAGTCTGGCTCTATGGGGGTTTAGGGTTTAGGGTTTAGGGTTTAGGGTTTAGGGTTTAGGGAACCCCCTAACATGGGTCACTTCTCTCTCGAAATGACTACCATATTTGCTCAAGAACCCCCAAAAAACACAAGATAAGAAGCCCTAGATTTCCCTCATAAGGAGTATTCAATAAATGAAGTTTTGCCTGGGGTTCTAAGCAGATAGTAGATTATGGTGAATATGAAGTGTCCATCTACAGAGTTGGAGCCTTTTTCACAGCCGCTGCAGTTGGGAGTGATGGCAGACAGCGTAAGCACGATCAACGCATCTGGAATGTACCTCCAAGAGCTCACAGTTCCTCTGAGACAAAGTTGGCCCAACGCGTGCAGCCTGAAAGGGGCGATGCTACAATTAAGAGTCAACAATGCCTGTGCCAATGTTTGTGAACCAAGTGTCAGACGCTTTTTCTTTGTTGTTTTCTCGTCTCATGTGCTACTGAAGTTCACACTTTCACTTTCAAGCAAAAGCAGGAGTGGCTGCAGCTACTGTTGACATGTGCTCGTGGCGGGTGCGAAGCATCTGCGCTCAGCCGGTAAGAATGACTGCAGAGGGGATGGGGGGGATTGGCCGGCTTGCCTCAGATCAAAACAAAGGGCTGCCCGGTCAGGAGCTTCGCCATGAGGTCACAGGCTGTCACGAAAACAGATGCCAATAAGATCTGTCAGAACTGACCATCGATGCAGATCTTAGAAGGTCTGAGAGCTTTAAAGTGCTTGACTCCGCGCACTTGACCATAGCCTTTTACAAAAGCCATCCGACGCGCGTGGGTCGGCCTGGGGCGGCTTCTTTGCAGAGTGTGGGGTGCCCGGCTTGGTTTCGCTAGCTTGCTCACGACATACTGAGCAACCACAGATATACCCGGTTTAGAGTTTAGGGTTATGTAGATAGGGTTCTAAGGCTCCGCTGCAGCTCAGCAAAGCTGTCAGAGCAGGGCTGAACATGGCAAGAAGCTGGCTGGACTCAGCAGGTGTTTTGACTAGTTCTCTGGCCAGGCACGGGCCCCATGAGATGCAGACTCCTTCTGCAGGACTGTCGACAGGCGCAGCCACGGAACAGGTTTTAAAGCTTGATTTGACAGGAGATTTGTGAGCTTTGTGGGCTTTGGAGCCGCCAGAGTGCTGAATCTGCGGCCCTTGCGGCGAGAGAGAGAGAGAGAGATACATATATATATATATATATGTATATATATATATGTATGTATATATATATATGTACAGTAACACCAACGGCTGACTGTAGCACTAAAAAGGTCAGGGCGACTCTCAAAACATCCCTACCTTAAGCCATCTTTGAGCAAACCGAAGCACCACATGAAAGCCTCGTGTGAGCAATGCTTTATGCCGAGACGGCTGCACAATACCTGGCAAGCAAAGAAACCGAAAATGTGCTTGACAAATCACTGTTTTCCTATAGTGTCGGTGTCATCAAATCATGTTAGACTATTGGTGCATGTGTCAGTGAAGGCAGCTGAGAGTCGGCTGAGTACGAGGCCAGGCGGAGGGGGTTGCGACGATTTTTCCCAGAGACACGCAGAGTTTTGGACCCGGCGTTGTTTGGAAGTGGTCGAATGATCCCCTTGTGTGTCTTTTTGCGAGTGGCCTGAAGGGGGCATCTGGTGGTTGATACATGGTGACTGTGTGCTTGCGTGTGGATGCAGGGTGCAACGAGCCCTTCTGCCTGTTCTGCATGACATTGTTTACAAGACCGAACAGTTCTTACAGGAGCAGGTGCATATAAGTATCCTGGGGACCGGACTGGCGAATGCTTCTAAGCAAGGCTTCGAGTGACCGCTTCAGCTGCTATAGTCCCAGGCCGCGCCCTTGCAACTTGCACCCCGCGCCCTCGCGACTATCATGGCCCGCCCCGTGCTGTTGCCCTTCGTTGCCGCACTGGCTGCCTTCTACGGTGCCGCAAGCTTCGTGGGCTCCTTTAGCGGCAGCCGCGCCTGCAGCCGCGTGCCCGCGCGAGTGAGCGCAGAGTACCTGGAGCGCTGCGGCCCCAAGGACTCGGACGTGCCCTTCGGCAGCGCCAGTGCCACGGGACCTGGTGCCACCGTGGAGTTCAAGAAGCGACCTTTCGGCATCCTGCGCTACCAGCCGGGCCAGGGCGGGAAGGGAGCCATGGCTATGGAGATCATCCCCAAGTCCAGGTACCCCGGTGATCCTCAGGGACAGGCCTTCGCGGCAGGTGTGCAGAGCGGATGGGTGGTCGCCTCCATCAACGGCCAGGACATGCTCAACGAGGATTTCGGCAAGATCATGGATATGTTGGACGATGAGGTGGCTGATCCTCGCTTCTCCAAGTCGACTGCTTTGGCTCTTGAGAAGCAGGGTGGGCGTTTGGCCGAGCCTGTCGAGGCCCCACTCTCCGTGGTATTCAACTCCGTCCCAGGCTACACCTACAAGGGCGCTGCGCTGACAGAGGACGGCCAGGACGGCTTCGCGCGCTGAGCAGCTTCGCCCGTATATCTTTTTCACTCTAGTCGCACATACAGAAAGCAGGAGGGGTGCCAGCATTTAAACGGCATGACCTCCAGTAATTATCCTCCAGAATTTCCGCCGAAGGCTCAAAGACATGTATACTCTTGTAGCTCTTGTGCCAAGCAAAAAAATGCCGGTTCCGTGCCAGCAAGCAGACTCTTTGCTATGTTCTGTTCGCCCTGAATTCCCTGCCAGGTGTGGCCAAGCGCATTGGCGGTCTCTTTCTGCTTCTCGGCCTGCTATTTCGACTGATTCTAGACAAGTCCGCTATGACCCCTGCAGGAAGGTCTTTGCTGCCACATGCAGAAAGGTTAGCCCACGTCCAGACCGTCTAGAATCCACCATTTCCCAAACCCCGCCGCAAGGAGTTTCCAACTTATCCGACGTGAGGGCAGAGGCAGAGGCTTTGAGGGCAGGGGTTTATAGGGTTGAGAGGTCTTGGGCATGGCGTTGAGGATTTTCAATATTTTTCAGATACACAGGGCCCCCGAGTGTTGGGGGCTGTTTTTGGGGCTCAGGGGTGTTGTCTTGGGGGGAAGGAGTGCAACCGGCGAAAGTCAGATGAATGATTGGTTTGCTGTGCCTGCAGCGACATGCGGACTGTGCTTGCATGCAGCATGTGTGGGTGCCAAGTCTGCGCGTGGCCTGATAGTTCTGCTTGTTCAGCATGGTGTGCGTATGCCAGGCAGCATCTTTGACCTGATCATGATGAAGCAGGCACGATGCGATTTTGTTCCCAAGATCGCCGAACAGTTCTTGCCAGAGCAGGTGCATATAAGTATCATGGGGACCGGACTGGCGAATGCTTCTAAGCAAGGCTTCGAGTGACCGCTTCAGCTGCTATAGTCCCAGGCCGCGCCCTTGCAACTTGCACCCCGCGCCCTCGCGACTATCATGGCCCGCCCCGTGCTGTTGCCCTTCGTTGCCGCGCTGGCTGCCTTCTACGGTGCCGCAAGCTTCGTGGGCTCCTTTAGCGGCAGCCGCGCCTGCAGCCGCGTGCCCGCGCGAGTGAGCGCAGAGTACCTGGAGCGCTGCGGCCCCAAGGACTCGGACGTGCCCTTCGGCAGCGCCAGTGCCACGGGACCTGGTGCCACCGTGGAGTTCAAGAAGCGACCTTTCGGCATCCTGCGCTACCAGCCGGGCCAGGGCGGGAAGGGAGCCATGGCTATGGAGATCATCCCCAAGTCCAGGTACCCCGGTGATCCTCAGGGACAGGCCTTCGCGGCAGGTGTGCAGAGCGGATGGGTGGTCGCCTCCATCAACGGCCAGGACATGCTCAACGAGGATTTCGGCAAGATCATGGATATGTTGGACGATGAGGTGGCTGATCCTCGCTTCTCCAAGTCGACTGCTTTGGCTCTTGAGAAGCAGGGTGGGCGTTTGGCCGAGCCTGTCGAGGCCCCACTCTCCGTGGTATTCAACTCCGTCCCAGGCTACACCTACAAGGGCGCTGCGCTGACAGAGGACGGCCAGGACGGCTTCGCGCGCTGAGCAGCTTCGCCCGTATATCTTTTTCACTCTAGTCGCACATACAGAAAGCAGGAGGGGTGCCAGCATTTAAACGGCATGACTTCCAGCAATTATCCTCCAGCATCTCTGCCGAAGGCTCAAAGACATGTATACTCTTGTAGCTCTTGTGCCACCGCATAAAAATGCCGGTTCCGTGCCAGCGCCAAGCAGACTGTTTGATACGTTCTGTTCGCCCTGAATTCCCTGCCAGGTGTGGCCAAGCACATTGGCGGTCTCTTTCTGCTTCTCGGCCTGCTATTTCGACTGATTCTAGACAAGTCCGCTATGACCCCTGCAGGAAGGCCTTTGCTGCCACATGCAGAAAGGTTAGCCCACGTCCAGGCCGTCTAGAATCCACCATTTCCCAAACCCCGCCGCAAGGAGTTTCCAACTTATCCGACGTGAGGGCAGAGGCAGAGGCTTTGAGGGCAGGGGTTTATAGGGTTGAGAGGTCTTGGGCATGGCGTTGAGGATTTTCAATATTTTTCAGATATACAGGGCCCCCGAGTGTTGGGGGCTGTTTTTGGGAGGCATGTCTTTTTTGGGTAGTTTTTTGGTTTTTTTTGGGTATGTTTTTGGGTTTAGGGTATGTTTTTGAGTTTAGGGTATGTTTTTGGGTTTAGGGTTTAGGGATTACGGGTTAGGGTTTTAGGGATTTAGGGTTTATAGGGTTTAGGGTCTTAGCGTTTTAGGGTTTTAGCGTTTTAGGGTTTTAGGGTTTTAGCGTTTAGGGTTTTAGGGTTTTTGGGTCTTTGGGTTTTTGGGTTTTTGGAAAACCAAAAAAAACCAAAAAACATACCCAAAAAGAACCCCCAGCCCTGTTTTTGGGGCTCAGGGGTGTGGTCTTGGGGGGAAGGAGTGCAACCGGCGAAAGTCAGATGAATGATTGGTTTGCTGTGCCTGCAGCGACATGCGGACTGTGCTTGCATGCAGCATGTGTGGGTGCCAAGTCTGCGCGTGGCCTGATAGTTCTGCTTGTTCAGCATGGTGTGCGTATGCCAGGCAGCATCTTTGACCTGATCATGATGAAGCAGGCACGATGCGATTTTGTTCCCAAGATCGCCGAACAGTTCTTGCCAGAGCAGGTGCATATAAGTATCATGGGGACCGGACTGGCGAATGCTTCTAAGCAAGGCTTCGAGTGACCGCTTCAGCTGCTATAGTCCCAGGCCGCGCCCTTGCAACTCGCACCCCGCGCCCTCGCGACTATCATGGCCCGCCCCGTGCTGTTGCCCTTCGTTGCCGCGCTGGCTGCCTTCTACGGTGCCGCAAGCTTCGTGGGCTCCTTTAGCGGCAGCCGCGCCTGCAGCCGCGTGCCCGCGCGAGTGAGCGCAGAGTACCTGGAGCGCTGCGGCCCCAAGGACTCGGACGTGCCCTTCGGCAGCGCCAGTGCCACGGGACCTGGTGCCACCGTGGAGTTCAAGAAGCGACCTTTCGGCATCCTGCGCTACCAGCCGGGCCAGGGCGGGAAGGGAGCCATGGCTATGGAGATCATCCCCAAGTCCAGGTACCCCGGTGATCCTCAGGGACAGGCCTTCGCGGCAGGTGTGCAGAGCGGATGGGTGGTCGCCTCCATCAACGGCCAGGACATGCTCAACGAGGATTTCGGCAAGATCATGGATATGTTGGACGATGAGGTGGCTGATCCTCGCTTCTCCAAGTCGACTGCTTTGGCTCTTGAGAAGCAGGGTGGGCGTTTGGCCGAGCCTGTCGAGGCCCCACTCTCCGTGGTATTCAACTCCGTCCCAGGCTACACCTACAAGGGCGCTGCGCTGACAGAGGACGGCCAGGACGGCTTCGCGCGCTGAGCAGCTTCGCCCGTATATCTTTTTCACTCTAGTCGCACATACAGAAAGCAGGAGGGGTGCCAGCATTTAAACGGCATGACTTCCAGCAATTATCCTCCAGCATCTCTGCCGAAGGCTCAAAGACATGTATACTCTTGTAACTCTTGTGCCACCGCATAAAAATGCCGGTTCCGTGCCAGCGCCAAGCAGACTGTTTGATACGTTCTGTTCGCCCTGAATTCCCTGCCAGGTGTGGCCAAGCGCATTGGCGGTCTCTTTCTGCTTCTCGGCCTGCTATTTCGACTCCTTCCATAGAAGCGGGCATACCGGGCATACCCACGACAAGTTTGTTGAGTTCGGCAGAAGGTGGTTAGGTTTCAAAGGCCGACTCGTAGAGAAGGCGCCTTGGAGAGGTGCATCCTGCGCCTTGCTGCGCGCTGCTGCACGTGAGCTCAGAGTTTCGATCCCGTCTCTGCAGCGCAATGCTCGGGCGCCTCGGTGGATTCGCGTTCGTGGCCGTGCTCGCTGCGCTGCCGCCAGCGACGGCGAAGTTGGGCAGCAGCAGCAATGGCACGACTGCTTTGATGCCTGGCCGCCTTTGAGTGCACCGTACACATGTACAGCAGCCAGTGGCCCCTGGCCCGAATCGAAGCCTCCTCGTCTTTACTTCAAGCCCTGCAGGAGAGGCGCCGGACTACCGCTGGAGGCTAAGCCACTCGTGGCTCCCAAACTGCTCGATGAAGTGCCGGCCCAGGTGCCTGTGGTTTCCGGGTGCAGAGTCTGCTAAGCTCTACTTGCAGCGGCTCCTTTAACTGGGTTTGCCCGGCTTTCTTGAAGCATATCGACATGGACCAGCAAACGGCCCATCCGAGGTCAGAAGGGTCCAGTCAACCTCGGGAAGCAGTGAATCACGCCCGGTGCTGACTCCCCAATCAGGCCCCTCAAACCTGCGTGCGCCTTCGAACCTGGGCTGGCGACTGTGATCCTAGGTAGGATAAGGGGGACCCTTAAAAGGGATCCCCTTCTTAACCCTCTTCTGGCTCTCTTAAACAGGGACCCTATTCAGAGGCTCTATATCCCCAAGGGTCCCCCTAATCCTATCCCCTATGTGAGGGACCTTTCCTGACTCAGCAGCACTACCCCGTCCAGAAGCATGCCACCAAAACGGACCCGCCCCCCAGACTGTTTCGAAATGCCCACAAATGTTTCCATAAAAAGGTGGTCAAGCCGGTTCATGCCGAACCCTCAACTGCCTTCATAGTCGATGAGAAGTGATGAGAGGTGTCACGGGCCTGTGTGATCCGTGCTGTGCTTGGCGCCCAGGAAAGCCAAAAGCGCCCTCGGTGGTGCAGCTGCCTTCGCTTTCGTCATGGCCGGCCAAGGCTTACTAACTGGTTATGACAAGGCGGAGATGTCGACAGAGTTCGACATGGAGGCTGGGGTCCGATGAGGGAAGAGGGCGGACTATACTCCACTGGCCCCTGCACCATGCTTGCCTATAAGCAGTGTTTGAAGCTGCGGAGATTTCGAGGTGCACAAGTACGTGCTCCGTGACGTGGGCATCCTGGGCATCGAGTTTGCCAAGGCAGGCTTTGGAACGTCCAAGCTGCGGGTTGTCACGTTGTGCCCTCATGCGCTGCTTCTGCTTCCGCTGCTTCTGTTGCAGGAGGGTCTCGTCTCAACGTTCTCCAAAGCGGCACCCTTCTTGGGCCCGGCTGCTATTGTGCTTCAGGCTGTACTTGAAACCTTCATCCCGGATGAGGAGTTTACTGAAGCCGACGCCATGATTATGATTGAAGAGAGGCTTCGCGAGTTCAAGAAAAGCTTTAAGAAGGAGATCATGCAAGAGACCCAGAACCTGGTCACCGGATCCATCAGCGCCAACAGTTTCCGAGAGGCGCAGCTCTTGATGGGGAAGGTCACCGACGGGCTCTCCATCGCTCAGTCTTCTAAGTTGCTCGACACCGATGCCTTCCTGGCCTATGCCATGTCCTTTGAGAACGACATTAGCCACCTCGCAGAACTGCAGGGCGCCCAGAGTACACCCAGCGTCCCGATTAAGAAGGGAAGGTGAACTTCTGAATGAAGGCTCGCCCCACTGCCCCCAAATTACACTAAGGTTGTTCCTTCCCTGCGTTGACAAGGGCTGGGGCAGTCTGGAGTGCAACGAGCGCATCGGCGCCGGGGCCACCATTCTCTTTGCCCAGCTCACGACCGTGCACTTCGCCCTCTTCGATGGGGTCTTCCGGGCTCTGTACACGAAAGCCGAGCAGGTGCGCCGTCACCTCTTTGTGGAAGCCAACGACAAGGTGGCCGCCCTTGCGGACGACGTCCTGCGCACCACCTTCCGGAAAACGGGCTGCACCAACTTGGATGCGCCTCCCAGCTTCTGGGCCTGGCTCCATTCGACAACCAACGTGGCTGCGCTGCTTGAGCGCTTGCACCATGTGTGCACCCCATCACTGCTGGTTGTTCCTCCGCAGCCTCTTGGCCATGCTACAACGTGCAACATCTGGGGCCACAAGGTGGGAGGTGACTGGGAGCTCGTCCGCCGGACTGCCACGAACACCTTCCAGGACACAGATCGTCTGGAGGGCCTCTCGCAGTACGGCACAGAACACGACAGCCCAACAGGCCGGGCAGCCTCCACAAAAAAGGGATGCTGTTCGAACTGTGCTCAAGTTTGCAGTTCCCTTGCTCTGAGGTGCAACTTTCTCCAAGCCGTTCAACAACATGAATTTCAACCAGTTTCTGTTCGCTACGGGAGACTGCCAAAAATGGATGATCATGGAAAAGTCAGAGGTCTTGGCTTCGTACGACTGGGAGAAGAGACGCATCGAGAGGTCTCACATGTCTGACGTGCCCTACAGCGCGACCATGCTCCGCCGCAGCAACTGGGAGGACCCTTGGCTCACCTTCGAAGACCACGGAACCGGCGAGAATGCGCATTGCACGTCTCTCTACCAAGCGTGGCTGGGCGTCAAGATCTGGGGGGTCGTCTGAGTAGAGATAGGGCTCAGCCTATATAGGGCTCAGGCTCAGCCCTTCATGCGCTTCAAGGGATGTTCAGGCTATTCAGGGGTGCTGAACCATGCACCTGAACCATACAGAAGCAAGAAAGGAATAACTTCGACCCGTGGTGTTCCTATGGCGACCTCGGCCACAAGCACAACGGGCTCAACGTCTTCGTGCGCTGGGCAACTGCCTCGTGGCTGACAATATATTGGGGGGGGGGGGGGAGGTTCCCAACTCAGGTTTCCATATATATATATATATATATCCTAGTGGCCTATACTCTACCTATAGGCTTGAATCCTTGAAGGGTGCCCGAAGACAAGGCTTTCTCCCTTTCTGTTTTTGTGTCGGTCTTGGAGTGCAGCCGTTCAGGCCGCAGACAGCTGCTGCGGTGTGGACGGCTATGAGTGTACCCCGGGGTGCAACCTCCAGAGCGACCTCAGCTTTGACTTCGCCACGCGCGGACAGTGACTGAGTTGCAAATGGTGCAAACCAGGGCATCAGCATCAGGGCCTAGGGATATTAGGGCACGGCGCTGCGCAGATGCCCCCCAAGCGCCTGGGATCTGAGGGCGAGGTTCGACAAGGTGAAGGCCAAGTACCGGAAGATGTTCGACAAGGCTCGCGACAAGTACCTGGCTCTCCGGCTTCAGCAGATCAACTGCGGCGCGTCCGGCTGCGTGGATGCCTACAACCCAGCTGCCGCATTTTCCGACGAGGCTCCTCGCAAGGCGGAGGTGGCCACGAACGCGACCCAAATGCTCGAAGCAGCAGAGGCCTTGCTGGCCCCCACCGCAGTCTTCGGGGCCTCGGCCCAGGACGGCACGCTCCCAGCGCTGCCCGCCAGCGATGGCTGGCAACTGCGGCAGAAGCTCCCCCTCTCCCAGGGCCACGGCCGGCTCGTGGGCCTCGTGCCCAAATTCGAGAACAAGCCCAGCCTCAAGATCAACGGCGTCCAACAGGCCATCTCCGTTTTCCAGATGTACGAGGATGCGGGACGCTGGTTCGTCCATGACTTCAGCTTTGACAAGCCGAACTTGCTCGTGGAGAACATGCAAGCTAGCTTGTGCCCAAGCACTGTGTGCTTCAGCGGCTCCTCGCACGTCATGAAGTACGGTGCCTTTGAGAGCATGCAGCTGTGGGTGCAGGAGAAGCCCTTTGAGGCCTTCATCCCGTGGGACAGCTCCCAGCTGGAGCACAATTGCCAAGTCCCGCTTGGGAACAGTGGATCCATGCAGTGCGGTGGACCGGATGGCAGTCACCTGCGAGTGAAACTCAACGATGCGGCCTTTGGCTGGGAGGTGGGGCCCGGTCCAACGCTCAAGAAAACTCAGAGCTGAAAGGAGCTGAATCTGATTTTTTTTTGGGGGAAATCCCCTGCAACACCCCCGCCCGCAGGTCAAGTTCTTCATGAGGCTCGACGCTCCGCTTCTCTGGTGGGACCTGGACTTGGAGTGCACCAGCTATCCGACAACTTACGGCAGCAACAAGTACAAGTGTCTTGCCTACCAGTGGGCCAGGGTCTCTGCAAAGTTTTCGCAACCTACGTGAGATTGCACAAGAGGTGGAGATGTGAAGGGCCGTGAAATGTCATGAAGAGTCTTACGGAGACTCGGAGAGTCAGATCAAAGGCCAGCCTGACCCAAGGTGCGAGCGGGGCAATTCCTTGGATGACGGGTTTTTCTACGTGTGACCTGGCAAAGGAACTCGATGAAACTCAAGGCGCGAGCATCGCGAGATAGCGCTAGAATGGGCGAGCATGCTGAGGTACAACGAGAACGGCGCCTGCGGTGCTCTGTCATGTGAGTGCTGCCGGACCTGGAAGGACCCTAGCAGCCCTAGCAGACTCCCAGAAGAAAGCAAAAGCCAAGAGTATGTTGATTCAATGATTTGTGTTACAAGCACTTCTCATTGCTCAGGACCAGGTAAGCGCAGCCATCGACATTGACTTCGGCCAGCCAAACCCCAACTGGAACCCGGCCGTTATGAGGCTTGCTCTCAATCACGGCCTGCCAGATGGGGGTCAAGCGCAGTTGTTGCAGGAGTTCGGTGGACAGATTTATGAAGGAAACCCCGCGAAGCGGGACAGCTTCGATCGGAAGCGCTTGGGACCCTCGCCAGTGCAGCATGGACAGTGGCAAGCCTATGTTGTGAAGCGGAGTGAGGGAAAGATCTTTGTGTGGATCGATGACCAACTCGCTTGGGTCCATAACCTTCCCATCACTCAGAATGCCATGAACATTGCAGCCGGCGCTGGTGTTTCTGCCACCTGCGGCACATGTGAGTCCTCAATCTTTGACAGGATCAACTCAATCAAAATCCGTCCGCGCGGGACGTCTGGCTCAATTTGGGGCCTTTCGGTACGGCATGTGCCCCAAGAGCTTGATGTGAGACAGCGGGGCCTCAACTTTGTCGTCGACCCGGACCAGGTTGGCTACGTGGAGAGCGATGGATACACCAAGCGGACCGTCCTGCAGTGCAGGTACGCTGAAGATGGAAGCTTGCAACAAGGACAAGGGTCCACTTCGTTTTACCCGTTGCTTCAGTTTACAAAGACCGGTCTGCAAGACGCGTGGCCTGTAGGGACCGTCGTGGCGGGTGGTTCCGAATGGCAAGATGGCGACACAGCTGTTCTGGCCCCGTCCTATGTTTACCACTGCCCTGCATGCAAGGGGAACACCGCAAAGGCGCACGGCGCCTGGGATGCTCCCTGCGCCTGAGGGCGAGATCGCGATAATATACCGCTTTGCATCCTTTGAGTTCCAGAGGAGGCATAGGCCAGCCCAGTGGCAGTCCTCAGTTGGAGGGTGTCGGGCATTTTTGGGAAGGTCTCCAACCTGACTTGTTGACTTCCTTCAGTAGTTCATATAGGCAGAGTATACAGGCCCGCGAGAGAGTAGGGCATTGTCGGGCCTTTTGGGGTCGTTGACAAGATGTACACAGCCCGAAGAGCGGCCTGTCCCTTACATCCTCCCTTTCTGTTGTAGCTAGTTTTATGAGATGCTGAGGGTTGCCTGCTACTTGTAGCTTTTCCAACGGCCTCAGCTCTGGACTTGACGTGAGACTGCCATGAGTGAAAGAGTGAACCTGCGCAGAGCCGAAAAGAGATTCTGTTGACTGCCCGATGGCGTGTGAGCTTTCTGTGTTGTGCTGGTGGTATGCAGCATGTGTGTGGGTGCAACGTCTGCGCGTGGCCTGATAGTTCTGCTTGTTCAGCATGGTGTGAGTATAATCCAACGAGTCGAAGGTGAGAAGGGCGTCTTGGACCTGATGAAGAAGGCAGGTTGCGCTTTTGTTCAACAAGGCATCCCTGGCTTGCCCCTGGCTGAAATCCTAAACCCCCAACCCCCAAATCCGGTGCCCAAGGATTTCAGGGTTTAGGGTTTAGGGTTTCTAGGGTTTAGGGCTTTCAGTCAGATCCGGGCAGAATCTCTCCAAGGATTTCAGCCAGCGACCCCCCGAGGGTTTGTTACCCCGGTGCCGGTTCGTAACCGCTAACTGGACCCCCGAAGAGCAGGGCCCTTAAAAGGATTGGGCCTCTATTTTGAATTCGGATAACTCGGTTCTTTGGCCGCCCTTTGTGGAGCCTTTTTAGGGGAAGTTTTCAGGTTGAAGAGGTTCGGCTCGAAACGCTGGATAAGTTGAAGGGGCTCGGCTCGAAACTGTGGCTATGTGCCCAAAACGGCTTAAAGCAGTTCAAGTTGAAGAGGTAAATTCAATGAAGAGAAGATATAGATGACACAGAAAGATGAGATTATGTTCAATTTCTCATGAAGTCGTGGCTCCTTTAAAGGATGTAGATTTAGTAGGGGGAGCGGCACCGGGGCAACCATCGGCACTTCTCTTGACCTTGCACCCAAGGATTGTCCCTGAGTGTTGGGGCCTGTTTTGGGGCCCAGGTGGTTTCCTGTACCTGAAGCGACATGCGGATGGTGTTTGTATGCAGCATGTGCGGGTGTCACGTCTTCACGTGGCCTGATAGTCCTACTTGTTCAGCATGGTGTGAGTATATCACAGTATATCCAAAGAGTGGAAGGTGAGAAGGGCGTCTTGGACCTGATGAAGAAGGCAGGTTGCGCTTTTGTTCAACAAGATCGCCGAACAGTTCTTGCCAGAGCAGGTGCATATAAGTATCATGGGGACCGGACTGGCGAATGCTTCGAGGCTTCGAATGACCGCTTCAGCTGCTATAGTCCCAGGCCGCGCCCTTGCAACTCGCACCCCGCGCCCTCGCGACTATCATGGCCCGCCCCGTGCTGTTGCCCTTCGTTGCCGCGCTGGCTGCCTTCTACGGTGCCGCAAGCTTCGTGGGCTCCTTTAGCGGCAGCCGCGCCTGCAGCCGCGTGCCCGCGCGAGTGAGCGCAGAGTACCTGGAGCGCTGCGGCCCCAAGGACTCGGACGTGCCCTTCGGCAGCGCCAGTGCCACGGGACCTGGTGCCACCGTGGAGTTCAAGAAGCGGCCTTTCGGCATCCTGCGCTACCAGCCGGGCCAGGGCGGAAAGGGAGCCATGGCTATGGAGATCATCCCCAAGTCCAGGTACCCCGGTGATCCTCAGGGACAGGCCTTCGCGGCAGGTGTGCAGAGCGGATGGGTGGTCGCCTCCATCAACGGCCAGGACATGCTCAACGAGGATTTCGGCAAGATCATGGATATGTTGGACGATGAGGTTGCTGATCCTCGCTTCTCCAAGTCGACTGCTTTGGCTCTTGAGAAGCAGGGTGGGCGTTTGGCCGAGCCTGTCGAGGCCCCACTCTCCGTGGTATTCAACTCCATCCCAGGCTACACCTACAAGGGCGCTGCGCTGACAGAGGACGGCCAGGACGGCTTCGCGCGCTGAGCAGCTTCGCCCGTATATCTTTTTCACTCTAAGTCGCACATACAGAAAGCAGGAGGCTGCCAGCAATTTAAACGGCATGACTTCCAGCAATTATCCTCCAGCATCTCTGCCGAAGGCTCAAAGACATGTATACTCTTGTAACTCTTGTGCCACCGCATAAAAATGCCGGTTCCGTGCCAGCGCCAAGCAGACTGTTTGTTACGTTCTGTTCGCCCTGATTCCCTGCCAGGTTTGGCCAAGCACATTGGCGGTCTCTTTCTGCTTCTCGGCCTGCGATTGCGACTCCTTCTAGGCAAGTCCTGGACCTGCTATGACAGCCGACTTCCAGCAGAAAGCTCTTTCCTGCCACGTCCGACATGAGGCAGCTGCAGGGGCTTGGAGGGCAGGGCATTTTAGGGTTGAGAGGTCGAGGGCGCTGCGTTGAGGATTTTTAGATATTTTTAGTGGTCCCTGAGTGTTTTGAGGGCCAGGTGGTTCCCTGTACCTGCAGCGACATGCGGATTGTGCTTGTATGCAGCTCAAATTCTCAAGGAGCATGTGCGGGTGCCAAGTCTGCGCGTGGCCTGATAGTTCTGCTTGTTCAGCATGGTGTGCGTATGCCAGGCAGCATCTTTGACCTGATCATGATGAAGCAGGCACGATGCGATTTTGTTCACAAGATCGCCGAACAGTTCTTACAGGAGCAGGTGTATATAAGTATCATGGGGACCGGACTGGCGAATGCTTCGAGGCTTCGAATGACCGCTTCAGCTGCTATAGTCCCAGGCCGCGCCCTTGCAACTCGCACCCCGCGCCCTCGCGACTATCATGGCCCGCCCCGTGCTGTTGCCCTTCGTTGCCGCGCTGGCTGCCTTCTACGGTGCCGCAAGCTTCGTGGGCTCCTTTAGCGGCAGCCGCGCCTGCAGCCGCGTGCCCGCGCGAGTGAGCGCAGAGTACCTGGAGCGCTGCGGCCCCAAGGACTCGGACGTGCCCTTCGGCAGCGCCAGTGCCACGGGACCTGGTGCCACCGTGGAGTTCAAGAAGCGGCCTTTCGGCATCCTGCGCTACCAGCCGGGCCAGGGCGGAAAGGGAGCCATGGCTATGGAGATCATCCCCAAGTCCAGGTACCCCGGTGATCCTCAGGGACAGGCCTTCGCGGCAGGTGTGCAGAGCGGATGGGTGGTCGCCTCCATCAACGGCCAGGACATGCTCAACGAGGATTTCGGCAAGATCATGGACATGTTGGACGATGAGGTGGCTGATCCTCGCTTCTCCAAGTCGACTGCTTTGGCTCTTGAGAAGCAGGGTGGGCGTTTGGCCGAGCCTGTCGAGGCCCCACTCTCCGTGGTATTCAACTCCATCCCAGGCTACACCTACAAGGGCGCTGCGCTGACAGAGGACGGCCAGGACGGCTTCGCGCGCTGAGCAGCTTCGCCCGTATATCTTTTTCACTCTAAGTCGCACATACAGAAAGCAGGAGGCTGCCAGCAATTTAAACGGCATGACTTCCAGCAATTATCCTCCAGCATCTCTGCCGAAGGCTCAAAGACATGTATACTCTTGTAACTCTTGTGCCACCGCATAAAAATGCCGGTTCCGTGCCAGCGCCAAGCAGACTGTTTGTTGCGTTCTGTTCGCCCTGATTCCCTGCCAGGTTTGGCCAAGCACATTGGCGGTCTCTTTCTGCTTCTCGGCCTGCGATTGCGACTCCTTCTAGGCAAGTCCTGGACCTGCTATGACAGCCGACTTCCAGCAGAAAGCTCTTTCCTGCCACGTCCGACGTGAGGCAGCTGCAGAGGCTTGGAGGGCAGGGCATTTTAGGGTTGAGAGGTTGAGGGCGCTGCGTTGAGGATTTCTAGATATTTTTAGTGGTCCCTGAGTGTTTTGAGGGCCAGGTGGTTCCCTGTACCTGCAGCGACATGCGGATTGTGCTTGTATGCAGCTCAAATTCTCAAGGAGCATGTGCGGGTGCCAAGTCTGCGCGTGGCCTGATAGTTCTGCTTGTTCAGCATGGTGTGCGTATGCCAGGCAGCATCTTTGACCTGATCATGATGAAGCAGGCACGATGCGATTTTGTTCCCAAGATCACCGAACAGTTCTTGCCAGAGCAAGTGCATATAAGTATCTTGGGGACTGGACTGGCGAATGCTTCTAAGCAAGGCTTCGAATGACCGCTTCAGCTGCTATAGTCCCAGGCCGCGCCCTTGCAACTCGCACCCCGCGCCCTCGCGACTATCATGGCCCGCCCCGTGCTGTTGCCCTTCGTTGCCGCGCTGGCTGCCTTCTACGGTGCCGCAAGCTTCGTGGGCTCCTTTAGCGGCAGCCGCGCCTGCAGCCGCGTGCCCGCGCGAGTGAGCGCAGAGTACCTGGAGCGCTGCGGCCCCAAGGACTCGGACGTGCCCTTCGGCAGCGCCAGTGCCACGGGACCTGGTGCCACCGTGGAGTTCAAGAAGCGGCCTTTCGGCATCCTGCGCTACCAGCCGGGCCAGGGCGGAAAGGGAGCCATGGCTATGGAGATCATCCCCAAGTCCAGGTACCCCGGTGATCCTCAGGGACAGGCCTTCGCGGCAGGTGTGCAGAGCGGATGGGTGGTCGCCTCCATCAACGGCCAGGACATGCTCAACGAGGATTTCGGCAAGATCATGGACATGTTGGACGATGAGGTGGCTGATCCTCGCTTCTCCAAGTCGACTGCTTTGGCTCTTGAGAAGCAGGGTGGGCGTTTGGCCGAGCCTGTCGAGGCCCCACTCTCCGTGGTATTCAACTCCATCCCAGGCTACACCTACAAGGGCGCTGCGCTGACAGAGGACGGCCAGGACGGCTTCGCGCGCTGAGCAGCTTCGCCCGTATATCTTTTTCACTCTAAGTCGCACATACAGAAAGCAGGAGGCTGCCAGCAATTTAAACGGCATGACTTCCAGCAATTATCCTCCAGCATCTCTGCCGAAGGCTCAAAGACATGTATACTTGTAACTCTTGTGCCACGGCAAAAAAAAACTGATGCCTTTTTTAAGCCGCTGCCGAGCAGACTGTAATTTGTTGTGTTCTGTTCTGCCTTGAATTTCCTGCCAGGTTTGGCCAAGAATCCTGGCGGCCTCTTTCTGCTTCTCGGCCTGCTATTACAAATCTTGGTAGACAAGTTTGCTTGTATGGCAGTAGAACCCTGAACCCCTAAACCCTCAGCGTAGGAGTCTGCATTTTGCATGCTGACCTTCTCATGGCATCAAAGACCTGCCTGCTTGTCGGCTTATTGCTTAGGTTGCTGGGCCGTTGGGCCAGCTTGTGCAAAAAGGATCCCCCCCCCCCCCCCCGCCCAAGAAAAACACCAAAGCAGTGAGCCCTTCGACAAGAGACCTGCAATCCATTTTCCTATTTCAATTCGTAGACTTTCATCATTTCCCCTCGCATTGGCATTGTCAAGTTTCGAATATCATGCGGGGACTAAATTATGTCATTTACTCAGCTTATTACGTTTTCACGTTTGTGGTTGCCAGAGTCTGCGGCATCCGCGGTTTCGAGTTTGTATGAGTCACGGCTTCTCCAGACTTACCTCACGGCTCGACAGACCAAGCGAGTTGACTCTAAATTCTTAAGCTCCTATCCCGTTCTTATTACCATAATTGCTTCGGTTTACTTACTGTCTACTATTGCCTCTGAGACCGATGTCTTATCGAAGCCACTGCTAGTACCAGTCACATTATAGGGCCACGGGGAACCTGGCCAAGGTATTGCGCCGTTCAAACCCTGAACCCTATATGAACCTTGAAGTTTAGGGTTTAGGGTCCTTTCTGTGGTCCTTGTCACTGTGCAGAACTTGGGCGCCCCAGAAACTCTAAACCCGAAAGGGAAGGATCCAGGGTTGAGTGTTTGAGCATTTGGGCTTGTACTGTAGGATGCAAATGTTTCTTGGAGATGGTTCGGACCGGAAACCTTGCTAACACTGGCGAGGGGATCGAGACCAAGAACTGCCATGATGTACAAGTATCGTAGAGGAGCTGGCTGAGCATGTTGCGCCACGTGCTTGTACGTGTTTCATGTTTGTGTCCTTTCGACCTCTCAATAGTGGTTCAACAGTGCCGAAACATTGTTGCGAGTACAAGGCATCTGCGACCAGCCAGTGAGGACCTGACGTGGGGAGGGGTGATAGGCCAGCTTGCTCATGCAGAACAAAAAGGCCGCAGAAGTGCTGACCAATCAGTTCATCCACGAGGTTGAAGTACTTCACGAAAAGAGACCCATGGTTGACTCCACACACACTCCATTAGCCTTTTACAAAAGCCTGCCGAAGTGTGTGGGTCGGCGTGGGCTGGCCTGCTTCTTTGCAGAGCATGGCGCGCCCGACCAGCTTACCCACGACGTGACATACTGAGCAACCACAGCTATACTTTGGGATGTTCCCTGTTGTACTAGCAGTCCTTCATAGGTAGTGTAGTGGGGAAATTTCATCACTATAATCCCTATGAAGCAGTGTTAGTATGGGGGGAACATCCCAAGCTATACTACACAAAAGGGAACGGATGTAGGTCTCGATGTCCAATACGCCACCGTGCCACAGCAAAGCAGTCAGAGTAGGATGAACAAGGTTCCATGTTGGACTCCGTAGCTGCTGGATTGCATCTTGTCGTCCTCCTTGCAGCGAATTTGACTGACATGTAAGAAATAGCCGTTTCTGGCCAGGCGCAGGTCCCACGAGATGCGGACTCTTTCTATGTACAGGACTGTCGACAGGTGCGGGCAAGGGTCGGGTTTCGAGGATAGCAGCCCAGCTTCTGCACAGACTTGTCTTGCAGAGTTGACCGCCGCAGGTGCAGAACAACACTCATTCGATCCAGACGCTGTCTCTTACCTCGAATTGTGATAAGGCGACCTTTCGTTTCCCAGACCTGCAATGCTAGACCCCCCAAGCCCATGACCCCAAACCCCCCGAAAGCGTGGCAACTCATTGCACCATGCCACACAAAGAGAGCCCTCATCCTCGGATTCAGTGACCGAGGACTGGGCAAATCTCCCGCCTGGTCGGAACGATGGAAGCCCCCTGCTTTGACACATCTTCGGTTGAGGGGACATATCATATAATATGCGGCTTAGGGCTAGCGATTCTGAAAAGGGATCGCCTGGGCTATAGATGGTGCATCTTGCGAGTCCCAAAAGCGATGGCCGTTTCGAAGATCGAGCGCGGTCACACCCCGCGCAGCTGGGCGTGAGATGGATCTTTCGTTTCCGTCCAACATTGTACGACAGGAACCTTAACTGGAGAACAACCCATGGTTTTTTGCGGGCGCGCCGCCCGCAGGCGCTGCGTTGTTATGCCGAAGCCGCAGAAAGCAAACACACCAATGGTTAAGGGTTTTTTCCGTTTCTTTCAAGGTTCTTGGCTTCGTTGCTCTTGGTATGATGCCCATAAACTGGCATGGATGAAGCTGGAGTTCACTCGTATCGCCGAGGCTGAGAAGGATTTCCAGCACTGCCGTAAGATGGTTGACGACGCAGTGCGCCAGGCCGGTTATCTGATGCGACGCGGTTGCTGCTTGAAGCTATATACAAGTAAATTTGTAAATCACGCTGCGACACTTAAGTTCACTACGGACCAAGCCTGCCACATCCTGCCGTAGCAGTCTTGGAGCTATCGCAACAGGTTGCATGTTTCCACGGCATCCCTCTCCTGCGAGGCTTCGGAGACGAAGGCGATCTTAGCCCGAATCCGGGAGCATCAGCACCAGGCGCAAAACACAGCCGAGCGCAACAACCGCCGGATGATGTGGCCCAGCAGCACACGAAGTCAACTCTGCAGTCCTGCCACCAGGTAGGGCCAGGTAGGGCGTGGGGATATGTCATTCCCGATCATCTTTTCCCTTAGGTCCAAAGAAGTTCGAATCGAGGAATGCTCTTACAAGGAGTCTTTTTTAGAGGCTTCCAAGCGCCAATCTAGGCCAGTCCTGCCAACTCTTTAAATAACAGTTATAGAGTTCTTAAGGGAGGTTCAAAGGGGTTAGGTACCTAGAGTGAAACCTCAGGGAACCTCAGGGAACCTTAGGGAGCCTTAGGGAGGATTAGGGAGTACTGCGGAGTATTAGGGAACCTTGGGTTACATACCCCCCTTGAACCCCCCCCCCCTTTAAGAACCCTATAAGACAGGGGCTGGATCAGCTCCGTGGGGCTGTTGCGATGCTCAGTCCACAGCCCGATGCCATCCCTAGCACTCCATTTAAGGTTTAGGGTTTAGGGTTTAGGGTTTAGGGTTTAGGGTACAAGGTACCAAAAGCTCTCGGACAATTTGGCCATCACCGCACGAGTGCTGGAGGACGCTGAGTGAAGGGGCGAGGCTAAGTTTACTCGGCGTCACGGCGCGGGAGGTATTGCAAAGGGAGTACTATAGAGCTTATAAAGCTCATTTTGATCCAGAACACACCCAAATGCAAGGCCAACACATATCATTAGGTTGGAAGGAGGGGAGGGAGGGAGGGAGGGAGAGAGAGAGAGAGAGAGAGAGAGTGAGAGAAGCAACACCAAAAATGAAAACATGCACGCACTCGCCCCTGTAGCATGACATTCTTTACTGGGGCTTTGCAAAGGACATGTCTGTACTCAGGCTGTCAGGCCACGCAGGAAATCTAAAGCTCCATGCCGCAGCGATCATATCATAAGATAACTCTAAGAGAACCCTTCTAGAATCAGCCCCAGGCCAGCCGTAAAGCATCGCCCTGGCTGCCCAGGACGTGGTGAGGCGCTTCACCGCCGAGGAGCGCCGACGTGTGGGCGGCAGCGGTGGGGTCTTTGAGGCTGGCACTGTGGCGGAGGGTGGAGGCCTTTGAGTGTTGCTCTTTTGGGATGTTGCATGGGCCCAAAGGTGTCAAAATATTAAACCCTAAGGGGGGGGGGGGGAGGGGGAGGTTTTGAGTCCAAAGGAGGGTTGCGCCGCGGCCAGGCCCCGGGCATCGCCGCGGCAGATGTCGCCGGGGGCAACGACCAGAAGCCCCTTCTTTCCACGGGAGATCAGATGGAGCTTCGGATCACACGAGGGGGGCCTCCCCATCTGGGAGCCCAGCGGAGGTGGGTTCCAGGGTCATTTCTCGTGTGGTCTGGTCCTCGAGAGAATGCAGCTCGAAAGGGGTAGGTACAGTGTCTTCTAGAACGCGGAACTGCTGAAAAGTAACCTTTGCGAACTGTAGCAAGCTTGTGTAGGATCAATCTGTGCGTGGGGAAGCACTCGGTATACCAAGGACACGGCCTTGCAGACCGACAAAGTGCAGACTCTGCGCAAAGTGGACGAGGACCGGACAACACAGCCTTTACGACCTCAGATGCACAGGGCAATGAATCCTATACTAGGCCATGGCATGCTAGCTTTTTTGTTTCCATGACACCTTCACCTCTCCAGGACATGCTTTGCCTGCAGCGCATCTACACAGATCTGGCAACTTTGCTCAGTGCCTTAAGGTGAAGGATTCCGAAGTTTGGGGCCCACTAGCCACTACCTCCTCAGAATGCGCTAAACCGAAGATGCATGCGACTGCCACTCGTGAGTCACTGCAACTCCCAAGTTACAAAGAGCAGGGAGCTGCTTCAAAGCAAGGCCACAGCCGCTGAAGAGCAAGCCTCCAGCTTTGACACACTGGAGAGTCACATGGCCGGGGCCCCTTACAACTTTTCAGGTTCTCACGCCAACTTGCAAGGAGTGGATACTTGGGGGCCATGTATTACGGTGTGCTTCAAAGGGGGGAGTTGAAGCTGTGCTCCTGTCTCGAACCCAGGTCAAACATTTGTGGACTTGTGGATTCCGATTTGTGGACTTGTGGATCCCATCCCATTCACTATATTATGAACAGAATCGTATCGTAGCAAGCTGAACAGAATCAGCTAGTTCCTGAAAGGGTCGCTGTGGTGTGGGTGCTGTGTGAGTGCCGAACCCACTTCAGTACGCCACTTCAGTACATCAGGGCCACGGCCCGAAAAACAATCCCAACCCTAAGCCACATGGGGCCCTATACATACATGCTCAGGAAGATAGTTCAAAGTGCACTGGAGCGCCTGCATCTACTCAACCTCTCCACGACTGTACCCTCGCAGAGGCTCGTGCTTCCGCGGACATCGAACGCGGAAGGGAAGAGATCGAGTACACAGAGAGAGACCAAGCATGAAGCAGACAGGGGGCTTCGGGTCGAGGGGTATCTTTCACAGATTTTCCACAGATGCGAAGAAGCATAATAAGTAGCCGGGATCTCCTAGAGGCATCTTTGTAGAAGACATCGGTCTCAGTCAGGTTTTATAGGGTTTTCAGGTTCAGACTTGCCAAGAAAAGGCCCTTCCAGCCGTGCTGTGGGCCGAGGGTTCTCTTGCTCTCCGCAGCCTTAGGGTTTAGGGTTTAGGATTTAGGGTTTAGGGTTTAGGGTTTAGGGTTTAGGGTTTAGGGTTTAGGGCTGCAGGGAGCCAAACATCCTCGGGGCCCTGTAGTTGGGGTCATGTTCCCTCTGCTTTTTTAGTCTCTACCAAGGAATATGGACCACAAACCTTTTAAGTGTTCGTATAGTCCTCAAGGATCTCCTGGCATTGCCATCTGAGGATACAATTTCAGCGCGCGGCTGAAACGCAGGCTTCGCTCTCCTCACAGACGCGTCATCCAGGGTTTTGAAGAATTGCTGACTGGAATTGTTGTTTGAGGTATCGCTCCTTTTTATCAGACATTTTGTGGTCAGATGCGTACGCAACATATGTGCCAGTTCAGAGAAGCTTTCGGGCTCTCAGCTTGCAATTCCTCGCAGGATTTGGATTGGCGCTGCGGGGCTTGGCACAGTCATCCTAGTGACCTCGTTCCTTGGCTCCTGAGTTCTCAGGAGCTCCATGCCCTGTCCAAAACAGACGTGTGTGCATAGGCTCTCTTGTGCTTCTGGGACGGCGCTTCTGCTGCCCAGGGCAAGTTGTCCATAGATCCTCATGGATGTTTCACCCACCCGCTTCTTGAGCGCAGGAGAGTGCAGGTGCGAGGGGGGTCCCTGGACAGAGTGCTACGTCCATCTTCACCATCTTCAGGACTAGCGTGACTAGTATCTATGCCTACGAGATCTTATGTAGCACGCGCAGTGTGCTGAGTCCCAAACGGCAGCGCGTCAGACCGTCAGCGACTTCCTCAGCAGCTCAGTTTGGACCTGCCTGCCAAATGAACAAAGAAAGTGCTGTCCTCTGTTCTTCATGCGCTGCGCGGAGTCAATAGGCCCTCCACAAGGATGCCTCAAGTTTTCGCTGTTGAGCACGGAATCCAGGCGAGTACCGGAAGGATGGTACCTGAAGCATGCTGCTGGCGATAGGCTCCTAGGCCCTGGCTCCACAAGGCGACAGAGATTCGCAGAGATTGTTGTCATAATTATTGTTATCTATTCTTGCTATTGTTGTTGTGATTATGATTACCTATGTGATTATTATTAGTGGGTTTGCGATTTGAGGACAAGGGTTCCAGTCTAAGCGTGACCGTGTACGAGATACTTGATTTCCAACACGCGCATTGCCGCAGCATTGCGGACCAGCCGAGCTTGAGTCATCGCATATTTCTGTAGAGAGAGAGAGGCAGTCTATCTTCCCACCGTGTGAGGGAATCTTCTGGACTGATGAACTCTAGAAGTAGCTTGCACTCAGCCCTGCTGCCGGCCCATCTGAAAAGGATGTACATACATCAAGACGGAGTGAAAGCTACAGGCAGTTGGACACTTATAGACGCATCGGCAAGCTTTGGGTGCTGCCAGAAGTGCCACCCCATGAGCCGCTAGCCGAGAGCCATCGGAAGCACCGATGTGTGCCTCAGCTAGATTGGAGTGCACTCTGGGTTCGACAATTCTAGCAGACTCTAGCAGACATGCAGGTTCTTGATATCTGCATGCTGATGATGCATCCCCGGCCTTGTAGTTCGAGTCCCCCGAGGTACTTCGACATCTGCAAAGAAGGCGCAAAACGTCTGGAACGGTTGGCTTGATGAGCGTGACCTTGCTCCTGGCGAGGCCCAAGACTGAAGTGCGCTTAGCAACTTGAGAAGGGCTCCAAGGTGTAGGCCATCCTGTTCTTAGCGTGCTGGACATCATGGAGGACATGAGGTGACTGAGGGCACCTCCCTTTTGACTCCTACGTAGCCTTGGGGCCTTGACTGTACACATTTATAGTGAGTTAAAGTCTGTGGCCCTCGTAGATCAGCCAGCCAAAAATCAAGACCTAGCCAGGACCATGCCCAACCCACACTCTAGATCAAGATGCAGACTACGAAGCAACTCAAAGGGAAGATGCTTCCACCCCGCTTTCGTCTTGAACCGAATCACATGAGTATCATAGGCCCCTGGACCCCAAGGCAGTGGAGAAAGTCTCCCCCAGAATGTTGCGCAAGTCTCCCCCAGAATGTTGCGCATGTCTCCCTAGAACAGATGCAGGCATGGCGGGACTTGCCCCCCCGACCCCCCTGAAGCTAATTATGGGGAAAAACCGCGAAATAGTGCGAACTTTGAGCAATAAGGTCTTGATGGCATTTACACCTTCTCCATCACCAAATCTGAAGTTGTGTGTAGCCGCGCAGAGGAACCACACTCACGAAGATGTCCTTGGACAGGTCATTACCAACTGGTTCAAGCGGCACACGCAGCGTGGCCTGACCTTGGCAGCTGAGACGCTTGGCTCCACCGGGTCCTCTTGTGGCTTAATGGTGGGTTCGCGCGAAGAACAAACTGGTGGAAGCCAAGTTCCACGGGCTAAGCTCAGTGTTAGTGCTCCAGGGCTGCCCCGGTGTCTGAGAAAGTTCTTGCAGGAGCCTGTTGAAAGAATTTCTAGCCTCACACTCTGCGATGCGGGGTTGAAGCTGTTCTTGCACATCTCCGAAAGAAAGGACAGATGTTTTTTCATCAACACGGCGTCCGCATGATGGGCCGCATACAGAGGCTGCTCTCAGGCCCTCAATGGCCCTTGTGACCTCCACCTCTGCTAGGTTCGGCCTGGGTGTGTTTGAGGAACCTCAAGATGAAAGCTGTTTCTTTTTTTGTTTGGGGGGGGGGGAGGGGTGGGGTGGGGCCGATGGGCTTAAGGTCTTAGGCAATAGAGGCTGACATCACCCGCTCACGACAGCCCTTGGAGAGACCTCGGACTGCCGTTAAGGTACGCGAAAGCTGGATACGAAGCGGCTGTGGAGCGAGCAGATGTGGCTCCGTCCCAGTTGTAAGACCATTCATCCTATTCTTGGGGTCATATACCCTATGCTATTCTAATCCCTATTCAGGTATAGGCATAGGGGCCATAAACCCCTCTAGGCTTGATCTGGCCCCCGAGGTTCAACAGCTTTAACACTGCAAACATGCTTCCGACATGCTCCGACCGTTGCAGTACGGAGACCTAAGAGCTACCTGTTTGTCAGCAGAAGTGAGATAACCCTAAACCCTAAACCCTAAACCCTAAACCCTAAACCCGATTCCACGACTCTAGTCATTGAAAGCGTCAGCTGTTGTGGCTGTCCATCGGAGCTTAAGTCGAGGCAGGAGACATTGCAGCCGCCATGCATGGCATGCCACAGCTGCAATATCAAAATCGGGGTTTCCGCAAATAAGGTTTAGGGTAACCCTAAACCCTAAACCCTAAAGATTAGGGTTTAAAGCTTTCTGGGGGTCCCTTTCAGCGGATTCTATCCTTTTTGGGGTAGGATCGAAAGGGGTACTCCCCTATTTTGGGAAACAGCCACATAGTGGCTGCCTCTGCAACCCTGAATCCCTGAACAATGGCTCGGTGGCAGCTCGGGACTCACAAGAATCCCACTCTGGGATTGCACAGTGTTTGTAGCCCTTAAGCCTAAACCCTAAACCCTAAACCCTAAACCCTCCCAAAAATCATCCTCTGAGGTGGCATTTGCTGGCCGCACGCTGCTGGACAGCGGGACACCGGCGCAGGAGGCTTTGCCAAGCTGAGGGCTTGAGCAGGTTTAAAACTAGGGCTGGATTAGGTCCCGGTTTCTCCAGGTTCAGGGTTTAGGGTTTAGGGTTTAGGGTTGGTTTAGGGTTTAGGGTTTAGGGTTTAGGGTTTAGGGTTTAGGGTTTAGGGTTTAATTGGGGTTTAGGGTTTAGGGTTTGGGGTTTGGGGTTTAGGGTTTAGGGCTACACAGGAAGAATGCTGACCATCAGAAGCCTACACAAGCATACGGACAGCGCTGAATGCTGCTGTCTCAATACTAGCAATCAGAACTACTCTTCAAAGCCGTGTTGCCTTCATGCGGCCCAGAATGAGAACTGCAAGTAAGATTCTACGGCAATGTCGATTATTTTGCTTTGCATGCATGAATGCAGGAATGAAGCGAACCGTGCAAATGACTCCAACTGTTTTACAGTAGCGAATATATGGATCTTCGGGAGGGCAGACGCACACACAACCCCCACGCCCCAAACCTCGAACTACGTTTCCCCGAGCCCTCAACCCCAAGACAGTACCAACCGAACAGCAAAATCCAAAACCCAAAGCCCTAAACCCGGAAACCGAAATCCCCAAAACCCCAAACCCTAAAAACCGTCAGCCCCCAAAACCCTCAAAAATCCGAAATCCCCAAGAAACCCAAAACCCAGTCCTAAACTCACCCAAAAGCCCTAAAGATACAGCGGGTGCCCGCGACTCTCCACCCTAACCCCTATAATAAACCCTAAAACCTGGGTAGTGCTCTAAATGACGGCCATTTGGGGTACGCTTTCAGGGTGCCGTACTCTATATAGGGGACCCGAAAAGGGACCTGATCTTGAGAACTACCCAGCTGTGGTTCAGGCTATTGCTTTGAAGCAGCAGTGCGACCGCGCGGTGGCAGCAGACGTGGCGCTGCAGCAGATGCTGGCAGATCTGTCAACACAATACCGTGAGGAGGCTCCTGAAACCGTCATGGCCTTGAGCACAGCTGTCACTGCATCGTAAGGGACCCAATGCCTTTGTCTTCTCTCACAGACAACGTGGCAGTGGCCCCTAATTCTTGCGTCTCAGGAAATGCAACCATTTTCGCGAAATGACCCTGTGCCTCGTGTAGGCCAGATTTTCGAGAAGCGTCGAGAACGGACAGGTTGGGCGAGTTTGCATTGAGAGTCCATGGCGTCTGAAATCACCTCGGCCTGCTGTCAGATTCAGCTTGCGCTCTTGACTGTTGCAGCTCCACGAGTTACGTGCATGGTGTCTAGAGGCCCGGGTCAAGTCACCCAAGTTGTGCATGTTGGTTCTATTTATATTATATACTCATACTAAAATAGTTCATACTATACTGTCATATTTGTTTATGAATATTTCACTACCATCCTAGGGATTTGCGGGTGAGGCCATTGGCACCTGGGCAGTGCGCTATGGCGAGGCTGCCGAGGCGGGGCCTCGCCCAAAGAGAGAGCCCATTAAAAAGCACACCCCGGTCTCCTTAGGAATCGGGTTTAGGGTTTAGGGTCTAGAGTTTAGGGTTTAGGGTTTAGGGTTTAGGGTCTAGAGTTTAGGGTTTAGGGTTTAGGGTTTCGAGGAATCGTGCTGTTCACTTTTCTTCGAAGAAAAACCATATTGGGGAATACATCAAGCAGTATGCTTTTCTTTAGGGATCGGGATGTCTATAAAGGGGAGTGTATGGAAAAGCCGGGCAGTTCCACCTTCCCAAGAAGCCATAAAATTGCAGATGCTGGGGAAGCCTCCAGCTGAGCCGCAGCGATCTCCTGTGGAACAAGATGCCATTACTCTCCTGCTGTTGAGGCAGGGTGGGCTCTTCATGTTGTCATGTGTGGGGGTGTTCCGCAGTTAGGGGAAATTAGGGGTACCTTCTTGGGCCCTTCTCAAGAGGGAATGCTACGATTTGGGGTCTATGTTAGGCTGTTAGCCTGTTTTTCGGTTCTGATGCTCAGTGTTGCAGCATGTGCCAACTGACTTTGTGACTGGATGACTCTGACACATGCCATCATAACTGGGCAAGCAATTATCCGGGCCATGTTTTTGAGATAAGTGCAGTTCTGCAAGCTTCCGCCTCAATGCACAGCCCCGCATGCTTTCGCCGAGTGACGGTTTGCAAGCACTGACGCTGCAGGCAGGCCAAGACTGATGTGGCAAACAAGCTGCTAGGCGTTCCGGTGAAACTGCCGATGCCTTACTCACACGTGCGGCAAATCGAGTCAGTCGCAGGCTGCAAGCTGACCATGACCGGCTTCGGTATCTTTAGCATCGACATGTCTCATTCAAGACCATGCGCACACTGCTGAAGAGTACGACAGTCATTCTGTGAAAACCTAGTTCCCCAAACCATCCATCCGGCCCTAAGCATACCTGCTGAAGTCCATGAACCAAGCCGACCTAGGCCGGAGAACACTCTTCCAGCATCCCTGCCGGCGAGCTCCAGGCAATATTCGTTTGTCCTCAAGACAAGAATGTGTTTTGGACGTTTCCTTTGCTGATGGGCTTGGGAGGTGTAGGCTTCAGGCCATGAACTGAGAGACGGAGGCTTCACCAAAGCCTTCGAAAGTTCCCTGGCATCATGTGCTCCCCAACTAAAGATACTGTCCGACCTCAAAACGACACATAGTTAGGTCCCCGGGCCAAAGCCAAGGCTTCTAGAGCGATAGAGGATTGCTTTGGGGCTGTGCTGGTTTGAGTTGGAAGAACTTGCATAAACATCCGGAGGCCCAACAAAATGAAAACCCAGGGAAGCCTTCAATCCTGCTCTATCATCACCAATCACAGGAAGGGCCTACAGGACACTTTCCAGTACATGATCCTGACTCTCAGAACCCAAAGGACACAGGAGTCTACGGTATCTCAAGTTGATCCTAGACGCTCCCTTACATCCTGCAGAGTGATGACTGAACTGAACCCCACGGCCTGGCCTCAGAAGCGAAGCTGCGTCGGCGGCTGCTCGGGAGCGTGTGCAAACTCTGCTGCAGCAGCTGTGGCTCGGCCTCAGAGAAGTCACCTTCTTCCTTCCTCATGGCTCAGTACTGGTAGAGAATCTCACGTGTTTGCTGCTGTTGATATCACCACACTTCTTGTTTATAATGTATAGTTTGTATGTATGTATGTATGTATGTATGTATGTATGTATGTATGTATGTATGTATGTATGTATGTTTTCTATCAGGTTCGAGCTCCATGACCTCAAGTCCAATGGCGTTTTAGAGGAGGACAGGGAAGTTACCTTCGTGGGCCCCTTAAGCTGCAGCCTCGTTGGATGTGGCTCCACATTCCCTGCTTGAGAAATGCTGTTTATGCATCGTGGCTTATGAACCAACTATGACTGTACTTATCACTGTACTTATAACCATATTAGGGGAGTTAAGGATTGGTTAATATAAGTACCATGAACCTCCAAGTAGGCCAGAACTGCAGTTTCTTTGAGCACGGAACTGGGAAAGCAGGACGAGCTCATCAAGATGAACGAGAAGGCTCCGGGGAAGAGTTCTAGTTCTAGGGTTTAGGGCTTAGGGCTTAGGGTTTAGGGTTTAGGGTTCGCAGTGCAGAAGGGTATAGACAGTTCTGGAGTTTTAGGGGCTAGGACGAAGAGAGGGTCTAGTTGTTGGTTTCAGGGACCACCCCTGGCTTGATGTCGGGGACCGAGTTGTATATTTTCAAGGACCTATATAGGGTCAGGTTTCTAGACCATGGTCTCTTTTAACCTGGGCGTCCAAAATGTAAGGCGTGTTCCGTTTATGGTTCCGAAACCTCCTTCATCCCTGTGCTCCGTCCAGGTCTCATTGCTCCACTACGGGAAGAAGGACACCAACAAGGAAGCCATCCGAGAGACGCTTGGCATGAAGCCTGCTCGATTGCCATCAGCTGTTCAGTGTTGCTGGTGTGTGGTAGGCAGTGCTCAGACGATCTTTTCCTCAAACAGAAACCCTTCGTGCATTTAGCCAAAGATTAAACCGCAGGGAAGCGAGTTGTCATGTGGCCTATACTTGCGAGCCTCAACCCGCACGACAGCCTGATCTCCGAGGAAATACAGAGGCGTCTTCCGAGAGCACCTGGATCCGCAAGGGAAGCCGGTGCCGTTCAGCGCTTTCCGCGACTACATGCAGGCCATCTTAGGGTTTCTTAGAGGGCTTTTAGGGTTTAGGGTTTAGGGTTCAGGGTTCAGGGTTTAGGGTTTAGGGTTTAGGGTCACTGCTAGTCCTCTGCGAGTTATTGAATTCACCGGTATGGCAGGCTGTGACAGGTTGGGACCCAACTCCCCTAAGCCCTATTGGCCTGATCCAGGGGGTGCTGAACGACATCGACCCGGACCCAGAATGTCAAGTGATGATGGTGGAACAGTTCATTGCTGAGGTGGATTGCTGAAAATGATGTTTGTGTGTCCGGTTGTTCAATGCAGCGGTCTCAGTTGGATGACTTAGGTATGCCGCACACATTGATTGCCGCTAGTCGCTAGTTTGGTGCTACAAGTAGGCTCCGACATCTTCTGGTGAGGTAGGGTTTCTATTGCTGTTTTTGGTGAGTTTATAGAGGGTTCCTTTCAAATATTGCTGAGTGTATACATTGGGTGTCTCCTCGGGGATACTACAGGTATAGCTAACTTCATCATAAATCCCACCGACATGAACTCCAAGACAGCCCCCTGCATCGCAAAAGCCCTCTGCCTAACCAGCGCAGGCCGAAAGTGCCCGGCAAGCTTTCCGATATCCCTCCCTCATCAGCGCAGCTTGGCCTAGGAAGACGTATGTATGTATTGTATTGGTGAACATTTTCTCTCATATAACCATACAATAGAATATTTTCTTATGCCAATATGATAGCACGGCAATATACTAGCATGATAGCATAATCATATAGTCATGTAACCATTAAAAGTCATAATTATCTAACAATACGACAATATAGGAGTATATAAATATAACAATGTAACAACAGAACACTATACAAAAGTGATGGTGTAATTGTATAATGACATAAGAATGTATTAGCACACTATAATACTTGAGAATAATCGAGCAGTATACGTACTCACGTCGTGGTGTAAAGTTAGTTCAGATGTATGAATACAATATCTTTTTTAAAACGCGCATACTACAATATCGCCATGTCATACTACCAAAGTAGTATACTGCCATAAAGATACATGATATCGACAATGTTCGTGAAATCATGCACTACTGTAATAGTAAATATTTTTGTTATACTGTAAAGCTGAAACAATACAATAGGTTTCCACAGCTTGGTGATTTGAGAGCCTTTGTCGATAGCATGGTCCGGTCCAAGAGACTGGCCGAGTCATGAGATGTTTAGGGTTTAGGGTCTAGGATTTAGGGTTTAGGGTTTAGGGTTTAGGGTAATGTCTTTGGTCGATGCTCAGGAATCGGATCAGTTCTTCTTCCCCGCAGCTCCAGCCAAAGTGACTTGAGATGGATCAGCCTTACAGGGATGTCATGGATAAGCCTTTCTGTGCAAGGCCCTTTCGAGGGAAAGTAGCTTCACTGGCTCCCCAGCTTCTCAGGCTACGGTTTGTTTTTGTTTGTTCTCCATCGGCATAGTTCATGGATTGCCTGTGCGCCTTGGCTCGTGTCTGACAGCAACCTCAACTCCCGCAGGGTCTCTTTGTCAAGTCTCGACCCTAGATGCAGAAGAGGGAAAGTCTGAATGCATTCCAACACGGCGTATGAAATATTTACTGACGATTAATAGGTGAATCGCGCAAAATGATGATGTCGGATGGTTCTGAGTAGGCAGGCTCCTCGACTTGAAGAGACTCCAGTACATATCAGTACATGTATGGCTACAAACCTTCACAGGCTTCCCCGTATGTCATGACCTCTGCTATCTTCCGCTGTTACGCACCTCGACTTTTCAACTAAACCCTAAACCCTAAACCCTAAACCCTAAACCCTAAACCCTAAACCCTAAACCCTAAACCCTAAACCCTAAACCCTAAACCCTAAACCCTAAACCCTAAACCCTAAACCCTAAACCCTAAACCCTAAACCCTAAACCCTAAACCCTAAACCCTAAACCCTAAACCCTAAACCCTAAACCCTAAACCCTATAAACCCTAAACCCCTCAAGACCGAGTCTCCAACTCCGAAGCCGAAGCGCCTGTGACTTCACCTGCAGGCTCAAGGCTTGGCTCCGGCAGGACAGGGAGCTGCCAGGCCGGCGCCTTGTCGGCTTCGGGTGCGTAGCCCTAAACCCTAAACCCTAAACCCTAAACCCTAAACCCTAAACCCTAAGGGCCTTTGAGGGTCTGGGATTTTTCTGCGCCAGGCTTTGGGGCGATTTGGAGTCGGATGTTGGGGACTTAGGTGGATCAGGGATTGGTTTGGGAGTTTCAGTGGCTTGCGAGGCCTACACCAGCCGACCTTGTGGCCTACGAGGCTCGTATAAGTATCTATTTAATATACATCTGTGTGTATGTATAAGCAAAATGCTATGCATATTACACATTTTGTATGCATTCCGCATAAGCATTATAAAAATGTGGTGTGTATGTATATATGTAGATGTGTATATATATATATATATGTATATACACATTTATGCTCGCCTCCTTGCCCCCCTCACCCCAGGACCAACTTTGAATGTGAGAACAGATGGAAAATCCCCAAATCCTTAAACCCAAGCTGGCCTGCGAGCATAAATCCACGCCTCGCCGGAGGTTCGCATAGAAAAGTTTGGATTCAAGGAACGGTGTATGTACGTGTTGGGTTTTGCTTTGGGTCCTTTGAAAACCAAACTATCAAAAGACGGCACCTGCAGTCCCGCGCCCCGCTCCCTCCCCTCTCCCCCCTCCCGGTCCCGGTCTCCCTGCACACAAAAACGGGTAGTAATTCTCCCCTTCCACCCGGTTCTCCCTTTCCCCCCCCCGACTTGCTGTGGACTTGTGGATTTCTGGAGTTTTGGATGTTGGAAACTGGTATTTTTCCGAGGCGCAACAGAGGAGAGGTGGAGGGAGGGTATAGGGCCCCTTCACAAAAGACATGCCCCCATACTTCCAACACAATCGCATAAAAGTCTCTCCTGACAACTAGAAATGGACGCTGCTCGGATTGCATGAGATACTTCCAGGGGGTGCATATGCAAGATTAAACTAGCAAGAGTTCAATCGAATGAATGGACGCTTCACTTCACTAGGGAAGCCTCCTGACCTCTCAATTTCTATTTAGTATGCCAGGTTGATATTTGACAAGGAGCCTTTAAGAAAGGGAAAGAACACGTTGCAAGTCTGGACACTTCACTGGCGAAAGTCCCTTGACCCTCAAGTGCGCCGTTCCCCAGCCGAAAAAGTTACCTCCCCACTCATTGCCGGAACTAAGTCCTATTAACTTTGATGAACGCTTCTATTCAAAATCTTATTCGCTTGTTGAACAGGCTATTTGGAGTCTTAAGAATTGTTGTCTTCGTTCGAATAGTTAAGACGTTACAGAGATGCTGGCGGGGTCTACTAAATTCTTACAGGTGGGTAACAGAATGTCATAAGATTGAACGATCAGAAAAATCGAAGCCCTTGTTATCGAGAGGTAAGGGTGTTCATGAGATATACTGTTTCTCAAGAGGTAGCTAGCAGGATCCCAGAATGGTTCTTATTGGAACAATGATTCTTCAGCTCCCCGCAAATTCTATATCAACAAGTTCCGACTTTTTCTGTTAAAACCTCATGAACGAAAGCCTTGCGCAAAACACATGAAGATGTTGGTTCAGTGATTCAAAATATTTAAATGAGACTCTTACCGGGTTTTCATACACAGAAACATATATTCAAGGTCTCATTGAATACGCTGTTTAGCTCCCCATTAATGCGGTGTTCCCTTTCGAGGAGTTAGGACGTTGTCGCCCTCGTATGTGTGATATTGCTTGGAAATATAGGGAGCGCATTAGGACTGATCGTCGAAGGTGAAAATACCTGAACAGTCCGAAAAACCCCAAATCAAGCTTTCGCGGAGCTTCTTCCAGGAAAGTTTTGACTTTTTGTATTTTTTTTGGATCTTCGGATGTTGTTTTTGATCGTTGGATTTAAACAACCCAACCCGCCTAGGACAGGCATGAAAAGGCACAGGCTTGGCCAACAACAGGGGCAACTTTGGGTCACTTGCTAAATTGGTGCTGCTTCGTGTCGAAGCTTGCTCTTCTTTTTTGGCTAGGAAGCGCTTGGCACGTAGAAAAAGGCCAACGTAAGTGATATCGGTTAGAGATGCAGGGAACGCAGAGGAGCATGAAGTGTTTACAGCTGTTACATATTCGAGGTTGGTCCATTTGGGGGGTGGGGGGGGGGGGGGGGGGGGGGGGGGGGGGGCGACCACACTGACATATACATATATGTATTTATAGAGAGAGGGATAGAGATATATAGATATATCATGCTAGTAAGGCGCTGTGCAATTTGGGTGGAGGTTTTGGTGTCGTGCACAACTATATATTTAGCATGCCAACTCTAAGACGCCAGCGGGGCTGGAGTGGAGAACGCACCCTCCTCTAAGGCAACTTCCCAGCAGGAGACACGCTGAAGGAATATCTGTTTGGATGATCGCATGTAATGTAGGCGTCGTTGGATTCCTTCCTGCAGACAGCTCATGTCGTGTGTGAATCGCAGGATTGGCTGTCCCGGCTTTGAGCAGCTTGCAAGTCACACACACGAAAACATTTCAGAACACCACCGATCGAGACCAGCGATAATGATGAAAGAAGATGGTAGTCTGCCAGGGTTCCGCAGGTCTTGGAGCAATAGCCTGAGCCTGCAGTGCAAGCATCTGCCCTTCTGCAGGCTGCAAAGCAGGCGGCGTCCAAACCAGGCACCCTCTGAGGGATTCGACAATCTGTGGTTCAGAAAGTGTAGCCGTAAGGCGTGGTCGGAAAGATCACGCTTTTGAGGTGCCCAATCCGTGCTCTGCATGAGAGTTTGGCAAGGTACGAGCGATCTGCCAAGAGGCTACCAGCCTGATTCCACGCATCTCGGATTATTCTGGCAATCCGGCAGGTGCTTGGCTAGAATCGTAAAAGGGCAGAAGAAGCCCACGCCCTTGCCTCGATGAAGACAACAGATGACGAAGTCCCCCCGCTCTACACAACCACTTGGGCTCATTGTGCCCTGTAGGAGAGAAGTTTCAGCATGTGGCATGAGGATTCTTGTTGTGCCAACGGTGCTGGAAGCTGTAGATGTTTGGCTGTTCCTCTGCAACAAGGAAAAATACTGTGACAGGCACAGGCACAGACACAGGCACAGGCAGAGCCCATGACACATTGCGGCCCTGTGCTTTTCGACGCCCACCTCACTCAGCAAAGTGGGTATTAGACTATGTCACAGTCAAGCGTCTTGCACTCATGCGCCCATGCTAACCTAGGCCGACGACGAGCGCCGGCGACTCCTCGCAGCACGCTGAGGGGAGCCTTGCCGGAACCGAAATGACGTAGAAGCTACGATATACATGTCTGTAACAAACAAATGTGTATATACATATGTGTATGTATATATATATATATGTAAATATACATATACATGTATATCTATATGTGTATATGTGTATATATATAAATATCTATGTATGGCATGGTTACTCTATCGACTATCCATGTTGAATAACTAGTCCGAAAAGTGCTTCCAAAAAACCAGGAGCCGGCGAAGAGATGGGAATCCCGTGGTCTCTCGCCCAGTTTCTGAAGAAACTGCGCAGGCGGGTCGGGTCTTCAACAGATTTCCCCGCAAACATCCCCGATGTCCATCACAGTCCGGCATCTGGTCCAAGAGCGCAGCCCTGGGATGCCGACGTGGGAGGGTTCAAACACCACCCCCGCCAGCCTTTTCTCCGCTCTTGCACGCTCTTGACAGTGGCAGGCCGTCACTTCTAGCTCCAGCAAGTCATCTGCCGTCCCGCTCCCCTTCCAGAAGGGTGACCAACTTCAGGCAGCAGTCGTGGTTTCGCCTTCACGGTCGATGCATGTTTGAATGGCTGTGCAGAGTCCCTCGAACTAGCTGCAAGCTGCACGAGCTACTCGCGCATGTGTTGTGCGGCAAACATCGCCATGCGTGCGGCAGGGTGTTCTGCACCTCAGTCCCTGAGCTGTCGAAAAGCGCCTGAACGCTTGCGCCGAAGGTCTGGAGCAACTCCAAGAACAGCTGGCGAGATGGACAGGTGCTCGAGGCCGCGGTTTTTTGACGCGGCCAGCAAGAAACAAATAGCATGCTGATAAGTGCTTCTGAACTTGTTGCATTGCATGTTCTCGCCCGTGGAGTTGCGGCCTTCTTCGCTTTGTTCAAGGTCCTGCGCCACGATGCACCAGCCAAACCTCTACTACACTTTATAATGCCTACAGTAAGCCCCTTGCTGACCAGTCGAAAGCAGACCACAGAAGCCTCGGGTGGAACTTGATATTTTTCAGAAGCTCTTGGCAAAGCTGCCATTCCCTGGTGCTCTCATACGGAATCGTTCTTGCCATCACAGCCCAGTCTGTGAAACTGACTGTCGTTCATTTTGCTACACAGCGGACAGGGACTCTACGACTACATTTAACTATATAGAGATATATTTCTTATTTATATATATATATATATACATATGTCTATTTTCATGCACGTATTCATTGTTTAGTTTGATCTGGTCCTGCCAGGCCTTTCCTGCAGCCTGCGAAGCCGAAGGCTTTGCGGTCCCGGCTGGCACGGTAAAGGCCCTCGAAAGGGTAGCTGAGAAACCCCGGCAGACCCCAAGTCGTAACAGGACACGTCCTGACGCCCCCGTGCTTCGAGTTTATCCAAGCTGGAGAAGGCTTTTTTATCACTTAAGCGCAATGCTATTGGAGCGGGTCGGCAAATCAAGTCAACATGCCTGCAGAGGTATCGTTCGATGCTGGAACCGTCAAGCAGCTGAACAGCACCGGAGAGGGGGGATTGCTGGTCTTCAAGGGTGTAGGACAGCGTCGGGTTTGGGTTGACGTTTTTCGCATGCCGGTGTGCATATTGAGATCAAGGAGAGTCAGAGCATTTGAATTGCTGCATTGTTCACACAGCGGCTTTGGTAGGGCCTGGTTGATTGAAACGCTGCGGCCTGGACATGTCGCAAAGCCATTGATGGAGTCCCTCAGATCGCGATTAGCACTTGCTGTTACTCCTGCATTTCTTGCCTTGCTGGAATGGGCAAGGTGGGTCATGCCTGCTCAAGCCGCCTCATTGCTCAGACCGACCCTTGGAAGCATCTTGGAGGTAGTCAAGGGCCAGCACCAGACAAGGGGTTGAGGGTTTAGGGGGTTTAGGGCTTAGGGCTTAGGGTTTAGGGTTTAGGGGGTTTACGGGGTTTAGGGGGTTTAGGGGGTTAGGGTTTAGGGTTTGGGGTGCCTGGCTTGATACCTTCCTGAAACATGGCGTATTTTAGCAGTCTGCACAGGTGTTGAGGCCCAGGGCTCACATGCTCAGCAAGACCGTGTGCTTGCCCGTGAGGCGTCCGAAGAGCTAGCGCAAGGTGGCAGTTCACAGACTTGTTGTCATCGTGCGGAAAAAAGGGGCTCGGAAGCTTGCAGACACATTCTATATTTATGTGTATATGTCTATTACATGACATATCATATCAATAGTAGAACTTATCCAGAAGGCTTGGCAATTTCGTGGGCGAGGCTGGGCGTGCGCCACCTCGAAGGTGCGACTCATCGTGAGTCTCGCAAACGGCGACTTACGGACGAGCCCAAACTCGCGCGTGCAGGTGTCCAACAAGCTCTTCTTGGGGCCGCCGGGCCCATTGCAAAGGCCTGACCCGCAGTGCCCCATGGCGCTCGTTCCGCTTGGAAATCCGCAAATGTACTCTTGGTGTTTTGCACATCATCATTGCCACTGACGAGATTGAAATCAAATCTGCATGTAAGTGTAGTCGACTTGGAGCACAACCAATGGCGATCAAGTGCTGGCGTGCTGGCCATGACCAAAGGAGATCACACGTGCAAATGTAGACCATGGGGCGACGTCTCGCAGCGCCCTCGCGGGCGCGGCTCGCAGCGTGCTCAGTGCCGGTAGGATGGCGCGTTGCTGAAAGGTTGCAGCTGGTGGCAGATATGTTGCAAGTGCAAGGGCACATACCCTGCTATCACTCTTGCGAGATCCGACTTGTGTAGCAACGTCGACAAATCGGTTGGAAGTCGCCGGCGGTCTGCCGCTCAGTGGAGGGGCTCAGGTGCTCAACTCGCTGGCGACACCAATTCGTGCTGCGCGGTGTGCCGCATGCCGTCGCCTTTTCACCCGTCAGGGCTTTGGCCGCCACTCAACTCTCGCTTCATCCTGGCGCATGTTCGGGGGGATTGCGCTGACTGACGACCGGAAGAACGCAGCTTTGCAGCTTTGCCGCGGCCACAGTCTGGTTGAAACGAATCGCGTGCCACCCATTCTTCTTCGGCCAAAGTGACAGCCCTGCCGATGGCGCTGCGCGTGGCATGATTCTCCAAGCGACCACGGCGTGTCGTGGTGCTGCACAAGCTTGCGTGCCGCATCCGCGTTTGTTCAATCGGGGCCCATTCAACTGTCTAGGGCAGACGTACTAGATGCAGAGAACGTCATGAGCTTTGAAAGCAGGAAAGGTGACTTTCGTCACGCAAGCGTGGTAGCAAATCCATGGCCGACAGCACCCATTAACAGGTTTCACAGGCACCAGGCTATACTTCGTTCATTTGTTTTTTGTTTGTTACCCCTGCGTTTCCTGCTTAGTGTTCGCACGTTTCCTCACGACATGGCTTTGACGACCGGCAATGTTATACAATGTTGCGTGATACGGGGAGTGAGCGAAATAATAAATGAAATCATAAAAGCCCGTATGAAGGAACTGAACTACAAGGGTTCTTGAGCCATGAGACCATATGGACAGTCAAGGCAGCCGCACCAGTGCAAGAAACCCAGGGTTTTTAAACGTCAAAACACCAGAATTCTGAGCCCATTAGGTTTCTGTCCAGAGCATTTAGGTTTTGTGTTTAACGTTAAAAAAATCATCCTGGAACTTGAAACCCGACCCCCTGGGTGAAGATGCTTCCTGATGTCGTGCAAATTTGGCAACATGTCTCCATTTCCTCTGTGTAAAAACCTGTCTGTTTCTGGCTTATTTGAATCATCTAAATCTCGTGCAAAGCAAAGGATCGTGTTTACTCATGCGGACGAAATTCTCAGAAAATGCTTTGAATCAGACTGTGTTAAGGACTGGGCTTGTTTACGTTAAAAGGCGGCTTAAAGAATTTTGCACTGGCTTTAATACATACCCGCCCCCCCCCCCCCCCCCAGCCCCCCAAACAAATTTAGGTGGTATAGGGCCTGAGCTGAAGCCAAGGCGCTTAAGCCCCGCTGTCTAGACTTCGAGGGCTGAAGCCATGGCGGCCATAAACCCTGAAGCCTTTCGAACCTTGAGGCCTTGAAGGCTTCTAGGGCCTAAAAGGCCTAAAATGTAAAACAACTCTCCCCAAAAAACTTGTGATTATAGCGAAGGCTTGAAACCTTTAGACCACGGACCCCCAAAACTAAGAAATAACTTGCGATTATAGCGGGTGACCCCAGAACACCTGAGTTCGCAGAATACTGGTGGACAACTTGTGATTATATAGACCCTATAGAAATATTAATGCCAGTGCAACATTACCAGCATCAAGCCTTGGTCTCAGCTTCGGATGCTCGCACCCTTCGGCTCACAAAAGGTTGGCTAAGCCCAGCCGCCCGAGTTGGAAACAATGCCAAGACCCAACCCGAGGCGCACAATGCCACCTGCGGGTGACCCATGCCGGGCTGCGGCCACTCGCACGAACCCATGCGTGCCCACATACCGACCTGCTCGCACGCCCGGCCAGGCTCGCAGAAAGTGCATGGGTCGGTGTGGCGCGCGAGGCCGTCCAAAAAGAACAGTCGTTTCGCAGCGGCTGACGCGCACCACCGCCCCACGCCAAGCGTGGCAGCGTGGCGTTGTAAAGCATCGCATACCACTGCCCACAAAAAATTGCATCGCCACTTCCGGCTGTGCTTTGTGTGCAACGCAAAGCTGGTTTCCCCATTGCCGGAACGAGGTCGCGCTGGATATCTTGATCATCTGTCTCATCTTAAATTCTCATCTTTTTGCCAAAGGGATTACCATCTTCTCATCTTTAACATCTTTCTCATCTGTCTCACAAGTATCTTTTAACCGTCTTTGCCATCCTTCTCGTCTTTCTCATCTTTACCATCTTTCTCATCTTTATCACCTTTTCCATATTTCTCATCTTTTTCATCTTTTTCATCTTTTTCATCTTTTCATCATTCCCATCTTTCTCATCTGTCTCATCTTTATCTTCTTTCTCATCTGTCTCATTTTTCACATGCTTCATCTTAATATCTTAATCATATGTTTGATCTTTCTCATCTTTCATTCTCGTCTTTACCATCGTTTTCATCTTCTCATCTTATTCATCTTTTCCATCTTTCTCATCTTTGGCATCTTCCCATCAGTGCCATCTTCACCATCTTTCTCATCTTAGTCGTCTTTACCCATCTTTGTTATCTGTCTCATCTTTAGCACCTTGTCCATCTTTCCCATCTTTCTCATCTTTACCCCATCTTTCTCATCTTTCTCTTCTTTCTCATCTTTGTCACCTTTCTCATCTTGCTCATCTTTCTCACCTTTCTCATCTTTCTCATTTTTGTCATCTTTGTCATCTTTACCATCTTTCTCACCTGTCTCATCTTTCTCGCGTTTCTCATCTTTGTCATCCTGATCATCTTGTCCATCTTTCTCATAGGTAAACCGTCTTTCTTATCATCGGGCGCCTCCGCCCCGAGGCCTTGCAACCGTGGGAATCCGACGGCAACATCCCTGCTACGGCGCAGGATGCCTTGTGGCATGTGTTTTTGGGGGACGCTGCCACTTCCGATCTTGCGCAGGCCGCCCCTCTTCAGTCGCTCCAGCCGCCGTTCAGCCCGGAGTTTCCCGCCGAATCACCGGAGTCCCGAACTCGCGCAGCGTCCAGCCGATGAACCCCTTACCTGCCCAAGCATTGTCCTCCGACTACGGCACCATCCACGACCCACCGCTGCTCATCACCCCGGCGGAAGGTGGGGAGCAGGGTGACCCATGCTGGTTTTTTTCTCTTGGCTTGGCGCCGCCATCTTGAGTATACCTCGTTGTCGCCCACTTGCAGCAGGTGATCACTCGCCAGGCCACGCTTTTGGACCAACTCCCCACCCAGACGCACGGGTCACGTGGCTGCTACTGTCCTGCTGTTGTTGTGCTGCCCCGCGCGCCCAGTACGCACTGCGCACGGTGCCACATGACCTCCACGCGAGTTTGCTCCTTGCGCGCCCCCTCCCCCATTGTACATTTTTAAGGAGGTGGGGGTGAGCCTGCCACGACAGCTGCACGTGCGGGGGACGAGCGGCAGGGGCAGGCGCAGGCGCCGCAGGAGCACAATGCGGAACTGCGCATTCGGAATGGACGCAGCCTCGTGCGTGGGCGCGACGGTGATGGCTCGGGCAGAGTGTGGCCCAGCCTGCGACAGCAGCAGCGCACGGGACGCAAGGGGGAGGTCAGAAAGATGCGTCTCACAAGCGCGCTTGCAGCCGCGCGCTGGCAGGACCGCCGAGGCGTCAAGGAGAAAGGGCGCTGAGGGCATCGCGTGCCTGATTCGCAGCGGTCGCCGCGGGCAAGGGCACATGGCCCTGCAAGGCAAGAGCAGCCGGTCTGCAGCTACCGGCGCTCGGGCGTGGATAACAGGCAGCGCGTCGCACCAGGAGGCAATGGGCAGTTTGGCGGGCAGCAACTGCGGAGCGCAGACCAAACCCCCCAAACCGCAAGGCCAGCTGCGCCGTGCGCAGGCTGGGGTCAGGCAGGGGCGCGGCCTCCAGCTGCAAACCTGGAAAGGAACCTTGTCCTTTCAGTTCAGAAAGTAACCTTTACGAGGGCATGTCGTTCGGCAAGTGATCTGATGGCTTTGGCAGAGCCGACGAAAACAAAAATGATGAGAAAAACTCTACCAAAAACAAGGATTTGATACATGTGGTAATTAGTGCAAAAGCAACCACGATTCCTGCAGGCCCTCGACAAGTGGGATGCGCTACAGGGACAGTCATGTTGCTCACACGCTAGTTCCAGTCGCCGCTGGACGCAGGCGTCACTGCCGAAGGGCGCGCCAAGGACGCCGAGGCCTTGTTGGTCAGGCGGCAGTGCCCATGCACACAGCGGCGTCCGGGTCCGTTTGCAGTGCGGAGATGCCACGAGGCTCCTCCTGGCCACTCCAAATACGTGTTTTGGTACGGTTGACCTCAACGCGCGCGTGGGCCCACAGTGCCCGCCGGTGGGCCTCGTAAAATTCACACACTCGTTCCGGCGAGCAAATACTGCACGTGTCGTCGAAATGCGCGAGAATCGCTTCTCTGCCCCTAAGCTGCGACTGAACCTCCTTGAGCTCTGGCCATTGAGCGAGGGAGTATAGGGTGGGCATCACCTTGCTCCCCGCCCGCCGCGTG